TCATTGAATGATATCAGATAATCGATATACCTGAAACTTAGGTTAACTTCTTGGCCACATTACTTTGTTTTGACTGCACCAAGCCCTGCACAAATTCCAATTCATATGCATAAAGAAACAGACGAGCAAGAAGGGGAATACAGTTGGTGCCCATGGGGATGCCTACTACTTGCGCATATGTCTTACCCCCAGATTTTACATAGATGTTATCTCAGTAAACTTCAGATGGAATTTGCGTTTATAATTAAAGATAGACAGGTAACTGAATCTATGGTCTCCAAGTTTTGTAACACAAGTCACATGGATGAAGATATTGCGCTTTTTCTTACGTTTTCCATGTGGGATAGTGGTGTACAAAGTTCTGAGGTTGTAAAAAGTCAAGCAATTCCTTTGTGTTTTTGAGAATCCACATGGTACTAATTCCACATGTCTCAAATACTTTCTGTGAAAATATAAAACGAATGTGTGAAAAACATGACAAATCGTCAGACCTCGCATATGATATGCGGACCTCGTAATCTCGCTTTCGAAATGTCACACTTCCATCCCAAGTTGTCCGATCTCCATTGATCTCGGTGCCATAGGTTTGGTACCTCCAAATCTGTTGACTGACATTGGGAGAGTAACCGGATTTACTGCCAGGAATACAGCCCTTCTGACAGTCTGTGTAATGCAGAAGGCTGCAGTGTTGGGGAGTCTTCACATTCTCAAAAAACCTCTGGGTGGGTTCGACTAGGCAGCGCTTCCTGGGAGAAGTCCCATTCGCTATCTGGGCTGCGTGTAGAAGGGACATGGGCCCTGAGCTGATGATGAGCAACACTAGCCTTACTGTTCCAAGATCCCTCTTTGCTGCATTTTTTATTTTAATCCAAATAATGATTGTATTCCGTACTGATTCTTCAATGAGGTACGTTTTGAATCCCGATTTAAACGCAGTGATACTAGGTGCACTTTTGAGGCTGAAGAGAAGGGAGTTCAATAGTGAGGCACCTTCATGAGAGAAGTATATGATTACACTGATGATAATTTCAGACATTTAACAGATGATATTGATTTATTAACGGAATTAGTTTCAGATGGTTGTGGCAGACCTTAGTTTTCCTATGACCAGCAAACAAATAAATTTGGAAAATCTGCAACTAATATGTGAAACGTTCTGTAAATCCATTTCCAGGTTTTAAAGATTGGTATGATGCTAAATGTGAATGTTTTAAACACCAGAGAAGTCATTATCTCAATATATTTCGTAAATTAACTAGTGTCCAAAAGAAACGATACCACCTGTTTGCAACGACATACAAGAAAAACTAAACAATGCAGAAGTTTAGGATTGGTGTTATGCTTTTGAGAAATCCTTTCACAACATCTGTACAAAAATTTCATTTCAATAAAATCTGTACAACCAATATGACAAGCCTTTAAAGATGGGTGGAGTCGAAAAATTAACATTTCGTTAGAGCACTGATCACAGAAACAACAGGAAATGTCACACCACACGTCTCAAAGTCAAGTCAGTAGCGGGTATGTCCACCGTGAGCATCAATACATGCCAGAACACGCCTACGGACTGATGACGTCAAACGTCTGATGACGTTGGGAGTGATGCGTTGCCATTCCTCGAGGAGACATCGTTCCAAGTCCTGGACGTTGACTGGAGGCACACGGCGACGTCGGATTTGCCGATCGAGGTGGTCCCATAAGTGCTCGATGGGATTCATGTCCGGTGAACATGCGGGCCATGGCAAAACCTGTACGTTGGCGTTGGCAAGGAAGTTCTGTGTCAATCTTGCTGTGTGTGGCCTTGCATTGTCATGTTGGAAAAGGAGTCCACGAGGCTGTTGCTGAATAAAGGGCACCACAACAGGCCGTAGGATGTCATCAAGATAACGCTGTGCATTCAGGTTTCCACGAATTACGACAAGCATCGTTTTGACGTCACCACATATGCCACCCCAAACCATTAACCCTCCACCTCCAAACGGCCGGACCTGTTGGATACAGTTAGGCGCCAAACGTTCACCAAATCGTCGGTATACAAGCTGCCGTCCATCGTTTCTGAAGATGAGGAATCTGCTCTCATCAGAGAACATAACACGTGCCCAGTCCCGCCGTTGCCAACGTCGAACTCGCCTGGCCCATATCAGTCTGTTGTTCCGGTGTCGAGGCGTCAGGAGCGGTCCGCGGTAGGGATGACGTGGCCGGATACCATACTGCCGTAGTCTCCTGTAGACGGTCTGTCGACTGATCCTGTGTCCCAGTGCTGTAGCCGCCGTGGACGTCGCTGTTACGGTGCGGTTCCTCAGGTGTTATACCCGGATGTAACGATCTTCACGGGGCGTGGTTACTCGTGGTCTTCCACTCCTGGGCCTGTCTGACGTCTGACCTGTCTGACGTAACCGCTGCATCAACCTGGTGATAGTGATGCGTGCGCAGCCCAACCTTCTGGCGACGTCGACGAGTGACGCTCCTTGTTGGACCATTCCAACGGCTCTCTCTCTCTCGATGGCTGTCAAACGTGGCATATCTTGTGTTCTTTTTGTTGCTGTGATATCAACGTGTCTGATCAGCCGTTTTATACAGTTTTTCTGCACGTGTAGAACATGCTAGAAAGGGAAATGTCACTTTCACGAAATTTACGTTTTTTCCCGGAAGTGATCACGTGTTCCCGGTATTTTTTATCGACTATGCTGTGTTTGGGATGTGCAATACGAATTGGCATGTTTTCATACTTGACAATTCACTTAGTAAAAAACAATTTTGAAAATAAGTTGGTATCGTTTCTTTTGGACACTAGTTTACTTTATGAATCAGAAATATGGAGTTGTGGCAAAAATGACTGTGTAGAAAATGTTCATCTTTATGCGTAACTGGGGTTCGACCCTCCACCCCAAACGGCTTTGTGCTTGGGGAATGTGGCAGATACCCATTGTGTATATTTTCGCTTAAGTGCTGTATCAATTATTTGTAAAACTTAAGACTCGTCCATCCACGCTTTACCCAGTAAAAGCATAAGAATAACATGTCAGTCTATCTCGATCAAAATGCCAGTCACTCACGAAATAAAAATATATGGGCAACAAATATCAAAATCACCGTTTTCAGTTTAGGCCTTGGATACGCATGGATGGATCAGGGTGTTGGAAATGGGAAAATGTTTGTGCCATTATTACTTGAAAGAGCTAAAATTGTTTTCAGCAAATATTGATAGAAAGAATAACAAATTCACATACCTATTCTCTCTTCAAACAACAATTTATACTCGAAGAATGTCTAGCATCGTTGCAAAAGAAAGATCCGGGTCTTGCTAGCTTAATTCAGAGTAGTTTATTATGGTTTAAATATTTGTAGAGGCAACATCTGTACATATTGTAAATCTAATGTTTAAGAACATGAGTATCATTTTATGCCTGTGTGTAAACTCTATCTCCAATTAAGACACAAATATATTCCAAAGAGGTTTACATGTTATCCAAATATCAATTTGTTTTGCATACTCATGTCAACCTCAAAAGTTACATTAATACACACTATTGCCTTGTACATGTACCATACATTGTAAGTTGGAAGAAACACGCATGCCTTGTAAATACGGTGAACTATGGGCCCATGGCCTCTCAGTGTGCCATGATTAAACAGATTGGAGAGAAGTACATATGACATTGTGCATTGAGAGGGAAGGTCGGGTAGCCTAGTGGTTAAAGCGTTCGCTCGTCACGCCGAAAACCCGGGTTCGATTCCCGACATGGGTACAATGTGTGAAGCCCATTTCTGGCGTCCCCAGCCGTGATATTGCTGGAATATTGCTAAAAGCGGCGTAAAACCAAACTCACTCACTCACATTGAGAAGGTTATAGTCTATGGGCCATGCCTGCACTTCACCACATGCATACATTATGCATGTAGTATGCAGAACATTCATGTCGTCACAGTCCTTAAACAGTAAAGATTCGTAGTTTCATAAGGTGTGTTTACGAAATATTTTCAGTTTCACTGTTACTTCACAAAGGGCCAGTGAACTTTGAAGACACACACACTCGTAGTGCCGACAGCTTTACCTGTAGAATGTCTACCACAAACACGGTGCCACCTGACGTGTGGTAGTACCGCCTTTGTTATTTTCACCAGGTGTTAAGAAAATACACTAAATTAAAATGTGCTATGATAAAATGTCATTGAAATGCATAATTATTCCATAAAGTGACACAATTACCATTTCTCAAACTGCAAGGGGAGACGTGTACATGGTTTCGCCTCAAGTTGCGGGATTATCGGATTAAGTTTTAAGTGCTCACAAAGCATACCGGATACCGCCATTGTTGTTGTTGTTGTTTACTGTTGCAACTGCAGCTCATCCCCACGTGATGAGAAAGTCCACTGAATTTTAATCACGAGTTTCAAATTGTTTTCATATCATGTAAGGGCGGTGAGACAGGCGGGTGGTTCAAGAGCTCGCCCGTCTATTGACCCAGATTCTATTTTCCACACGGATGCAAACCCAAAATGAGTGAGTGAGTGAGTGAGTTGGGTTTAACGCCACTTTTAACAGTATTCCAGTTATATCACGACTTGTCAGCTTAATGTGGGAGGAAAGCCCGAAGTGATGCAGGTCTCAGACGTTTACCACCTCGTTGAAACCCACGAGCACGGGTATGGTGCTGACAAACCTAGAAACATAATCGGGGTGAACCGGGATTTGAACCCACAATCATAGGTTTCTGACGTGCCCAAGGGACGCGACTCTGTATGGCGAATCACGGCGCCTGATACGATTTGGCCACCCGTGCCCCCATGAACGAACGAACGAACGAACGAATGTGATTTCTTTATTCCATTTTGCTGTCAAAGCTCTTCGGTAGATTAATTCTTTAAGCTCAGAGTTCTAAATAACCCACGTTACAAATTCCGTTGATCTATAGACACAATATGAGTGATTGGAAGTAACCAAAATCCAGTCAGAATAATAACAGTGAAATATCATATATAATTTATATTGCCTCCAGGGTGAAATGGTACGACAGTGACTGCAACTCCAAGGCCGCTCTCACTTCCGCTGTCGACGCCAAGAACATGTTTGACCCCCATCTCTTCCTGGGACCCCCGTGTTCTACAGGTAGGAACAGCTATATAGTGTTACCCCCGTGTTTTGCAGGTATGATCAGCCATATAGTGGGACCTCCGTGTTCCGCAGGTAGGATCAGCTATACAGTGGGACCCCCGTGTTCCGCAGGTAGGATCAGCTATATAGTGGGACCTCCGTGTTCCGCAGGTAGGATCAGCTATATAGTGGGACCCCCGTGTTCTGCAGGTAGGTTCAGCTATATAGAGGGATTCCCTCGTTGAACAGTTAGATCAGCCACACAGTCTGGTATTGTCGTTTATGTCTTGGAATGATTTGCGAATGTGGGACTGCTACCGAGTTGTTACCATCGATATAATTACCTACCGTGTCGATTTTTGTGTGAATAAGAAACGAGTAGGAATACAATATAAAAAGAGTTTGAACAAATCGCTTAAACATCGCTAAACACTATCTCGGATTGAACAGCGTAATGATTCAACGGGAAGGCTACCTGTCACCGCAAAAAAAATCTCAGAATTAACAAAATAGACGCAAATGATTGTTAAATATTTTTTTATAACTTCTAAGAAATGCACTTAAACACGTGTGTGAACATTCAAAGGACACCTGTAGTTAATAAAGTCTCTGCCTGTACTTCAGTGTCAGGCAACACATTAAACAACAAACAACGCAGCACGAGTTCGCAAAACGTCCCTCACGCATGACCTTGAAGCATCTCTAGGGTAAAACTGACACAAAGACGCGTTCGCTGACTGATGACACCAGGAACAAACACGTCCTGTTGCTCATCTTTCACAGAAACTGCATAAGAACAGCAGGGCTAATTATTTTGTCCCCAGAATAATCCCCGAGAGAATGATAAGGTTATGAGAAGTGTGCAGTGGATCATGACTGCTTATAAGAAGCATGCAGTTTAACATGCAATAGAGCTTACACTGTGAGAGACTTAATTGTATTTGCAATAGAAACGTTTGAACAATAATCACCGTGCAAGCATGTTAATTGTAATATTTCAAAGGTCACTGGTGCGTCTTCATATTAACTGGTATCTTCACAAATACGCCGCTTTATCTGTTACGAGGGGTAGCTGAAGAGTTTTATGACTAACTATGATGGACTTCGTTGAAGGATGTGGTTGTTAATTATTTGTCAACATAATGGCCTTCGAGGTCAACACACTTCTGCCAGCGATGCTGGAGTGCCTGGGTCCCACACGTGTAGAAGGCATCCTCCTGGAGGTGTAAACAGTTCCAACAGTAGAAATGATGTCCATCATTTGCATAAAGCATGTCGGGCAGCTCTCCCCAAGATTGCGGGGAGATTGAAATACAGTGTTTTGTGGAAGACAGAGAATCCCCAGTAACGTTGATGCCTGTACAGTCAGCTGCCAGTTTGTTGGTTTAGACACCGTCTGTAAGCATGGCAGGTACGAGGGCCTCGTATTGTACTTAACACATGCGTGATCACTGTTGAACCAACTTTCAAAGGACCATCTCTTGCATCTCCATCTCTTGCAGCGATCAAGTCTGAAGTGAAGATGTAGCTTTTCGGAATGCACTGTCGGGTCTACTTCTTCGTCACTATTGTCTCCTCTTCCTTTCCTTCATCCTCACCATCGTCTCCTCTTCCTTTTCTCCTCCTACTTCTTCACCATCGTCTCCTCTCCCTTTCCTCCTCCTACTTCTTAACCATCATCTCCTCTCCCTTTTCTCCTCCTACTTCTTTACTATCGTCTCCTCTCCCTTTCCTCCTCCTACTTCTTAACCATTGTCTCCTCTTCCTTTTCTCCTCCTACTTCTTCACCATTGTCTCCTCTACCTTTTCTCCTCCTTCTTTACTATCCTCTCCTCTTCCTTTCCTCCATCTTCACGATTGTCTCCTCTTTCTTTTCTCCTCCTACTTCTTTACTATCGTCTCCTCTTCCTTTTCTCCTCCTATTTCTTCACCATTGTCTCCTCTTCCTTTCCTCCATCTTCACCATTGTCTCCTCTTCCTTTTCTCCTCCTACTTCTTCTCTATCGTCTCCTCTTCCTTTTCTCCTCCTACTTCTTCACCATTGTCTCCTCTTCCTTTCCTCCTACTTCTTCATTATTGTCTCCTCCTACTTCTTCACCACTGTCTCCTCTTCCTTTCCTCCATCTTCATCATTGTATCCTCTTCCTTTTCTCCTCCTACTTCTTTACTATCGTCACCTCTTGCTTTTCTCCCCTACTTCTTCACCATCGTCTCCTCTCCCTTTCCTCTTCCTACTTCTTAACATCATCTCCTCTCCCTTTTCTCCTCCTACTTCTTTACTATCGTCTCCTGTCCCTTTCCTCCTACTTCTTTACCATCGTCTCCTCTTCCTTTCCTCCTCCTACTTCTTAACCATCATCTCCTCTCCCTTTTCTCCTCCTTCTTCTTTACTATCGTCTCCTCTCCCTTTCCTCCTACTTCTTCACCATCGTCTCCTCTCCCTTTCCTCCTCCTACTTCTTAACCATCATCTCCTCTCCCTTTCCTCCTCCTACTTCTTAACCATCATCTCCTCTCCCTTTCCTCCTCCTACTTCTTTACTATCGTCTCCTCTCCCTTTCCTCCTACTTCTTTACCATCGTCTCCTCTTCTTTTTCTCCTCCTACTTCTTCACCATTGTCTCCTCTTCCTTTTCTCCATCTTCACCATTGTCTCCTCTTCCTTTTCTCCTCCTACTTCTTTACCATCGTCTCCTCTTCCTTTTCTCCTCCTACTTCTTAACCACTGTCTCCTCTTCCTTTCCTCCATCTTCACCATTGTCTCCTCTTCCTTTTCTCCTCCTACTTCTTCACCATTGTCTCCTCTTCCTTTTCTCCTCCTACTGCTTTACTGTCGTCACCTCTTCCTTTTCTCCCCCTACTTCTTCACCATTGTCTCCTCTTCCTTTTCTCCTCCTACTGCTTTACTATCGTCTCCTCTTCCTTTTCTCCTCCTACTTCTTAACCACTGTCTCCTCTTCCTTTCCTCCATCTTCACCATTGTCTCCTCTTCCTTTTCTCCTCCTACTTCTTCACCATTGTCTCCTCTTCCTTTTCTCCTCCTACTGCTTTACTGTCGTCACCTCTTCCTTTTCTCCCCCTACTTCTTCACCATTGTCTCCTCTTCCTTTTCTCCTCCTACTGCTTTACTATCGTCTCCTCTTCCTTTTCTCCTCCTACTTCTTCACCATTGTTTTCATTATCATTATCATTATTCATATATACAGTGAGGCTTCCTTTTTACAATAAATCCCCAGAAACATATGCTTGTCGTGAGAGCTGATTTAATGGATCGGATGGTCAGACTATCTTAATTGATATATTGCGTACCCCAACGGCATGGATCATTGCTCATAATATAAACCACTGGTTTATCTGGTCGACATTCGATTATCGACAGGTTACCGTCATATATATTGCAGAGTGCGGCGTTAAACAACTAACATTATTCCTATAGCTAGGCTTGCTTGTATATAAGTGTCTCTTTCCTTCATGTTCTGTTGTAAACCAAATTTCTCGCTGGGCATCGAGGGAGTGTGTCAGCAGGTTCTCCGTGTCCTGTCATACAGACCCCTTGGTATAACGCTTTTACCGATCAGTAGGTGTGAGATATCGATACCAATAGACACAGTTCTACATCATACTACCTTCATTTTCGTCTTACGATGTGTGTGTGCGTGTGCATGATCAATGATACTAATCTGTTCACATCAACCCCACGATCAACGCAGAATTCAGTGGATGAAGTAATAACAATAGGTATTTCCATTCTGGCCTAGTTTGGATGGTAAGCTTCTACAAGTTTGTTCAAATATTATAAGTTGACGATTTGGCACGAAAACAACAGTCATGGTATATGTCTCAATCTGCTGTTCCTTGTTTCAAGGCATGCGCCCCGTGGCTCAGTTGGCGTCCTACTGGAACATCCCCGTGTTTGGCTGGGTCTCCAACGACCACGACCTAAGGAACAGGGACATCTACTCCACTCTTATCAGGCTCCTCGGACCCCTCAACCAGTTCTGTAAGTCTACGGAACACTGATATGCAACTATACTGTTTGTCATTCACAGTGTGTGTAGTATTCATATTTCTTTCAATTCACAGTGAGACACTGTGTTCTGGGCAATGGTAATATAAATCATTTGGGTCTCACAAAGCGCAAACAAATGATAGATTATATGTTCTGTATGCTTGTCTTGTACAATTAGCCACGACGATGCGCTACGTCTCCAGTATGTTCGACTGGAAGCGTTACGCCATGATCCACGACAAAGAAGCATCCTACAAGTCGGTGTACGAAGCTCTGGCTGGAGACGCAACCAACTTCTTCACATCCACGCACTCTGTGAGCCCGAGCATGGACGACGACCAGATCAAAGAGATCTTCCTCCAGGTCAAGAAGTACGCCCGAAGTGAGTGCTCTTTGAAGTCCAGAGAATGACTGTCCAAAAACATAACACGGCCATCAATGCTGAATACCTTCTGGGTTGGTGTAGGACGATATAAAACGTCAGTGCAAGATATTAGCCTTTATTATCCGTCGAAACCGATTCAATTTGGCGTAAAGGGCAAAAATGCTGTGAACATTATATGAATGGATCACTGAAAATTAGTGATGGCACCAGGTCTTCGCGAAAAGGGTAAGTATGTCTTGCGCCAAAGGTAGCACCTGCCACTCACACAATTTGCATAAAAAGCAAGTATCTCTTGCCTGAGGTCGCACAGCTGAACTCCTGACTTGCGACGGCGGCCTGTAAACAAACTAGGACCCAGTTCCACAAGGCGATCGTAGAGTTACAACAGTCGTAAGTCTACGTTACAGGATGGGAGTTACGATCTCCATAGCGCTACGAACGCTTTGTGGAACGGAACCCTGGCCATCAAGTGATGGACAAGAAACTCCAGTAGCACGATGAGACATGAGCTGAGTGAATCGTTTGTCAAGTCGCAGTCTAAACAAAAACCATGTCCTATGGCATGTGTGTAACCATTTGCATGATGTTTTTTTGTTTGTTTGTTTGTTTGTTTGTTGTTTAACGCCGCACTCAGCAATAGTCCAGCTATATGACGGCGGTCTGTAAATAATCGAGACTGGACCAGACAATACATTGATTGACATCATGAGCATCGATCCACGCAATTCGGATCGATGACATGCATCAACCAAGTCAGCGAGCCTGACCACCCGATCCCGTTAGTCGCCGATGTACATGTATACATGTATTCTACTTGTTACGGTCGAACATGATCACCATAATCACAGAGCGTATCACCCACCTGAAAGAGTGTGAGTGAGTATGGTTCAACGCCGCTTTTAGCAATATTCCAGCAATATCACGGCGGGGGACACCAGAAATGGGCTTCACACATTGTACCCAAGTCGGGAATCGAACCCGGGTCTTCGGCGTGACGAGCGAACGCTTTAACCACGAGGCTACCCGACCACCCCTCCACTTGAAAGATGATAGATATAATGGTCAGTCTTGTATCTGTTGTCCAGGTGCAAACCAATTTTGTTTTCTTCTGTCTTCCCAGTCATCATCTTCGCCGTGCCGTGGTTGACGATGAGGAAGTACATCCTGGTGGCTCACCGACTGGGGCTCACGACGGGGGAGTTCGCCTTCATCTGCATCAATGGAGACGTGAGTCTGTCATTCATTCTCGACGCCTACGACGACGATATCAGTGTCTCAAACAGTGTTTCTGGACAAAGTGAAATCGGTTGAATCGTCAGGACCACACATTGCACAAATTATAACGTTTCTGTTCAAAATGCAATTATGCTCTCAGAAAATTTTAATTTCGTAATAAATACACGCAAGATACTAGTTTTCTTGCATGTCAATTATTCAAAATCAATCAACAGAGCTTGGACTTTCAGTAATCATATTCATAATCATTATTTTAAAGTAATTTTATTGACATTTTACGATTGTTCAGGTGTATTCGGGCGAATCATGACTCATTCACTGCCACTATTGCTATATTCCATAAATTGCTATCATACATGTAGTAAAATGTGACGTTACCTATCAGAAACCTGACTTCTATAAATGTCATGAGACATTGAGACCAGACCAGAAGTTGTTTCCTTGTCTATAACGTGAATGGTAGGTCATTTATTGTAATGTCAGAATAGATATGAATCGGCAGCTTTTATACTGTTTTCTCTCAATCAGTGTGAGGTAAGCAGTCATCTATTGATTCGTTTGAAAAAACTTGCGTATTTCTTCAGGTGTATTCGGGCGAGACGCTCGAGGCAGATGTTTTATCAGACCGTGTGTGGCGTCGGAACGATTCCTTTGATGAAGAGGCCAAGTTTGCGTTCGAGTCCGTCATCCATGTACGTATGTCATGATTGTACCTTAACAGACAATAATTTATTCTCAACAAGTGAGCTTCTATGATATGGGCGTCAGACATGACTGCATTCAAAGGATGCACAAAGCAACATGTCTAAATGTCATTATTTTTTCTTTCAGGTTATTCTTGTTGGCCAAGAACAGCAGACTTACAAAAAGTTCAAGAACCACGTTCAGAAGATGAATTCAATGACGAATGAGTTGTGGGACATTCCCCAAGGCTCGGACGTATGTATTTCACCTGTTCTGTACCTGATGATGCACATTCGGCAAGGTTCTTTATTTCTGTCTTCTTTGATAACCTTTCACTGTTATTTTAGTAACATTCATTCCGTGATCTATCATAACTTAATAACTGCTTTGTATATCACAATGCATTATAACTTTATTACTGTTAGGTATGATGTCTTAATTTGTGCTGTGGATATGAAATGAGTGAGTGAGTGAGTGAGTGAGTGAGTGAGTGAGTTTGATTTTACGCTGCTTTTAGCAAATGGGCTACACACATTGTACCAATGTTGGGAATCGACCCGGGTCTTTTGCGTGACGAGTGAACGCTTTAACCACTCGGCTACTCGACCGCCCCTTGGATATGAAATGAACATTATTTACAGGTCGCGTTATATAGATTAGATCTTTCTGACTGCGGCCTTTAAGAACATTCACTCACTTATTGTATTCATGGATTTCGTGAAGTCAAGTATGGCATTCAAAGCACATTCAAGTACGTCATAATGAACGTCTACCCTCTTGTCTTCCAGCAACTGGACGCCTACGCCCCCTTCTTGTATGACGCCACGGTGCTGTGGGCGATCTTAGTCAACCGGTCAATTGTATTGGGAGGGGATCCAAGAAATGGAAGCCATATGTTCTCCATGGCACAAGGCGTACAGACCACTGGTGAGACCGAATCCCTCACAAATGAGGTATCTCTTTGTTTCCGTGACGATAATCCTATGACGTCAACTTGTACAAAGCTGGCAATAAATATATTCATGATATGGACCAAAAACCCCTTAGAATTTGTAAAGGTTGTCATAAATAAAGTGTTTTTGTTATTCGAATGAAAGGTTTTATGTCGACCTTCTCAACCACAGTATTTCCAGATGTTTTTGGATTATCAGTAAACAGCGAGAATTAAGTCTTATCTACAGTCGAGACCCGTTATCTCGAATCTAGCGGGACCGTGTTGTAACTTTGAGACATCCGGACATAGAGATAACGCGGCATAAACATTATATAGTAAGGCGGTCAGGACCAGAGAGTAGGTTCGAGGTATCGGTACGTTCTAGATAGCCGTGTTCGAGATAACCAGGTTCGACTGTGGGTTCAAGGCATCAGGCAGGCACCTTCTCTATGGCCCATCTGTTCGACCCCATATAACATTGATGAGTGACCCGTAGAATAGTCTTCAGCAACACATGCTTGCCGTAACAGGCGACTATGCTTGTCGTAAGAGGCGACTAGCGGGATCGGGTGGTCAGGCTCGCTGAATTGGTTGATGCATGTCATCGTATCCCAATTGCGTGGTCCAGACTTGATTATTTACAGACCGCCGTCATAAAGCTGGAATATTGGTGAGTGCGGCGTTAAGGAACAAACAAACAAACAATCATTGATGAGTTCATTGTAATACGCCTTTCTGACAAAGGATACAAACATTCTGAATACCAGATTGAAATAGGTTTCATGTCAGTACACAGTTGTTTTAAATATCAGAGATATGAAAGTCATGTTGTAACAGGTGTATATGCTGTGTCATCACATCTCCAACATTGGCAAACGTTTGGAAAATACTACTATGAGAAACCTTCATTATATATACACCAATAGCTTTTCCTGTGCTCAGTTACATTTACCGTATTTTAGCGAATTCGGTTAACGGATTTCACTGACATAAGCCAACACCACTCATACTACAATACAAAACTACAATTTAAAACGTTATTAAACAATATTAAACACGATAGCCATTAAATTAAAACGGTTGTCCATATTACACAACTCATGGTTTCTACTTGGTCATATAGGCATATTATCCTTCCTCCAGGGTCTTCCCCAACTTCAAGACAATGAGGTCCCCGCCTCTTTCTTATTCAGCGCCCAAAGCGAGGTCACTATACATTATTCAGCGTGAGGTATTCCTGGAGCAGTCACGCATATTTCACTGATACGTGTTTTACACTTCAGGTGTGACGGCTAATTTGGTTCTCGACAGCTTCTGTGACCGACTGGTCAACATCTGGTTGCTGGACATGCAGGAAGACGGCAACTTCACCACCATTACCGAGATCTACAACACCCTCAACGGCGGAATGGTTTTCTCTGTGAGTTCAGAACGTCAACAAACAGGGCAGTACGAGGGAAACTCGACACGTTCGTGGCCTCACATAAAAAATCGATCAGAATCGAACATATTCACACATTATTTCTTAATATAATCCCACTTGACGGCAATACACTAGCTTCAGCGATGCTCAAGCTATATTATGCAACCCCTGGAGAAATGAGTGAGTGAGTTGGTTTTTGTACGCCGCTTTAAGCAATATTCCAGCAATATCACGGCGGGAAACACTATAAATGGGCTTCGCTCATTGTACCCATGTGGGGAATCGAAACCGGGTCTTCAGCGTGACGAGCGAAACGACTGACACCACTCCGTTGTACTTCTCTTGTGTCTGTTTCAAGTGTTTGATCTGGATTTGGTCGATTTACTATCGTGTATGCACCACGGTCAGCAGACCAGTATGTCTAGTCCTTGTTACAAGATTATTTCCAAAATGAAACGTACGTACCGAACGAAACTGTGAAATCAGTAAATGACCACACAAGATTAATGAATAATCAACAATTTATATATAAGCACACAGAGATAGGTTTACAATAAGTCAATACATTTAGTCAATGAGAGGCAGCTACAACAAGCAACAGAACCTACAATCTATGTCAGTTCACTCACGAATGTCAAGAAGTTTTCTCTTCCGAAGGCCTGTCTCGGTTCTTGAAACCGAAATAGTTTTAGAATCTGGTAGGGATTTGGTCTTTTTAGATAGGTATCCTATCCGCACTTGGCTTGTAGATCAGGCGAGGTGACTAAAAGGCCTCGAATCGCCCTCGTATCGGCCTGATGTAGATAGGTACAACCAGCCGTCTCTATCAAGACTGCCATGTTTGTCAGCAACCAAAGGATGAACTGGCCACAACAGCACTCGACATTTTACCAGCGCTTTAATCAGTTGCTGCCACTAATCACTAAAACAAAACAATCTCTACTGCCACATAACTACTTAAACGTGCAGTTCTTGTTTCACATTCGTGTGTGTAGGGTATATAAAACTGATATATATGACAAAGAAAATTGAGTGAAACTTGCTTGACCGAGCAAGGAACCCTGTAAACCATATAGTGATACATCTATTGGGTCTTCCTTTGTTTGTTATAACCTATATTCAATTCCTTCCTGGCAGAAACTAGAGAAGACGATCAGAGTGAGATGGCCCGACGGGAAGGTGGGACAGGAGAACGCTCCACCAGACATACCTACGTGTGGATTTGAAGGGGAGAAATGCAAGAAAGGTACCTCGGAGTTTGACTCCCTTCATACTGGACCAATCTTCTTTAGGCAAATTACTTAACTACGGAAACCTGCCTGCTATTAAAACAGATTATAACGTCATCATCATGAGTAAGTGAGTTGGGTTTTATGCCACGTTTAACACTGTTCCAACGAAATCACGGCGGAAATGTCAGAGAGTTGCTTCACAAATGAGCGCTCTCATCACTTGGCCACCTCATCGTCCCGCCATCATTATGCACGCAGTAACTCTTTCACTTTTCAGTAAGAAGCTTATCATCTATTCATGCGTTTATCCATTCTGTTGTTTCCCAGATCCAGACTCCCACGACCTCGGCTACGCTGACACCATCACAGGGGCGGCAGCAGGGTCGTCGGTCGTCCTCATCATCGCCATCGCCGTGCAGGTGTCACTCAGGTGAGCATTGCAACATCGCCTACTGTACCCCTGTTCAGAAATATTCATTCCTGGCTTCATAAAGAACGTTTAGTTCAACATTTGTGTGGACGTATTTATTTATGAAAAGGTGACGTGTTGTTGTCATGGTGTTTCAGACGTTACCGACGTCGCCGGCAGCTGGAGAGTATGTTGTGGCAGGTTAAGTTTGAGGAGATAGACTTCGTCACAGCTATTCTCTGTGGCAGCGTCAGGGTAGGTAACTCCTGTTCACGTTCACCATGCTCGATACGTTCTTTCATGACATATACTGTGGTTCAGTATTAAGTGTTTATCGATTATACATTAATGCAGCTCTGATCTCGATGTAAAAGTCCAGTTCTCTCTATGATATTGATGATAAAAATATGACTTACAAATGTAACAAGATAATTCGTGATATCAGTATTGTACCATCAATCACTGCTTGTCCACAGTCTAGCTTCAAGAATCTAGCCCGTCGTTGGAATTCTAAAACCGCTAAGGGAGTGGCGAAGACACGCGATGTTGTGAGTTGTGCTGATTCCTACACAGACTCTCCAAGGTCACTTCACTGTACGGAGACTGGCACCACCATGTTTGGTTCCGTCGCCTACATCAGAGGTAGGAACCCCGTCGACTACGTCATATTGACGCATGTCCTGTTGTGTGAGTGAGTGAGCTGGGAGTAGCATTTGAACATTTGAACGTGTCTGTTTGATCACGTCTTGTAAGCCTAATGTTGGAGGAAAGCCCAAAGTGGCGCATTTCACACACGCTTGCCAGTTGGTGCAAACGGATAAAAGATCATAATGCGGGTGAATCTGGGATTCAACTCCCAATCAGCTTCTTTTCATAGCGCGGCTTTCCTCCCACTTAGCTGACACCCAGTGATACCACTGATCAAAGGAACGTTAAACCAAACTCACTTTCTCCAAATTAGTATATCATACCTCCATGTCAGAATGATGAGATCTGATTGGTCCACGTGATCTTGATTAAATACCCTGCCTTGGAGGGGAATAAATTTCTCAGCGGGGGAATAAATCTCTTATACCCCGCCACGAGCAAGTAAGGCTGAACGTGGATTTCTGAGAGGCAGAATAAATCCCTGTTACCCCGCTTCAAAATCAAAAGCCGCACAAGTTAACCTCAGCTCAATCAGACAGCTTATTTCTATCAATTTTGAAACGTCACATAGGAACACGTCGGTAAGATAAATTCGTTGTAGCAGGATCCCTCGGGGTTTTATGTGTCCCTAGTAAGGTTTTATAATCTTGTGGGTTTTGTTAACCAGGGAGCCTGGTGTCCGTCAAGAGGATGTCCAAGAACAGCGTCAGCCTCACCAAGGAGGTCCTGCAGGAACTCAACCAGGTTTGTTGTCTGTCCTGGTCGTTTTCATAACGACCTCCTTAGTCCAGACCCAGTTAATACGGACACCCCGCTTATCGGTCCATTATTCTTTGGATCGTCTCGCTATATGCAAATGTAATTGCTTTGTTACAAGTATTCATTTATCGTGAAATGTGTCTGGACGGTTTCACTTGCTTCATATTACAGATGTACTGATCATTGACATATGTGCCCAAAATAACATCCTACATTGACTTATACGTCTATGTTCTAGTTGATGGAACTGAAGAACCAGAACGTCTGTGCTTTTGTTGGCGCATGCGTAGATCCAGGAAGAATTTTGCTGCTGTGGGAATATTGTGCGAAAGGCAGCTTACAGGTACTGTTACCAGGGCGACGATTCAGAGTCGCAGGAGTCTGATGCCCGGAACTACTGAATGATCTTTTAAAAATGACCTATCTTGTGATATATTGACAAAAATGTCAAACTCTAAGTACCCTTAACTATCACCATCAGGAAACAAGTGTGTTTCCTGGTCACCCCAAAAAATTGGTTTGCGATTGGATCAAGGGTTCAGTTCAGACAATTTTTTAAAAATATTTCTGGGACATTGCAAGGGGACATCAGTAAATCAAAACAGTACCACTGTATACTCTATCCCCTGCCTAATAATTTATGTCAACTCTTGGTGTTCTCAGAATACCATCTGGTCCTCTCTCGTTTCCTGTAATTCTTGTCAACTCTTGGTGTTCTCAGGACATCATCTGGAACACGAACATCAAGCTGGATCAGCTCTTCAAGTTCGCCCTGTGCCAGGACGTCGCCAAGGTAAAGTGAGTGAGTGTTGTGAGTGAGTGTTGTTGGGTGCCGCAGTCAGCAATAAACCAGCTACCTCACGGCGCCTGTATCTGAACTTGACAGCACTAATTTAAAGCATGAGGATTACCCAGTCACCGAGCCTGTGGGTTCGAATCCTGGTTCGCCCCGATTATCTTTCTAGGTTTGTCAGCACCATAGCCGTGCCCGTGGGTTTCACCGAAGTGGTAAACGTCTGAGACGGGCATTACTTAGGGTTTACCTCCCACATTAAGCTGACACGCCGCGACATAACTGCAATACTGTTAAAAGCGGCGTAAAACCCAACTCACTCACTCACTTAAGGAATATTATACACTCCACCCTGGATTCCTTAACATGTCATTGGTCATATCGGGCCAGGGTCAGGGTCAGGGTCAGGGTCAAATAACAGTACATGTTTTAAGTAAATTAAACTAAAATTGGAATGCATGCAGACAACAATATTGGGTAAATACAATGAGCATCCACTTCAATCAGATGTATTGCGGAAATGGAAGCAAGGAGTCTGACCATGAGTGTGATGAACTATGAATATTTATATGTATTTTTCAAAGGGTCTGGAATACATCCAAAAAAGTCCTGTAAATTACCATGGCAACCTGAAAAGTTCCAACTGTGTCGTGGACAGTCGGTGGACATGTAAACTCACGGACTTCGGGGTTCCTAAAATCAGATCGATGGACAAGGCGTCGATACCCTTCGAGGAGAACGCAGACAGTGAGTGTAGTAGAAGCGATGGATGTGGGCCACTGTAGTCTGGATCTATGAGGATGTTATGCAAATAGACACAGTGGGTGTATTGGAATATAACAGATGAATTCAACTCATTTATATATAATTTGGCATTTTGATAACATGACATTCATTCATATCATTAGTGACCATTTTATAAATTTTTGCATGATTTAACATGATCCGTATTTTTTATGAAGATAAGATAGCAGTGTTAGCTAAAAATTGCGTTGGTGGTGATGATGTTGGTGATGATGAACATAATGATAGTGCTACTATTATGTGTAGGACATAGTCCTCCAATTCACGATGATCGTCTCCGTGGTCTAGTGGTAGAGCGTCTGCCTGTAGAGCAGAAGGTCCGGGGTTTGATCCTCGGCCGCGTTATACCAAAAGACGTTTTAAGATGGTACTTGTTGTTACCGTGTCTGGTGCTCGGCGTTTAGGAGCTAAAACAAGTACTGGTCGGCTCGGAGTCAGTGTACTGTGTCTGAGTGGGGTACTCATGTTCAACTGCGGCGTGGTATCTCAGTGGGCTAGCACTATAAAATCGGCATCAGTCCGGCCCGATTGGAACCTCAAGTGCGTATGAATGCCACCGTGTGAACAACCATTTAAGGTCTCGTGTGATATTAACGTAAAGCACGTGCAGAGCTAATCGCAAGAAGCAGTGTTTTCGGCATGGCAGAGAACGACTCCGACAATGGCGTTTTCATCTATCAAAAGCCGCTTTACCAGCTCGTGAATGTCCGTCAGTGAGTGAGTGAGTGATTTGTGTTAAGCGCCGCTTTGAACAGTATTCCAGTTGTATCACGCACGGATTTAGTACTGACAAACCTCGAAACATAATCGGGACGAACTAGAATTCGAATCATGGGTTTCTGGCGTGCCCAATGGAGACAAGGCGTGCCCAATGGAGACAAGTCTGCTTCGCCTCAGACCCACCATTCAGTAGAAAATTACATCTATAGAGCAGTATATAAATAAACACTCCTGGCTGGAGGGCCCATTGATCCCATCTATTTCTATTAATGGTGAGTTAAAACCGGCGTTAAACCCAACCAACTCACTCACTGACTGGTTAGTGTAGGGTGCGCTTCCCAAGGATCATAAACATTTATTATATACTTCAGTGTGAAAGACGAAGACAAAGATTTCCGAAGTTGCATTGAACATTACACTATATATTCCACTACAGTGAACATGACACTTGATATTTCACTGCTGTCAACATAACACGTTGACGGATTTATAGTCATACAAGAGTTACATCCCCTCAAATTGTCTCCCTTTGTCGTAAGTGTCTGGCCCGTAAACAAACTGTTGACTTACTTTTTACGTTAGTTCCACATTGACAAAGAATAACAATGACAGATGGTCATTTATGGAGTAAATATCGCTTCATTCCGTTCGTTATTCTCTTGAAAATGTTATGTTATAAACTGAATTTCTCATATAACTCTCGTCAATCGAGATTGTTCGTTTTGCAAAGCACATTTTTTGTTACTTGACCAGCGTTTATTCTTTCGCTTCCAACAGCGGTCTCGTTGTTTTCAAGAATATATTTTGTTACAGTTGATTTTGTATTGAATCATATCTATATGTATGATACAGAATTTTCGTGACCCTATTTTTATTACTTTTGTTGACATTTTTATGATTTTGCATACACGAATCTACCTTTTGAGTCGCAAATACAAGGGTTGGTGAACCGTCCCTGTGTGTCAGGGAGTGAGAATTTACGTTTCAAGGTTTTACATTTGTAATGAAATAATTTACTTTTCCAATATACTTAGCAAAAGGTATACCAAAATAGGTTATTCCATGTGCCTCGTGAAATATCATCTTCTTTCCCCGCGTCACTCGATGAGAGAAATATTATTATCTAGGGTGAATATTAGTTGACTGTTGGAGGGAATTGGAAGATGTAAAAACACATGACTATTTGCTACTAAAATGTCTACTACTACTACTACTACTACTACTACTACTACAACTACTACTACTACTACTACTACTACTACAACTACTACTACTACTACTACTACTACTACAACTACTACTACTACAACTACTACTACTACAACTACTACTACTACTACTACTACTACTACTACCACTACAACTACTACTACTACTACTACTACAACTACTACTACTACAACTACTACTACTACTACTACTACAACTACTACTACTACAACTACTACTACTACTACTACTACTACTACTACTACTACAACTACTACTACAACTACTACTACTACTACTACTACTACAACTACTACTACTACTACTACTACTACAACTACTACTACAACTACTACTACTACTACTACTACTACAACTACTACTACTACTACTACTACTACTACAACTACTACTACTACTACTACAACTACTACTACTACAACTACTACTACAACTACTACTACAACTACTACTACTACTACTACTACTACAACTACTACTACTACTACTACTACTACTACAACTACTACTACTACTACTACTACTACTACTACTACAACTACTACTACAACTACTACTACTACTACTACTACTACAACTACTACTACTACTACTACTACTACTACAACTACAACTACTACTACTACTACTACTACAACTACAACTACTACTACTACTACAACTACAACTACTACTACTACTACTACTACAACTACTACTACTACAACTACTACTACTACTACTACTACTACAACTACTACTACTACAACTACTACTACTACTACAACTACTACTACTACTACTACTACTACTACTACAACTACTACTACAACTACTACTACTACTACTACTACTACTACTACTACAACTACTACTACTACTACTACTACTACTACTACTACAACTACTACTACTACTACTACTACAACTACTACTACTACTACTATATATTCACTAATCTTGACAATCGCCTTACAGAGGACCTATGGACGGCCCCTGAGGTCCTGCGAGCCGACAGGAACATAGATTTTCAGAAGGCGGACATATACGCCATCGGCGTCATCATGAAGGAGGTGTTCACCCGGTCCGGCCCCTACACCGAGTACCCCTTCTTCTGTTCATCAGGTATGTCCTTATACCATTCCTCTGCTTGGTTCGTACACGGAGTACCACTTCTACAGCTAGGTCTGTACACCGAGTGCCACTTCTTCTGCTAGGTCCGTACAGCGAGTACACCTTCTACTGCTAGGTCCGTACATAGAGTACACCTTCCACTGCTAGGTCCGTACGCGGGGTACCACTTCTTCTGCTTGGTCGGTACAGCGAGTACACCTTCTATTGCTAGGTCTGTACGCGAAGCACCACTTCTACTGCTAGGTCCGTACACGGAGTACCACTTCTAGTCCTAGGTCCGTACGCGGAGTACCTCTTCTACTGCTAGGTCCTTACACGGAGTATCTCTTCTACTCCTAGGTCCGTACACGGAGTACCTCTTCTACTGCTAGGTCCGTACACGGAGTACCTCTTCTACTCCTAGGTCCGTACACGGAGTACACCTTCTACTGCTAGGTCCGTACACCGAGCACCTCTTCTTACTGACCCTTGCGATGTGTTATGTCTTACCTGAAAACGGTATGACACGAAGGGCGATTTTCAACTTTCAAGTAGTCAACTTTACCCTTGTGTCCAGCAATATTCCATCAGCTCCAGCCTTTTTGAGATACAGTCGAGCAGGTTCTTTCTAAATAAATTTGAAATAGCGTCATACGAGTCTTGCTCAAAAGTTGTGCGATCATGGTTACAACACGTATGGCCAAAGTAAAGCTCTCACAATGTTCTATGGTAGACTTATGGAAGATATTTCCAAATATGACGCCTCAGTGACCAAAATGTCCCATACAGCTCCTTATTTTGACTTGTGCCATATGTTCCCGTGTGTTTCAGGTTAACATTTGACTTGCCTTGCATGTGTTTGCTTTTGCATGAGTGTCACCGGTGGAGCAGAATACGCTCACCTTTTCGCGAACACCTGGTATCATCACTATTTGATAGTGATTCTTAAACACATGCTTATGACATAGTCGGATTTTGGGCTTTCAGTAGAGATCCTTCATGATCATGGATACGTTTCTTAATGCTTTTTATTAATGTATACTGGCTATGTGATCGCAGAAGTCGTCCGACGAGTTCGTGACCCTCCGTCGCACAATCGGTTCCGTCCGTCGGCAGCACGTGAGCTTCGCCAGCATCCTGACCTAGCGGCCCTGATCGAGGATTGCTGGAGTGAGGACCCCAGTGCTCGTCCCTCCGCCCCGAGGGTAGTCAAGTCTCTCACGAGGATCAATCCATCCAAGTATGTTATCAGATAAGTAATAGCTGGACACACTACTGCCTTTTGTCCTAAATACTCAGATCGCATGGCCTCATACACGATCGCCAACCACGAGATAGTATAAACGGGCTACCTTGGAAAGAAACACTCCACAATTCTCAGCATTTCCAATTTCAGCAGGCACCAACATGTAGAAACAGTATATATAATATAATAGATACAATTTACCTGCGGTTTGATGAGAACGTGTATAGTGTTTGACTATGATGTAACCATAGCAGTGCATAGACACAGGTTGTTCCGACACATGACCAAGACCTGACTTATTATGTATTCTATGGTTGTTCAGACACATGTCCAAGACCTGACTTATTATGTATTCTATGGTTGTTCAGACGCATCACCAAGACCTGACTTATTATGTAATCTATGGTTGTTCCGACGCATGACCAAGACCTGACTTATTATGTATTCTATGGTTGTTCAGACACATGACCAAGACCTGACTTATTATGTATTCTATGGTTGTTCAGACATATGTCCAAGACCTGACTTATGATGTATTCTATGGTTGTTCAGACGCATGACCAAGACCTGACTTATGATGTATTCTATGGTTGTTCAGACACATGACCAAGACCTGACTTATTATGTATTCTATGGTTGTTCAGACACATGACCAAGACCTGACTAATTATGTATTCTATGGTTGTTCAGACACATGACCAAGACCTGACTAATTATGTATTCTATGGTTGTTCAGACACATGACCAAGACCTGACTTATTATGTATGCTATGGTTGTTCAGACACATGACCAAGACCTGACTTATTATGTAATCTATGGTTGTTCCGACACATGACCAAGACCTGACTTATTATGTATTCTATGGTTGTTCAGACACATGTCCAAGACCTGACTTATTATCTATGCTATGGTTGTTCAGACACATGTCCAAGACCTGACTTATTATCTATGCTATGGTTGTTCAGACACATGACCACGACCTGACTTTTTATGTATTCTCTGGTTGTAGACAGTTGTCCAAGACCTGACTTATTATGTATTCTATGGTTGTACAGACACATGTCCAAGACCTGACTTATTATGTATTCTATGGTTGTACAGACGCATGACCAAGACCTGACTTATTATGTAATCTATGGTTGTTCCGACGCATGACCAAGACCTGACTTATTATGTATTCTATGGTTGTTCAGACGCATGACCAAGACCTGACTTATTATGTATTCTATGGTTGTTCAGACACATGTCCAAGACCTGACTTATTATGTATTCTATGGTTGTACAGACACATGACCAAGACCTGACTTATTATGTATGCTATGGTTGTTCAGACACATGTCCAAGACATGACTTATTATGTATTCTATGGTTGTTCAGACACATGTCCAAGACCTGACTTATTATGTATTCTATGGTTGTTCAGACACATGTCCAAGACCTGACTTATTATGTATTCTATGGTTATTCAGACACATGTCCAAGACCTGACTTATTATGTATTCTATGGTTGTACAGACGCATGACCAAGACCTGACTTATTATGTAATCTATGGTTGTTCCGACGCATGTCCAAGACCTGGCTTATTATGTATTCTATGGTTGTTCAGACACATGTCCAAGACCTGACTTATTATGTATTCTATGGTTGTTCAGACGCATGTCCAAGACCTGACTTATTATGTATTCTATGGTTGTTCAGACACATGTCCAAGACTTGGCTTAAGATGTATGCTATGGGTGTACCGACACATGTCCAAAACTTGACTTATGATGTATGGTATGGTTGTACAGACACATGTCCAAGACTTGACTTATGATGTATGCTATGGTTGTACAGACACATATCCAAGACTTGACTTATGATCTGTGCTATAGTTGTACAGACAAATGACGACAGCTTGACTTATGATATATGCTATGGTTGTACAGACAAATGACTACAGCTTGACTTATGATATATGCTATGGTTGTACAGACACATGTCCAAGACTTGACTTATGATATATGATGTGGTTGTACAGACACATGACGATGATCGACAACATGATCGCCATGTTGGAGAAGTATGCCAACCATCTGGAGGAGCTTGTGGCGGAGAGGACGAGTGAGTTGGACGCGGAGAAGGGGAAGACGGAGAACCTGCTGTACAGGATGCTGCCACAGTGAGTGACACGTGGGGATAAGGTATGGGGGGAGGGGGAGTACATGATGCTGCCACAGTGAGTGACACGTGGGGACAAGGTATAGGGGGAGGGGGAGTACAGGATGCTGCCACAGTGAGTGACACGTGGGGATAAGGTATAGGGGGAGGGGGAGTACAGGATGCTGCCACAGTGAGTGACACGTGGGGACAAGGTATAGGGGGAGGGGGAGTACAGGATGCTGCCACAGTGAGTGACACGTGGGGACAAGGTATAGGGGGAGGGGGAGTACAGGATGCTGCCACTTTGAGTGACACGTGGGGACAGGGGATAGGGGGAGAGGGGAGTACAGGATGCTGCCACAGTGAGTGACACGTTGGGATAGGGGGAGGGGGAGTACAGGATGCTGCCACAGTGAGTGACACGTGGGGACAGGGGATAGGGGGAGCACGTTGGGATAGGGGGAGGGGGAGTACAGGATGCTGCCACAGTGAGTGACACGTGGGGACAGGGGATAGGGGGAGAGGGGAGTACAGGATGCTGCCACAGTGAGTGACACGTGGGGACAAGGGATAGGGGGAGGGGGAGTACAGGATGCTGCCACTTTGAGTGACACGTGGGGACAGGGGATAGGGGGAGAGGGGAGTACAGGATGCTGCCACAGTGAGTGACACGTGGGGACAGGGGATAGGGGGAGAGGGGAGTACAGGATGCTGCCACAGTGAGTGACACGTGGGGACAAGGGATAGGGGGAGGGGGAGTACAGGATGCTGCCACTTTGAGTGACACGTGGGGACAGGGGATAGGGGGAGAGGGGAGTACAGGATGCTGCCACAGTGAGTGACACGTGGGAACAAGGTATAGGGGGAGAGGGGACCTGCTGTACAGAACGGACCTGCTGTACTCTATTCTTACTAAGATTGAAAAAGAGGGGATTAAGGGAGGTCGGGTGGATTAGGAAGGTGACACAACTCCTACTGTGCAGGACTCAAGACACAAACTCATCTTCTCTCTATAGTCCATCCTTCGAGTTGCAAAAGAATCTTACAATATTATTCTGGCTCATAAGATTCGTTATACATGTAATATGAAATGGTTTGCTTACGACAAGACAATGCTTAGTGTTCACTGTTATTTTCCCAGGTCCGTGGCCGAGGACCTCAAGTTGGGTAAACCGGTGAAGGCGGAGATGTTTGACCAGGCTACGATATACTTCTCAGATATAGTGGGCTTCACCAAGATCTGTGGCGAGAGTACACCCATTGAGGTAATAGCGTTAGCATCCCAAGCGATATACTTCTTAGATATAGTGGGCTTCAGCAAGATCTGTGGCGAGAGTACACCCATTGAGGTAATAGTGTTAGCATCCCCAGCGATATACTTCTTAGATATAGTGGGCTTCAGCAAGATCTGTGGCGAGAGTACACCCATTGAGGTAATAGTGTTAGCATCCCCAGCGATATACTTCTCAGATATAGTGGGCTTCAGCAAGATCTGTGGCGAGAGTACACCAATTGAGGTAATAGTGTTAGCATCCCCAGCGAGATACTTCTCAGATATAGTGGGCTTCACCAAGATCTGTGGCGAGAGTACACCCATTGAGGTAATAGTGTTAGCATCCCCAGCGATATACTTCTCAGACATAGGTGGCTTCACCAAGATCTGTGGCGAGAGCATACCCATTGAGGTAATAGTGTTAGCAACCCAAGCGAGATACCTCTCAGATATAGTGGGCTTCACTAAGATCTGTGGCGAGAGTACACCCATTGAGGTAATAGTGTTAGCATCCCCAGCGAGATACCTCTCAGATATAGTGGGCTTCAGCAAGATCTGTGGCGAGAGTACACCAATTGAGGTAATAGTGTTAGCATCCCCAGCGAGATACCTCTCAGATATAGTGGGCTTCACCAAGATCTGTGGCGAGAGTACACCCAATGAGGTATTACAAGATGTCCCACGAATCCACACAGTGACTAATTTACAAGCAGCTTTCAGTTACCTTCACAATGACAGGATGATGTCACGGATATGTAGGCGATGTTTAGCCCAGTTCTCGACGCATTTGCTACAAACAGGTTATGCCATGCACGTTGTCAAATACCTTGTCTGTGATCGCGAACCAATCTGATTTGACGAAAAACGAAAGAACGTATATTCATCTGGGCAAAACTCAGCCGTAAACCTTCTCCCAATTCACTACATGGGGAGTTAGAGGGGAGTTGTTTCTAGAGTATTGTAATGGTCGCTTGTACACCGGTGCAGCGATGGTACAGGAAGTGGAAAAAGGTGCCAGCTGTGAGGTGCTTGGTGTGAACTCTTCCCAAGGGACACCACTCCACCAACCCCATGAACTTCCGTTTCGTTCATGTCATCCTTTCGTTTTCGTCATATTCATTATATTATTGTAACTCAACCGACGGAATTATGAAATTGGCAAAATTACGTCAATAGGTCGTTTCTCTCGCATCTCAAAGTCTCAAATGAGGAAAGAATGTCTGGTTGTGGAGCAGATGATATATATAGAGAGAGAGAAAAAGCACAGTTAAGTTCTAACTCTCAGGCACAATGTAGTTATAATTAAATAAGTGTAGTAAGATTGAACACAGTTTTAATTGGCTGGCGCTTTCAACTGGTACATGTTACAACTTCATGTTCGTTATTCAGTTATGGCCTGATGAGACTCGTACGTGGTACGAGTTGAACGCGCTAGCCAGTTAAAACTGTGTTCAAACATTTACATTTGACCCCTGAATAAAGTTCTCCGTGTGCTTCCAGGTCGTCAACTTCCTCAACGCACTGTACACACTCTTTGATGACATCATCACTCACTATGACGTGTACAAGGTAGGGGTGATGGATTTTCTTGTTGATACCGTCTTTAACATAATTCTGTCGTCTCTCTGTCGATGATGTATTCGGTTACCAAAATATTTTTCAAATCTCTAGGATGTTTATTCTTCAAAATTTTAGGTACGTATGTGACCTATGTGTAAATTATCGAGTCTGGACCAGACAATCCAGTAACTGACATCATGAGCATTGGGATACGATGATATGCATCAACCAAGTCAGCGAGCCTAACCACCCGATCCCGTTAGTCGCCTCTTACGACAAGACGACGGTTAGAATTGTCAGTAAAGGGTAAACGATTATATGTGAAGATAGGCATGTGGGTTGTCAGAGGCTATACATTTGGTTTTGCAGACACAACAGACACTGGGATTATCAATCAATAGCAAAGTCACAGAAACAATATTGGGCAAGGTGTTGAGTGATAAAAGATACGCTCGTCGATTCTCGGAGATAGGGACACAATGTGTGAATCATATCCATGCTAAGCAGCGTAACATACTTCTTACTTACTCACTCACTCCCGTTACTCTCTGCTTCTAGGTGGAGACAATCGGGGACGCCTACATGATAGCAAGCGGTCTGCCGATGAGGAACGGCGACAACCACATCAAGGAGATCGCCGACTGTGCCATGGACATCCTCGCCTCCACCGCCACCTTCACCATACCTCATCTACCAGACAGACCCCTCAAGATACGTATAGGTCAGTAGGGAGGGGGTACAGGGGGTCCTTCAGCTAACCGTCCCATTGTCACTGGACATATATGTGTTTTCAGTGTTGAACGTCCAAGGATCGGAGAAAAATGCAATATTTTTCAAACAATCGGTATCGCAATAACATCCATCGATGGCCGCGTTTGTATACCAGATGTACGATCAAACTGGCACAAGAACTTTCAGATAGATTCAAGGTGAAGGTGAGGTGAAATGGGGTTTAACGTCGCGTCCAAGATTATTGCACTTATATCGTGCTGTGTATGTATGTGTGTTTGTGTGGCTGCTTGTACTAGTCTGGATTGATGCCGATTTATAGTGCTAGCACACTGAGATACCATGCCGCAGTTTAACATGAATACCCCACTCAGACACAGTATACTGACTCCGAGCCGACCAGTCCTTGTTTTAGCCACTTAATGCCGAGCGCCAGGCAGGGTAACAACAAGTACCATCTTTATCGTCTTTTGATTTGACGCGGCCGGGGATCGAACCCCGTACCTCACGCTCTCCAGGCGGACGCTCTACCATCAGACCACGGAGGCGGTCCAGAGGCCGCTGTATGGCCGCTGAATGGTCTGTTGTGAGCCATTCGAACAGTTGTGATTGGACGTCACCACGTACCGATATTATCCATCTGACGTCACACGCGGTCTGTCACTTAGTGGACGATAATCTGGTCACCTGATGATGCTCCTGAAGCTGCAAGTGTTGGACACCAAAGTGTCTGGCATCTCGTGGCATGCTCCGTCCAGCTTCAGTAAGAACGACTCTCCTCATCCAGTTTTCCATGAGGTTTTTGTGTCAAACTTAAAATCATACTGCAAAACCACAAGCTATTGTTTGAAACCAGATACCAAGGTTCAATGAATCAATCAAAACATTCTCAAACCTTCAGGTAGTAATAAGGAGTGTTCCACATTGTATGCATTTGTTTTTCTTTTTGGTTTGTTTGTTTGTTTGTTTGTTTGTTTGTTTGTTTAACGCCGCATTCAGCAATATTCCAGCTATATGACGGCGGTCTGTAAATAATCGAGTCTCGACCAGACAATCCAATGATTGACATCATGAGCATCGATCCACGCAATTGAGATACGATAAAATGCATCAACCAAGTCAGCGAGCCTGGCCACCCGATCCCGTTAGTCGCCTTTTATGGCAAGCATGGGTAGCTGAAGACCTATTCTACCCCGGATCTTCAGGGGTCTGTATGCTTTTGCCAGAGATGTTCGAGCAATTATCGCAAGTTGCGTTTCGGTGAATGTTATGATGTGAAATAAAATAGAACGTTATCAAATTAAAACTTAAGTTATTATTTTACATCATTTCTGTTTCATGATATCGATCTTTGAACATCGCGTTTCTTTTGGAGCTGAGTATATATTACATGTTCATATGATCACTCCGGAGTTCGTTTATAAGTAGTAGGGGGCACGGGTGGCCCAGTCGTCGCTCTGCAGAGTTGCGTCCCTTGATTGATCATAGAAACCTATGATTGTGGGTTCGAATCTCGGTTCGCCCCGATTATGTTTCTAGGTTTGTCAGCACCATACCCGTGCTTTTGGGTTACACCGAAGTGGTAATTGTCTAAGTCCTGCATCACTTTGCTCTTTCCTCCTACACGCTGACACGCTGTGATATAACTGGAATACTGTTAAAAGCGGCGTTAAACACAACTCACTCACTCACTCGTAAAGTAGTAACCGTTCAAAGCGTTATATATGACCTAAGTTTTATTGACTATCGATAGATGATGACCTTTCATGGTATTGCAGACTATATACAATATTTTACTTCCACTTCACCACTTCACACTTCAGGAATCCACACAGGGTCGGTGGTTGCAGGAGTTGTTGGTCTAGCGATGCCTCGGTACTGTTTGTTTGGAGACACGGTCAATGTGGCCTCCAGGATGGAGTCAACCGGGTTCCGTAAGTTGATTACAGAGACATGTCTTTATTAGTATGGAGTGAAATCTTTGGACAACTTTTGAAGTGAGGTGAAATGGTGTTCGTAGGTCATCTTTTAACGGCTTTTGAATTGATGCTTCCGGGGATCATGTCAGCTTAAATTAGGAGCAAAGCCCGAAGTGAGGCAGGTCACAGACGTGAGTTCGAATCCCGATTCGTCTTGATTATGTTTCTAAATTTGTCAGCACTATACCTGTGCTCGTGGGTTTCATCGTGAACATATAAGCCCAGCTTCGGGCTTTCCTCCCACATTAAGCTGACCACAATGGTGACATTCACGCATTCACTCACCAAGCGCAATCCACTGATATTTCACGATATCATTTTTAGACGATCTGCAGTAACCTGTCTTGTCTAATATCAAACTCTGCTTGTGTCGAACAACTATCTTTTCGTACGAACTTCGAGAACTTTAACTGTAGAGTAATAATCATTATTTTCAAATTCCATAATTAACAATTCATTATACGAATTAGTAACAGGCCAAATCACCACACAGTTATTTTGACACTTGGCGTAACGATACTATATTGTATTGTCATAAAGTTATATACAAGTCTCTGTTTTTAGCCATGAAGATCCACCTGAGCTCAGTCGCCCATGACAAGCTGGTGTCTCGGTTCGCTGGCTACCACTTTTACGACCGGGGCGAGATCCCAGTGAAGGGCAAGGGCACCATGACCACCTTCTTCCTGACCGGGAGGGACGGCTTCACCAAGGTCCTGCCCCCTGCTGACCAGGACGTCCCGGGGTCCCCGGCAGGGAAGTGGGGGACACCAGAAGACCGTCATCCCATGCTCCTGCCCAGTCTGTCGGACTGTGGCATCCACACCAGAGAGGTCAGCCATTCTGTCCTGGTGTCCATGCCCATACTGACCGCCGGGGAACATGTGAAGGACAACCAGGACGGTCCTTACCCTGCCAGCTGTACCGCTCTGTCTCAAGGAACGTCAGATCATGACGTGTGTTCTCCCGATCTTATGACACGAAGAACGTATGTGAAATCCAGTGTTCCACGACGGAAAGAACCTATACATGACGTTCATGTCAATGTAGTGACGTCAAGGTTTCACACCATGCCACGTGCTTCCTCACATGTACTTAGAGGTGCGGAACAGCATTCCACAAACACAAACCTGGTAACGCCAGGAAGCCATGGGTCATGTCATGTGGCCACGCGTGTCAATAGCGTACCAAATTCAGGATATTCGTCTCACAGCATCCCCAGAACACTAGAAGCACAAGATCAACGTGATGTGACCTCACTGGTAAATATTGTAACAGAGTCAGGACCTTCACCTCAGAGTAACCCACCGACGCAAGGAGAAGATTCCTATGATGTTATCCCGCAGGTAAACAGTGTTACGGAGCCAAGAAGTTCTGCTCACTGCAATAATATGACGACGGAAACACAGTCGCCATATCTTACCTCGCTAAGTGTGACAAGAACAAGACGTTCATCTCAGGGCAACCCCACGACGTATAGTACTAGGGAGCCACTCACTGTAAACTCTCACACTTATCAACCAACACTTGATGTTCCCTCCAGCAGTAGAACATCACAGACTGAAGTTTCAAACTCGTCCTTGACCAATAGCCTAAAAGAGCCGACACATCGGGCGCCAGGACCTAGGTCTAATTCAGTTGTGGGTGTTGTCAACATGGCGTTTGAATCAAAAGAGGATCGAAAATCAGCAGCGGGCTTTACGATGAAAAGTGCCACAATTCCACGCTGTTCTAGCAGAGCTAGAGCGTTGACCCCGCATTTGACATCACACATTGACGTGGACATGTATGATGAAAAACTAAAGCGACGAGTGACCCGTGTTGTTGAGATCACACCGTTATGACCAGCGGTAGCTCGGTTGTTGATGTGTGAGGTTGAAGGGGAGAGGTGCCTTTCCAGCGGAGATAGAGGGATGGAGGTTCTGACATGTCTTGCATGAAGTTCTGAGAGTTCCAAATTGCTTTATGACACATTCATGCAGGAATTTCAGGGATCGTTTGGAAGATTCCAAGAGGGATATGAGATTGCAGGAGTTTGAGAAGAAATTTGCACGTGTTAGCAAACTGTTCTTGACATTCAAGAAGCAGGGTACACGTGAGTGTTTTGGAGCAGTTATACTAACACGTGTGTTCTGGACTAACACGTTTAACTGAAACGAGAATCTGACACTTGAAACAGAAGACGACCATCAACACGTGTGTCCTGAATATTGCAGAATTCTACACGTGATGAACTTTATGTAACTCCCGGTGAATTCAACATGTCCAGGTTAGGACGTCTGGCGATGATGACTTGATGTGCTGTGCAGATGGTCATAAGTTTACCTACATTTTGTATACACGCAACTTGTCGACTGTCACACAGCAAACCAATCACCCAAGCCATGCGGCCATCAAACATTTCTCCTTGTATTATCATGCATAGATTCCTGTGTCCACGCCCTACATCCAGCCAGCTATATATTAAATAAACCGCTACACATAGATTTACCACGATTTATTTAGCCGATGTAACACTTATCACATTTGAATATCAGTGACTACATTAATAAGTAAGGTCACGCCAGAGATGGGCTTAACACATTGTACCCACGTGGGGAGTCGAACCCGGGCCTTCGGCGTGATAAGCGAACGCTGTAACCACGAGGCTACCCCACAGCCGACGTGGCGACTGGCGGGATGAGGTCGTAAGGCTCGCTAATGCATGTTATCGTATCCTAATTGTGAAGACCGATGCTCATGATGCCAATCACTGGATTGTCTAGTCCAGATTCGATTATTTACAGACCGTCGTCATATTGCTGGAATATTGCTGAGTGCGGCGTTAAACATCACACATACAAACAAACTATTCCCACTACTAATGCTACTCCTACTGCTACTTCTACTACTGAGCGGTCGGGTAGCCTAGTGATTAAAACTTTCGCTCGTCACGCCGAAGACCCGGGTTCGATTCCCCACATGGGTTCTATGTCTGAAGCCTATAACTTGTGTCCACCGTCGTGATATTGCTGGAATATTGCGAAAACCATACTACTACTACTACCACTACTACTACTACTACTACTACTACTATTACCACTACTGATGTTAGTGTGTGTATTAAACATAGGGCAAAATCATATTTCCGAACATTTTGTGGAACAAGTGAAGCCCAGCCTAACAAGAGTGTCAAATGATCAGATCGTTATTGCAATCTACTTCCATACTATTTACGACTGGGTGATGTGGAATATAGGACACAAGACAAATCAAAATGTCAGCGTATTTTTTTATGACTGCGGTGAGTCAACCAGTCCGCTTTATCATCTCCCCGTGCCATGACAGTTATACGTCCAGCGTCTCCGTAGTAGCGCCAAGTGTAGGTCACCCAAATATTCCATCAACGCCAGGTATGTGTTTAATGTATGCACAACAAAGACCTTCTGCATCGCACTCGGGTTATGTCAACACTACCTGCCAGCCGATCTACTGCGTTCTATTGCTGCGCGTCTTACGTCAGGGGATGAGGCATTTGTTGTAACTCGTGGAACATGAGAGATTAATACCATTGCTAGGGGCAGATAGAAGATTGACGGCTTCACTCCAGCCACACCTGTCTCTTTGAAACGTGCACACCCAAGCTCCTCGCAGCGATAGCCCGTTCGCGGAGCTCCCTAAACTATCGCTGCCACCAGTCAAAACTCCCCACTGTGATAGGTGGCCCCAACCATGCTTGGAGTTGAACTCGCAACCGAATGACCGTTATGTTTACAAACAAGTGACGACTGTCGTGACGCCGAATACTCTTACCCCTGCTAAATTACTTTCTTTGTTTGTCAATTTGAATTTCTATTTCATTTAAACTATCATGTTATTGATATAGTAAGAATGTAAGGGAGAAATTGGTTGATTTTCCGTAAGTCTGCAATCTCGAATCAATCTGATTATACAAACAACAAAGTAAATTCATCTGGAAAACATGGTCAGTCGTAAACCTTTTCAAAATTCACTATGATGGCATTCCCAAAGACATCAACAAAAGTATGAACGTTACTACATTTGGGGTTAGAGGCCAAATTTCAAGATTCTTGAAATGGCCGCGCCCACACTGGTGGCAGCGATGTTACCGAGAGTGTAACGAAGGTGTCACGCGCTGGGAAGGAGCTTGCCTCTCCTTTTGACCAGTCACATTCCAATTCTCGTATCACTTGCATTTGCTTCAAACAAAATGGCGGCGCTCAGTCAAGACGATCTGATCAATAATCAAGATATATATTGTGATAAAACGAGTCTTACATCAAGTGCATCAACGTGAATACCTTCATTAAAAACATGAAAAGATTCAGAACATATCTGTTGACAACGAGTTGGCGGTGCACATGCTTTGCAAACCCTGCAATCGATCGAAATCTGCATGACAGTTTACGAAACCGGATTTCGAGTTTGTTGCGCGATTTTGATTGGACTACATAGACTCGTTAGTCCAGCCACAATATAACTCCATAATACCAGCCTAGTTCGACAAGGGTGGAAACTGGACTTTTATAGTCAGTTAACTCACTTGCTTCGGGAAGATGAGCTCTCTGTTGTCCCCAAAACTTAAAATAGGTCTATGTAAAGATTCCTATCACGTTTCCTGCACCAAAAGTATTGCCACATATCCTTTGAATATTGTAGTAACCGCAACTTTGCATTTTGTAACCTGTAATTGTAGGTATAACTATTTATTTAAATACGCCTACCGACAATGATTGAAAAAAATACTATTCTATGAATATTAGCTTCCGCGGTGATTTCGACGGGATATTTCCACGAGATGAGAGAAACATGATATTTCACGCGACACATGGAATATCCTTTTTATAATATACATTTTGTATAGTTGTTTTTCGGAAAATTAAATATTTCATTACAAATGAAGAAACTTAAAAAGTAGTTTCGCGTTTGCAAAATCTTACAAAATACATTTGTACAAACAAAAGTATAAAAAGATATTTAGGGTACTTTATTCTGTATCATACATTTCGATACATGATTCCATGCAAAATCAACGTTAACAAAAATATATTTTTGAAAACTACGAGACCGCTGTTGGAAGCGATAGAATACACGCTGGTCGAGTACATGTTACAAAAAAGGAGCTTGCGAATCGAACAGTCTCGATTGACGAGTTAAATGAGAAATTTACAGTTTATAACGAAACATATTCAAGAGAATAACAAACGACAAGAAGCGATATTAACTCCATAAATGACCATCTGTCATTAATTTGCCTTGTCATTGTGAAACTAACGTAAAAATGACGTCAACAGTTTGTGTACGGGCTAGACACTTATGAGGGGAGGTAACTCTTGAATGGCCAAAGTTCCGTCAAAGTGCTATGTTCACTTTGCTGGCGCAGTAAAATATTATGTGTTATCTTCTCTGCAATGAAAATATCACTTTTCTCAACTTCAGAAAATTCAGCTGTGTTCATTAAAAATGATCTCTTTACGGGCGAGTAATACATACCTTAATATATCAACTGCTAGATTAACAGCTAAAATGATGTAAAAAAAACTATTCAAGGCTATTTAGTAAACGTATTAACCATTGGTACGGCAAGCCTGTGTAGCCTGTGATAATTAAACTGCAAATGTGTTGCATAGTGAGTGAGTTTGGATCTACGCCGCTTTAAGCAATCTTCCAGCAATATCACGGCGGGGGCCACCAGGAATAGGTTTTTGCATTGTAATCATGCACAGATATTTCCCGGAAACTGCCAGACGGCGGCGTAGGTGATTTACAGCTGCCAGGTACCCGTAGATAGCTTCCTTCGTCCTATAGAAACATATCAAACACATATTGGACATATACACACTCTATTTACGTGCGACAAGTTGTACAAAATCATGTATATTTGCACATAGTTGTAAACAATCATGGCGGCTCCTACTCGCGTCGGTAACTTCTGTCTTTCAATGTGTCAATATTCCATTAAGAACCTATGAACAGTAGGTGCTTAGACCGACTCGGTAACAAATTTTCGTTTCTCACATTTTCATGTTAGGACTTGTGAAGCGCGACTACAATTCTCGCCACAAAGTTCAATTTTCAGAACTTCAAAATGTGTGTCAGAAAACTATTTCGGCAGCCATGGATCAATGGGTTACGTTATACCAACCATATATTTCAGCTATTATCAGAGATCTCGCGAGACCCAAGCTGTATGGACCTCAAAGTCCCGTGAATGCCAAATTGCACACGACTTCAGTTCGCACAACCAATCGCATACAAGTTGTACCGACTAGTTTTATAGTGTATTTGATGATATTTCGACAGTCTTGATTCTATTTTGAGGTCCCAAATCTAGCTTATTTACAGTCTTCAGAACGTGTTTCTTTGTCATTGTTGGTACTGTTGAGAAAAAAACTCATCACTTAATTTTATATGCCCGCCTGATTTATATATGATATTTACCTTGTAAGAGGAAGTCTCGTACCTCTTCACTGAGCGAAGAATTGTTTATCAACAGGCACTACAGCCCAGGAGACGGACTTATCCCCCCCTGTCACAGACGTCAGAACGTGGGCGTGGAATGATTACACCGACTATGTTATGGACAAACTGACATTGTTCGGCAGCGACATCGCCAACAAGGCCGTGGAAATGTATCCCCCGCTGTTGAACGTCACCGCAGAGTATCAACTCACAAGTCTCATTTCTGACATCCGGGTTACATGTCCAAATCATGTTTTAGCCAATGCCATGGCTGTTTCGTCTAACATGCGGGTGTATCGCTACATCGTTACGTCACATCCGGCACGACCTATCCATGCCTACGGTAACTTGTTTGCATCCGCCTATGCCTTTCACTCCTGGGATGGGATTGTATTCTTTGGCGGCCTCAAAATTTACTTTCCAGAGCCATCTAAGAAAAATCTTGATTTTAAGAGAAACCAACAAACCGAAATGGTATTTTACGCCCGAAATGGGTTTCCATATTCTCTGAATTGGCACCCCTACCCCTACACAACAGCATTGCTATCTCATGATGTTAATACCGTGCAGGCGTATCACTCACAGCAATGTCAATATTGGACTGATAAGGGCTTCTTCTCTTATGGGTGGATTAACTAGACCATTAGAGAAAGGGTACATTTCAATATGTATCCGACGTTACTTGGATTGAGTTGTCATCTGATATCAAATAATTGCATAGCTTAATTGCTTGAAGCATAAAATGCGTACAGAGCACAGAGCACTTTGACTTTATTATCTTTTATGTATATTATTGTTATCATAATCATGTACAGATTAAAATAAAAAATGCAGCAAAGAGGGTTTGGGTGATCCTGGCACAGTCAGGCTGATTGGGCTCATCATCAGCTCAGGGCCCTTGCCCCCTCTACACGCAGCCCAGACAGCGAATGGGACTTCTCACAGAAAGCGCTGTCTGGTCAAACCCAGCCAGAATGTTTCGGAGAATGTGAAGACTTGCCAAAACTGCAGCCTTCTGTATTAACCAGATTGTCAGACGGGCTGTATTCCTGGTAGCAAACCCGGGTACTCTCCCAATGTCAGTCAACAGATTGGGAGGTACCAAACCTAAGGCACCGAGAACAATGGGGTGTCGGACAACTTGGTACTTGGGATGCAAGCGTGACATTTCGAAAGCGAGGTCCGCATATTTGCCATGTTTTTCCTGAATCTTTCAATCACATTAGTGTCAGAAGGGACAGTGTTAAGTTTTAACCTTTTCACGAATCATTTATCTAAATAGCAATTGATCCCTACATCCCCAACATCCCTTTCTGGCCCCTTTCTGCTCCATGTAAATAATGTCATTGGAAGTGCAGTAGGATGACACAAGATCTGTAAGACACCCTGTGAATATTTCGTACTGTGTATCCAGACAAGTAATAGGGCGGAAGTTTGTAAGGACAGTCAAATCACCTTTCTTTGGAGGAAGTATTGTTCGACCTTTGCACAACCAAGGCGGAACATCCCCTGTATCCACAAGAGAATTTAAACAGTGAAGTAATAGTGTTTGGACGCAAGGAAACAGTTTCCAAAACCGGTTTAGAATACCATCAGGCCCAGGTGCCGTGGGTCTTTCTCATAATTGCCATTGGTTGCATTAAAAAAATGTCATTACATGTGAACAGTTTTTGTTGCTTTTTGAAAATAGTTTTCATATCCCACGTTCTCTTTCTTGTTGTCCAAACCTTTAACTTTGCCTTCAGAGAATCAAGAATTTTATTTAGAATTTTCTCTTTTGTCGACTTGTATTTATCAGACGTCTATGCCTTGTGGTTCATGAAAAAACAACTTAAGACTTCTGTGTTTCTTTCAAATATTTTTTCATAACAAAATATAAATATATAATCACAATGATTTAAACAAAAAAACATGTCTTGATCGGAGGGAACATGCATGCCCAATTTGAGCGTCTTCAGTCAAGAAGTATTAGAGTTATTTAGAGCATGGTAAAAGTGCAAAGATCCTTTCGCTGGAAAGGTCAGCTACAGGGTTACTGGGGGTCACAGTGTCATGAACATTGTAAGCAGTCCGTCATAAGAAAAAGATCCCTTTTAAAATTGTTGTACGTCACTTACATGCCTTGGAAGCTGAAGCAATGGATGCCTCAGCTTTGACAATGCAAGGGCTATCAACATACCAAGAAGCTAAATTTTGAAGTAGCTTGGATAACATACTCTCCACCACGCGATCGTTGTGACACAGTTATCCGATAACCACTGCGATCCAGGGACGTGATAGGTTTTAACAAGGCCATTACCATCACTGGACACCGGACTTTAGTACTTTGGCACGTTGTCTGCTGTCAGCGAACGATAACGTGACTTTGTCTCGTATCATCAACTACCTGCATCAGTCTGGAGTAGTTATCGAAGCAAGGCAACATGGCGTTAGGAACGGCTGTGCTGTTTGTGGCGTGTCTAGCTGCAGGTAAGATCACAAGAAGCAAATGCATCAGGTCGTTGGTCTGTTCAGTTTATTGGCTGCATTAGGATGCTCATGTTTTCGGTCAGTGGTTTGTCAAGTCCAGACTCAAATTTGAATAGAACACAGCGATATAGTTCGCTGGAATATAGTATATAGTTATAGTTGTTTTATAGTAGTAACAGTGTCAATGTGCGAAGTCGTTTTCTGGTGCCCCCAGTCATGATATTGGTGGAATATTGATAAAATAGCACTCACTCTCTGTTCAGTGTCAACTCCAACATTCAGTGCGGGGCATTGCGAGTTATTCAATTACTGGTTTGAATCGTCCAGACTCAGTTACCGGTATTTAAAAACCACCAATTCGTTATATATATTGTTTGTTGTAAGCAAGCAGCACTCCTCTGTATTCCAGCAACACATACGACAGCGTCCTGTAAATAATCGAATCTGGACATGACAAAACCATGATTATTTAGTACAATGATATGTCATAAGACGGATGTTTTCTTTACGAAGATTGTTTCCAATTGTCCATTGTGTAAAAAGTTCTGATTTGTGAAAAGATAGTATTGTTTTGGAAATTCAAGGGCGAGATAGAAAGAAAAGTGTTCAAACGAAAGTCTTTTTGTTGATTGTTACATAAACCTGTTACTATTCAGCAATTCCAAGTACAGATATAAAGTATGTTTATTATCAATCCGCGAGGTACTACTTCATGACGTTGCATAATTTGACCACTCAACTATTCTCCAAAACCTGATGATGTAACATATGTGTTACAGTCCAATGTCAGCGGTACGATCCTCTGTACAAAGAGTTGATGTCACGAGAGGCACAACACACCATCCCTGTCGACGGCAAGGACGAAACACTGAACGTGACAATAAACTTGACCCTGCTGAAGTTCACCTCGCTGGTGAGTCGCCCATACACGTACAGTACACATAGTATTTACACGCACATACACGTACAGTACACATAGCATTTACACGCCCATACACGTACAGTACACATAACATTTACACGCCCATACACGTACAGTACACATAGCATTTACACGCCCATACACGTACAGTACACATAACATTTACACGCACATACACGTACAGTACACATAGCATTTACACGCCCATACACGTACAGTACACATAACATTTACACGCACATACACGTACAGTACACATAGCATTTACACGCCCATACACGTACAGTACACATAACATTTACACGCACATACACACACATGCACACACACGCAGAGACGTATGAACACATGTTAGCGCACACTCTGGTACACGCACGCACACAAATACATCCAAGAACACACACACTGGTACACACACGCACACAGATACATACAAGGACACACGCGCTGGTACATACACGCACACAGATACATACAAGGACACACACGCTGATACACACACGCACACACGCACACAGATACATACAAGGACACACACACTGATACACACACGCACACATATACATACAAGGACACACACGCTGATACACACACGCACACAGATACATACAAGGACACGCACGCTGGTACACAAATGCACACACGCACACAGATACATACAATGACACACACGCTGGTACACAAGTGCACACACGCACACACAGATACATACAAGGACACACACGCTGGTACACACACGCACACACGCATACAGATACATACAAGGACACACACGCTGGTACACATATGCACACACGCACACAGATGCATACAAGGACACACACGCTGGAACAAGCACGCACACACGCACAGATACATACGACACACGCTGGTACACGCACGCACACAGATGCATACAAAAACACACACGCACACAGATGCATACAAAAACACACGCTGGTACACAAATGCACACACGCACACAGATACATACAAGGACACACACGATGGTACACAAGCGCACACACGCACACACAGATACATACAAGGACACACACGCTGGTACACACACGCACACACGCATACAGATACATACAAGGACACACACGCTGGTACACACATGCACACACGCACACAGATGCATACAAGGACACACATGCTGGTACACGCACGCACACACGCACACAGATACATACGACACACACGCTGGTACACGCACGCACACAGATGCATACAAAAACACACACGCACACAGATGCATACAAAAACACACGCTGGTACACAAATGCACACACGCACACAGAGACATACAAGGACACACACGCTGGTACACAAATGCACACACGCACAGAGATACATACAAGGACACACGCACATGAACACTTGTAATTACAAGTTCTCGAGGGTTAGCAGTTCTGTAGGTTCTCCTGATGACCAAGTAACTGGCGCAGCAATCTTTATTCTCCTGTAAAACTATCGAAACTCAAGTAGCACCAGAGAGGTCAAGTCTGTGTATCTATATTACTCTGAATGTCTACACAAACTGCAAGGGCGGATTGGGTCGTGTTATATGCTGGATAAAACAGGTCCTGATTTTAACAAACCGAGTTTCAATTCAAATAAGAATAAATGTGTCCAGTGAAACAATTCATTGTTAGTTGCGTCCCTCAGGCTTGCCAGGATCCTAACATACACCATTCAGAATATTACATCCTTGGTGTAGATTATTCTCTTCTTCCGTCCTTGTCTTCAGAATCTGAGGACAGGGGACGCTGTGCTGGACACGTGGGTCCACTATGAGTGGGAGGACAGCAGGCTGGCATGGGACCCCTCGGACTACAAGGGAATTACACTGATGAACCTTCCTCCTTCCAATATATGGACCCCTGACATTGTTCCCTACCGGGGGTGAGTACTTTAATGGAGAAAAAAACCCAGCGAATACTTAATTAAGGTGAGGTGAAATGGGGTTTAACGTCGTGTCCAAGATGTTTGCATATAGCGTGTGTGTGTGTGTGTGTGTGTGTGTGTGTGTGTGTGTGTGTGTGTGTGTGTGCTACGAGTCCACCAGTCCTTGTTTTAGCCCCTTAATCCCGGGCGCCAGACAGGATAACATCAAGTAACATCTGTTAGCGTCATTTCGTATGACGCGCCAGGGGAACCCCGGACCTTCCTCTCTCCGGGCGGCCGCTCTACCACTAGACCAAGGAGGCGGACGTGAATACTTTAAAAACTATATTACTCTATCAACCCGATTAATGAAAAACGAATACAATTATGTTCCTTCTAGCATGAAATTGAACATTTCTGGTTCTGCAGGATGTAAGATTTCGAATCTGGATCCGGCAAACCAATATTTGTTCACTGTAATAAAACCTTGCCCAATACAACTATGATGAGTGGGTTCTTCTGGTTTGTTTCAGACATACAGTCGTCACTGATGTGCCCGCGGTTGTACGCCATAGCGGACTTGTGTACTACATACCCCCAACCATCATCAAGACACGATGTGACGTATCGAGCTACACCACCGACGGCACCGTGAGGTGTAGCCTGAAGATTGGATCGTGGACGTATAATGGCAACATTTTGGACGTTCAGAACAAAGGCCTGGAGATCGACGTCTCTGAGTACCACCACGATGGCCAGTGGGACATCACCGAGCATTCCATGCAAAGAAGTGTTACCTTTTACCAATGCTGCCCCGAACCATACCCTGCTATCATGGCTTCAGTGACATTGAAAGCTAAAAGACATGGTCTGTTGGGCTGGAGTTTGTTTCATTGAAAAGGTTGTAGTAGTTTATAAAGAAGACATGAATCAGATTAGAAACCTGATACCATTTCAAATTATACGTACTCGAACCGTTTTAGGAATTTATTGGAGAATACGTTTAACAAGGTGTATCTGACTGGACTTTGTTGTTATATTCCGATTAACGTAATTCCCACTTACATGAATAAGTAAGTTATTGATAATTTCCGCTCGGAAAAGTGTACAATCAGCAGATTAAAGAAACAATAATAAAGTCATTTGCATGGATATCATGTTTGATTGTCCACACTACTGAGCTTCTTTTAGTGGCATTTAAAAGTTGGTGTGATGAAGAAAGACAATTTCTATGGATGAACCACTTCTTTATTACAATTAGTGCGGCGTTTCGGTGTAGATCCTACGATTCCAACGGGGGGCATACACTACTGAGCGTCAACTGAACACCTACAACATCACATACAACCAGAAGTATGTCTTTCATAAAAGACCAAAACTAAAAATATACTCTTCAAGAAACGAAACGCAAAGCCACATTTGTGTGAGGTAGGAAAATACATTTATACGAGGAACCATACACGGACGGTATTGAGCCAAAATGTCGTAGAGAGAACACTTGGTGAATGTAGTCATCTGAGTTATCGGTACATAGGAAACGTCCAAGGTGAAGGTCAGCTACCATCAATAACGCGTATGTCCCCCGATGGAATCGATAGCGGCCCAACATCTCCTGCCCAGTCACGAGACGAGTATGCGAATCACACCCTGGGGAATAGTAGCCCACTCGTCCTGCAACGCAAAAGCCAACTGCTGCAACGTCTGGGGTTGTGGTTGACGTCGGCGTAGCCGTCTATCCAATTCATACCACATGTGCTCTGTCGGGTTCAAATCCGGGGATCTGGAGGGCCAGGGGAGAACATCAACGTTGTTGTTGTGTAGACAGGCTCTTGTGATCCGTGCTTTATGCGGTCGAGGACGTGTGGTAGGAGAATGTCGTTGATGTATCGCTGAGCTGTAAGATTTCCCGGGATATGGACCAAACCTGTCCTGTCATGATGAGAGATAGACGCCCACATCATAACGCTACCCCGCCAAACCTGTCCACTTCCTGTACGCAGTTTCTGGCGTAATGTTCTCCACATCGTTTGTAGACCCGTGCTCTTCCATCCCCTCGACGGAGGCTAGGAGGCCATACCCTGTGTTCACGACACCAATGCAGTCGTTGTTGACGATGTTGTCGACTCAATATGACGCGTCGAACAGAACGTCCTGCTCGTAGACCTGCTGCTCTTAAACGGTTACGTACGGTCTGGTCGGAGATTCTGCGAAGTCCGGGTATTTGGGATGCGGTTGAGGTGGCAGTGGTCGTCCTTTCACATAGGTGGCGCAGTCGGATGTAGCGATCTTGGGCGGGGGTGATTACTCTTGGTCGTCCCGACCTTGGCCGATCACGTGTTGACCCATGCTGTTGAAACCGATCCCATAGCCTTGTGAATGTGCTGGGCGTTACATTGAAAACCCTGGCTACAGCTGATCGGGATTCCCCTGCCTGAAAGCGGCCTATGACGTTTTTTCTTCGCACTTCTGTTAATCTTGGCATGTTTTTGATCTGTCACTGTCACTGACGCAGATGCCAGGCAATCAAACACCCTGCACTTTGATACCGTTCATAGTGCTGCTGCACGTGCAGTACGTGCAGTTCCATGGCCCTTTTGTTAATACAATGGGTGCGTTTTTCCGAATCGTACGTGTTTCCCGACTAATGATCCATTTTGATCCGGGAAATTTGTCACTGCCACTATAACACATTAAACCTCTTCATTTTGCACCTCTTGCTCCGCTAATTTTGCTTTTATGGCCAAAAAAATCCGTTTTCGTCGGATAATTTGGGTTAAGAAATAAAATGATTACATATACATATATATATTAAATGATACATGGCTGTGTTAGTTCTCGGTTAGTTATCCTCTCTTTCTTTGTATTTTAGTGTGTGTGTGTGTGTGTGTGTGTGCGTGTGCGTGTGTGTGTGTGTGTGTGTGTGCCTTCCTCCATCTCCCTTGAATACTTACGGCCGCTACGCAGTGTAGTCGTGATGTCACGTGTCTATTTTGAGAACGCTGATAGGATGAGGCGGTTTATTACTCGTGGAAATTAAATTTCCTCTACCCTACCGGTCTATACCATTGCCTGACATTAAAGATATGTGAAGAGCCGGCAGCACAAGACTAATGCTCAAATGACAAGAATATGCCACCGGAACGATGTGAAAGCTGAACGCCCATTGGTCTAAGCACTCGCTGAAACAAGGCCTTGATTCGTTGGTTATAATTGGCGACCACACAACATAGCGGCCTTGTGTATTCCTCGTTGATGTAGGAACGTACTGTATACACGATGTGAAGTGTTGACGACGATGATGTAGGAACGTACTGTTCACAAGCCGTGAAGTGTTGACGACGGTGATGTAGGAAGGTACTGTAGACAAGCCGTGAAGTGTTGACGACGGTGATGTAGGAACGTACTGTAGACAAGCCGTGAAGTGTTGACGATGGTGATGTAGGAACGTACTGTAGACAAGCCGTGAAGTGTTGACGACGATGATGTAGGAACGTACTGTAGACAAGCCGTGAAGTGTTGACGATGGTGATGTAGGAAGGTACTGTAGACAAGCCGTGAAGTGTTGACGACGGTAATGTAGGAAGGCACTGTAGACAAGCCGTGAAGTGTTGACGATGGTGATGTAGGAACGTACTGTTCACAAGCCGTGAAGTGTTGACGACGGTGATGTAGGAACGTACTGTAGACAAGCCGTGAAGTGTTGACGACGGTGATGTAGGAACGTACTGTAGACAAGCCGTGAAGTGTTGACGATGGTGATGTAGGAACGTAATGGAGACAAGCCGTGAAGTGTTGACGACGATGGTAATGTAGGAATGTACTGTAGACAAGCCGTGAAGTGTTGACGACGGTGATGTAGGAACGTACTGTAGACAAGCCGTGAAGTGTTGACGACGGTGATGTAGGAACGTACTGTAGACAAGCCGTGAAGTGTTGACGATGGTGATGTAGGAACGTACTGTAGACAAGCCGTGAAGTGTTGACGACGGTGATGTAGGAACGTACTGTAGACAAGCCGTGAAGTGTTGACGATGGTGATGTAGGAAGGTACTGTAGACAAGCCGTGAAGTGTTGACGATGGTGATGTTGGAACGTACTGTAGACAAGCCGTGAAGTGTTGACGATGGTAATGTAGGAAGGCACTGTAGACAAGCCGTGAAGTGTTGACGATGGTGATGTAGGAACGTACTGTAAACAAGCACATAAAACGTTGCGATGGTGATGTAGGAAACCTAATGGCCGCGTCCACACTGGTGGCAGCGACGTTACCGAGAGTGTAACGAAGGTGTCACGCGCTGGGAAGGAGCTTGGTTCACACCCTGTCTCAGCTACCACTGCCGCTCGTCATGACGCCATCTTGATTTTTTTCTTTTCAGTCAGTCAAAAAGATAATCGACTTTGATTAGATACCAAATTTAGAGATATTATGCTTCATGGCCATAGACACTTCTTTAACCGGGGTAATATATAACTGTCAAATGGATAGTTACTACTCAAAAGAAGTTAAAGAACACCATATTGTTTAATATAAAAATGTAAATTTTCTAGGACCACCAGTTAACACAAGCATTGTCCTCCATATATGGAAAAGAATTATGGGAAGTTGTCGTGAACGACCATCCTTTGTAAACACTTCTTTGTTTGTGTATATACAAAAACATTTGAACATTATATCACAGCATGTCAACATATTGTGGGAAGAAAGCCCGATAGTGATGCATGTGTTTGATGTTTAGCACTTTAGTGAAACCCACGAGCACGGGAAGGTGCTGATAAACGAAACGTACTATTAGCTCGAGTCTGGGTTTCTCTCCCACGATCATAGGATCCCGGCAGGCCTAAGGGAAGCAACTCTGCTAATAGATGCCACAGACAACTAGACCATCCGTTGTCCCTCTGCTATTTTGGAGACCATGCACTTCAAGAGCTCTAGACCTCATCCTAGGGCCAGAGGCTAATATAGGCTATATGTAGTCTGCCGTCGGAAAACCAAACGTCAGCTCATGAGAACAACCTGTCTCGGTTATCTGACAAACAGATGTCAATGGGCACAAAAGGCAAAATAGCCGTGAAAATAAATGGATCACTGGAAATGAGGGATGACACCGGGTTAAGGCCATTTTAGGGTCGGATTACAATACTACAGATATGTTGGGAGTGTGAGTGAGTGAGTTGGGTTTAACGCCGCTTTTAACAGTATTCCAGTTATATCACGGCGTGTCAGCTTAATGTGGGAGGAAAGCCCGAAATGATACAGGTCCCAGACGTTTACCACTTTGGTGAAACCCACGAGCACGGGTATGGTGCTGACAAACCTAGAAACATTATCGGGGCGAACAGGGATTCGAACCCACAATCATAGGTTTGTGGCGTGCCAAAGGGACGCAACTCTGCACAGCTAATCACGGCGCCTTAGACGACTGGGCCACCCGTGCCCCCTTGATATGTTAGGACTAAACCGTATAATGTCACTGTAGTATTTTCCGTACTTGGAGAGCCAATCCCATCAGAACGGAGCATTCTTTAACATAAGTCCTGGAAATAACTTTGCAGTTCAAACTCTAAGGAGTCGTCATGGGACAGAGCGATGGGTTAGTCTAGTGGTTTAAAGACCCGGGTTCGAGTCCCCACATGGGTACAAGGTGTGAAACCCGTTTCTGTTGTCCCCAGCCGTGATATTGCTAGAATATTGCTAAAAGCGACGAAAAACCATACTCACTGACGTCACGGGACAAATGATCGTCACAATGAAACATTCACAAATAGTTTATTCCGAAAATGTAGGTACATGAGAATTATTATGAAAAACTAGACACAATAAGCAATGTTAATACATTTACCTCACACGATTAAACAAACACGCCAAGTCTAATGCCATCAAGTTTGTTTAGCTAATGATGACAATGTGATAAGATAAAATCACCAATAAAACCATTCTTTCACAAGATAATGGATTACTTAAGTCAACAATGACTGCATACACATACACTCACTTCTGAATCGGGTGCAGTGAAGGGACAGAGTAAATTCGTTCGTTCAAATACTGCACAGCAACACATTGCTAAGAGTTAGGTTGCTGCCAGCATTACGTTGTTTAAGGTGAGTGTCATAATATGAAGTGACAGTCAACAGAAAGCATTGATGACAACTTCTTTATTCTTTATTTTATTATGATGCGAAGTTTCGGTATAGATCGTACACCGTTGTCAACAATGTAATTTTTGTGGCAGGCTATTTTTGTTTTTTCAACAGTTTGAAGCATAATAATGTTTGAAATAATTTTAGGGGACAATTTATTTTGTCAATAAAATCCAGGCGCTTTTTCCAAGAATATCAAATGGTCAGTCCCCCAGGATCTATACCTAACAGTCACATCATAACAGAATAAGAAGTTGTCATCCATAAATTTTCCCGTCTTTACTGTTACTTAAGAATTCGGAAAATGTCAATCTAATAGTTAATATGAGGTGATATAAATTACCATAGATGTGGTTCGTTTGGGTATGTGCAGCGGAGAGATGACATCTCTGATTAGTTGCCCTACAGACAAAGAGGAACGCTTGCTAGGCAACGGATGTAAACACCACTCTCTGTACTTGATAGCGTCTCTATCACATTACACGCCATCAAATGTTAGTAATTCACAAAAACAGTGATCAATGTTCGTATGTCATGGTTCATGAATGATTTGCAATTAGTAAAATAAAATTCAAATATCTTTGTTTCAAACATCAGCTGGATCATGTTTTATATATACATATTTTTTAAGAATTTTTTCCCCGCCCAGTATAGTGTATATATGTAATATTTATTTATAATATAATGAGCGGGTTTCTCCGCAGGATAAACCCAACGGATAAAAACGATATCCGTTGGGGTCATATGCGGATAGAGATGCAAATATCAAAGGTTGGGACAACTTTCTCTGTTTACAAACAAACATGGCGTCGCCCTTGTCATTCGGTGATTGAGTCAGAATTAACCATCGGGAATCTGGAGAAACTACTGGGATAATTGCCATCATTATCAAAAGAACAGTCTAATATACTGAACATCAGTGTATAACTGTGGCGTAGCTAAGACATTTTACAAGTTTGGGCAACTTTGGAGACATAAATTGTGAAACAATTTAGCGAGGGCACGAGGCCAAGCCAAGCGGGATCAGTAGCTATATCTGTGCTTGTAGACCTCTGCGGCTTTGAACTATTTCCACAAATTAAAAAAGTTGGATTTGGCAGAAATATGTTTGAATTGTTACCTTGTTTCGTTTTGTCGCTGTGTAACGTACATCAGACTGCACTTCGTAACGTTATGACAGGATAGGACAGACTGTCAACAACCTCTGACCGTGGCCGTGACGTCACATAGACAAGGGTTAGAGTAGCTTCCCTTTGACGAAGGGCAGTTACTCTGGCGGACATACCGATGGATTGCCGCGAAAGGCAAGTAAAAAAAATTCGTGTAGGCAATTGTTGTTTTGCGTATATGTTGCTTCGCCACTGTATAAGAAACAAGTTTCAGTTGGAACTATACTGCCTACTGTCATTGTCCGACTGACACATCACTTACCCTGTGACGTAATATAAATTAATGCGCACATTCCAGGAAAACTTGCAATGTTTCTGTAATGTTTATGAGAGAAGGAAAGCGATTTTCAAGATCAGAATTGAAGAATGACATTATATGATAAAGAGGTTATCACGCTTGTGTATTTTGGGATGGTAAATATCCTGTAGTAGGAATAAACAATATGTATTTAGCTCGCCAAGGCTCGCTAAATACAACGTTTATTCCTAATACAGGATATTTACCATCCCCAAATACTCTCGCGTGATAACCTCTATATATCAGCTTTCCTACATTAACTTCCAACATAGACCGCAAAACAAGATATCTTTATTACAGTTCGTGTGATTTACATATGATAGGATATATACAAGTATAACATAATGGCTAGGTTTCTTATCAGGATCATTTACGGATAAATATGCAATTATATAAGGTCGGGTAGGTACTACTTTCAGTGTTTATAACAAACATGGCTTCGCCCTGTCTACCAAACGTCCATTGAAACATGTTGAGAACCTATACCATGTCTTTGTCATTATTATCAAAATAACGGCCTCACATCGAAACTCAATGTCTCCTGTACAGTTTCAGTTGGAACTATATTGACTGTTGCCACCGTCTTACCTAAGTCCTTCCCAGCGCGTGACACGGTCGTTACATTCTCGATAACCAGTGTGGGCGCGGCCATTACAATAATCTTGAAAGTTGGCCCCCAACCCCAAATGTAGTAACGTTTATACTTTTGTCTATGTATTTGGGAATGCCAGTACAGTTATTTTTTAAAAGGTTTACGACTGACCCTATTTCCCAGATGAATTTAACTTTTTGTTTGTTTGATCAGATTGATTCGAGATTGCAGACGAACGGAAAATCACTCAAATTCCCCCTTACATTCTTACTATACCAATTACATGATAGTTGAAATGAAATATAAATTCAAATTGACAAACAAAGAAAACAATTTAGTTACGGTAAGAATATTCGGCGTCACGACTGTCATCGCTTGTTTGTAAGCATAACGGTCCGTCGGTTGCGAGTTCAACTCCAAGCATGGTTGTGACCACCTATCACCGTGGGGAGTTTTGACTGGTGGCCGCGATAGTATAGAGAGCTCCGCGAACGGGCTATCGCTGTGAGGAGCTTGTGTCTGACCTTGTGACGTGTTGTATTAATCCGCATGCTCAGAGGGAAGTTACAATGTGCGGGTACTGTGTGTGAGGGATGACAATACTGCGTTAAACGACGGAGTTAAAGCATGACATCATATGGTATAGCGGTTTGTGAGTTAAGGGATGGTAACTATTCTGTATTAGTAAGAAACAGAGGAGCGTCATTGTAGATATACTGAAAGGGGAGATAATTATGATAGCATCTTCTTACTGTACGTACACAACGTTCAGGGATACCTCTTACCCCTTAATCTGATGGTTATATTTTCCTTATGTTGACGGGTTTTTCCTGTGTTGCTTTGTATAGTTATAAGTAACGGGGTTAAATATAAAGATGTGTATTTTGCACAATCATACCACGAAGTATAAAACCAGTGTTTTACGAATAATGCCGTGAATCCCATCAATGAGTACGTTATGTTTATTAGTCCCTAAGGAGGAGACGATCTCGGTTTCTACCCGGGATCTGAAGACCCCTTTCTGGGCGTCGATACAGATGATATCACCGCAACTGCGTCTATATCTTACACGACTGAAAGTTTACATAGATAAAAATGTCCTACCCAACCATCGTCATGTGCTGAGACTAGCAGTACAATGGTGTTTATATGTGATCTAAGTCGATGTTACCCTACACAAGCAGACGTTGAAATACACGGCAAGGCCAACTCCGACGTGTTAAGGAGTATAAAAGTCCCATTTGTAGTCGCAGCCCTACACGTACTTGTCGACCTATTGATTAAAATATTGAGATGGATTTAAAATTCAGTTCATCATTTCGAAGTTTGATGTCAACGACGTGCTAGTCAAAAAGTCATTCACCAAAACCAGAACCTGAACGGACCCATATTGGGAACGCCATGACTATTTCCAGTTAAACGATGACTAGGTAGCAGTATCGACGACTGGAGCCCCTCCCCGGTTACCCTCTCCCTGCGGCGTCCTGCCCCGACGCCTGTTGTCGCTCCACCCGCTGTCGCTGCCTGCCCCCATCCTGGTAGCGGTGACAGGTGAAGCAGCAGTTGATGGCCACGGCTTGGTTGACCGTGCACTGCTCTACAGGGAAGTGACGGAAGAACGACGTACAGTTCAAGCTGCCGAATTCTCCCGTGTTGAAAATAACAGGACGATCTCCGTACTCACAACCTGAAACACAGCCACAACCACTTGGAAGGTTATATTTATAAAAAGAGAGATAGAATGCCCGGGGTGAAGTAATATCGGGTTAACGTCGTGTTCAAGATTATTGCACTTTTGTGTGTGTGTGTGTGTGTGTGTGTGTGTGTGTGTGTGTGTGTGTGTGTGTGTGTGTCTGCTTGTACTATCCGGATATTGCCGGTTTTATAGTGCAAGTCCACTGAGAAACCATGCCGCAGTTTAACATAAATGCCCTCCTGAGACACGATATACTGATTCAAAATTGGCCAGGCCTTGTTGTAACCTTATGCCGAACGCCAGGCAAGGTAACAACAAGTACCATCGTTTATGTCTTTCGGAATAACTTGGACAGGACATCCAACCATCGACCTTCAGCTCCGGGCAAAGAATGACTGCACAAAAACTTAATGTCATCCAAATGTCACACGGCTACTACGACCGATGATGTTGAGTGTTCAGCATTCATCCACGAGTGTCACATCTGAGGCTTCGCCATTCCGCATTCCGAACAGGTTATTAATTTCATCTCGAGTCAAAACAGCTATTAATAATAACATATCAAACGAAGAACGTGGAGCTAACTTTTCGAAGTAAACTCATTATTTCGATAACGTAACGTCATCGATTCATGACGTCAATAAGAACGGATAACGTCATACAGAATTGTTTGCATGACGTCATATTGTCACATTGACCAATCATATAGCTGATAGCACTGAAAGAACACTTGCGAAACGTTATCATAAACGACATTTCTGTCCTTATTGGTAGTAAACATATTTATCATATAATGGGTAGGTTTCTCGGCAGGATAAAACCAACAGATGATTAATTTCGGATAGAGATTCAAATATCAAAGGTCAAGTAGGAACCACTTTCAATGTTTACACACAAACATGGCGTCGCCCGTGTCATTCGGCGATCGAGTCAGAATTAACCATCGGGAATCTGGTGAAACTACTGGGATAACTGCTATCATTATAAAAAGAATAGTCTAATATACTGATGAGCGGTGTCTACCTGTTCCGAGGCAAAGGCATTTTCCTACAAGTTTTGGCAACATTAGAGTTATACATTGCGAAACAATTTAGCGAAGACACTAGCCTAGCGTGATCAGTTTCCATGCCTGTGCTTGTAGACCTCTGCCGCTTGGAACCTTTGTTGAACGTTATGGTTTTAGAGCGTTAACCCCCCGGATGTCACAGCGACATATATGCCCTCCTCTTCAAGCCTCACTTCGAAGTGGAATAAAATTCAAAATACATCATGCACACTAATAGTTTTGTATTCTGTCGGAAATTCCCTCTTCTGTGATATCATCCAATGTCATTTCAGACCAAGCAGAATTACTGAAAGTGACCTCTCAAAATTAGGTACATCGTAGATATCGCCCTTTTTATGCATTACTAGATCACTGTTCACGGCGTATTTACTGTGTTTAGAAATCTAAATATCGGACATTTAGTCAAAGGATTGAATTTCAAAAATAGCATATTAGTGATAACAGGTATCTGCTTTTCATCAAATCACCAATGACAATTCTGAAACGTCGCCGATAAGCCTAGAATTGTTTAGAATGTTTTGGAAAAATACACAAACACGAACGCCGAAGTGAACTTTCCGTCATATTGGAGAGTGTTTACAAAATCACGTTTCACGTACACCGGTTATGAGACGCATTTTAGATCACGTATACATGCAGCCCTGAATTTTTCATATATTTAAGAATAGAATGACAAATAGTCTTTGTCACCAATACAAATTATCTAGATGAAATCAAGCGAAATAAATTAGTTGTGGAAAGGAACACTGTGCCCGGAAAACTAAACTATACTATGTGAACAAAGCAAAATTCAGATTTTACACGGTGTAGCATTTTCTCCTATTTTGAAAGATCCATTCGTCGTATTGTTGCATACGTTGGCTTACGTGTTTGAGAATATTCGTGGGATGAGTATCGTAGCACGAATTATGGAATTAAAGCTATATACATTACAATGATCAGGTGAATTCAACTGAAATCGTCAAAGTTTCCGTCCTCTGTGACGCCATGACTGACGCAAAATCACGCACAACGTTGGCGATAGGTATCTGCATTTCTGACTAATTCTCTTGGTTACATTGGGAAACATAAAACAAATAACAGTACGCAGATTGTCAGATTGTGTCTGAGTACTTACATGACACATTTATGTATAAGCGATCCATCAATCACTGAAAATCCTCCTCTGGAAATCCCGCGTACTGTTGTCAGTGAACACGCCATTTTGTGAAAGTCGGTCACCGGCAGTGATGTCATACGGAAGTAAACCTTGTTGTACGTATTTGGTAATTTCTTTGAGATGAACATTTTTTTAACTCGGCATCCTGCGGTTACTTTGATTTTATCTAGTTTGCATTATCATCATCGCCTTGATAATACACAGATATGGCGGAAACCTTTTCTGTATAGGGTCACATTATCTATGCCTAGTAAGCAGTACGTCAGATGACGTCACTCATGACCGTTGTGTTATGTATTAATGCACCACTGCGATCACGAGAAAATAGATCGACAAAATGCATGGATTCGATGCTCAAAAGGTACGATTCTAGCGTATGTAAGAAACAGATTACTGCACTCGTGCCTCTCAGATATCAATTATCTTTCAACTCAATGCGTTTTCAAAAAACTCGTTGTAAGATGAATGGTATCTGACAGTCACTGGCGTAGTTATCTCTATTTACCAACAATGTTCACATATGGTAGCCTCGTATATCATTATAGGTACAATGTGTGAAGCCCATTTTTTGTGTCCCCCGTCGTGATATTTCTGGAATATTGCCAAAATCGGCGAAAAACAATCTCACGAACTCGTACATCTTCACATACATACGCATTCGTGACCAACTCGTGTTATTCCGGAACAAGCCGAATAGCGACTCGTGCCCCTCTCATGGCCATTTTTGCGACCTGGTTCCGTCTTAGCGCAAACGGGCATACCCAAAACAATTGTCAACTCGTTGCGTAATGGTTCACATATTATTTCCCCATGTATTATATATAGTTCAGATGCAATTTAAAGAAGATTGGGACGTGTGGAATGATACAGTATGATTGAACACATTTAACTGTGTCTTGGGTATATTTTAGATGCAAGTCATATGTAAAATCAAAAATTATTTCTGAAGGATTCTTTGACGAAGAACTTAAAATCATACGCGCATTCTGATTGGTTTGTCGTATTTTCGCACATAACATTCATCCGTAGGGGGACGAGTCTTCTTGCAGGTTACGGAAAGGGGCGAGTGGTGACGAATGATACATACGGGGCGGTCGGGTAGCCTAGTGATTAAAGCGTTGGCTCGTCACGCCAAAGACCCGGGTTCGATTCCCGACATGGGTACAATGTATGACGCCCATTTCTGGTGTCCCCTGCCGTGATTTTGCTGGAATATTGCTAAAAGCGGCGTAAAACCAAACTCACTCACTCACTCAGTCATTCCATACATACAAATTCCAGCTGTAAGGTTTAGAGTAAGGGAGACAACTCTTACCGACAATATTGTTAGGCATCCGGGCTCTGAGTCGCTCACAAGTCTGGCAGCAGAGTCTTCGTATCTGCTCAGCGTAACAGTTGATTCGTACCCCACCGTACTGGTCAAACGGCCGGCAAAGGTTGGCGTTCTGGTCACCCCACGGACACACTGTGTAGGATGGAGGTACATACATCTGTGATGAGCTCAGTGACAGTGCATGTGTTGGTGTCAGGGCATACTATGACCGACGCTGCTGGATAGTATGTTAAATATATTAAAGGTGCGGTGAGGTGAAATGGGGTTTATCGTCGCGTTCAAGATTATTGCACTTACATATCGACGTACATGCACGTTTTGTTTGTTTGTTTCCTGGATGCCGGGCTCAGCTATATGACTGCTGTCTGGAGTCTGGACCAGACAATCAAGTGATTGACATCAGGAGCATCGATCCACGCAATTGGGATACGATGACATGCATCAACCAAGTCAGCGAGTCTGACCACCAGATCCCGTTAGTCGCTTCTTACGACAAGCAGAGTCGCCTGTTACGACAAGGCATTGTAATGGTTACTTAATAAAAACACTGATAAAACCAGGACGTAATGAAATGGATTTAGACACGCGGCTGTGGGGCTAGCGTATCTTTGAGATGCTGCTGCTGATACTCACCCTGACTCTCGTCGCTGCCCCGCAACCTCCTGCACGTGTGACAACAGAGGCGTTGGTTCTCGGGGATGTAGCACAGGCTGGGGTTCTGTGTGACTCTCTCACACCTGGGGGTCATGTCGCCATACTCACACCCAGCCTCTCCTGCAAACACCGTGCATGCAAACATTACTTCATAGATCTGCCGTTATTATTCCCCATTCGGAACTTCCCGAACTTTCGAGATACAAAAATCAGCTGTTCCGAAAGTATCACGCAGATACTATGGAGGGTTCAGATCTTGACGTAGAGTGGTATCGAACCGGAATAAAATATGATTTTATATGATTGAAAATCCCAGCACAGATAGCAAAATCAGGTGCATTAAGTGGATGATGTCTTATGTCGTCAAGTACTGAATCTGGACCAGACAAACCAGTGACTGACAGCACAGTCATGTACGGAGTAAATTCCACAGTGAACCAGGTTACACATAGCAACAACCGTAGTCCAAGTAAGTCGGCTCCCACTACGAACTTTGAGTGGAATCACAGTTAACAAACGTGAGACAGATACAGTCATCGTTAGTGAAACTGAATCGATATGATCAGGGGAAATGGGGAAGCCCAATGGTGAAAGCGTTCCCTCGTCGCGACGATAACCGGGTTTCATTCCCAAACTGATTACAATGTGTGAAGATAGATCTTGCGTGTGGGGATATTACTGAATGCGGCCAACGACCATACTCACTAAGAAGACTTTAGTTCAGCCAACACCAACTGCACGATTATATTACACACCCCTGACCTCGATCACAAGTATCAAAGCACATCTGTCCCTCACCCCTACCCCCACCTAGCCCTATAGCCACCTGCACACGTACTTACCTGACCTATGTTGGTCACAGGTGTTGCAACAACTCTGTCTGTTCCTCAGGTCGTAGCAGTCGTGAGGCTGTATCTGGCGACACTGATAGGAGTGGTCTCCAAACTCGCACCCTTAAAAAGTCGACGACAGTAACATCATTACAGGCGAATATTCCCGTTCATGTTCTTAAATAAATTAAATACATATTACAATTTTACTTCAAAATGAGGTTCAGTCTCTGTGGAGAAAAATGTCTGAGACGCGTACGAGTTGTAATTTTTATCGATAGTTCACATTAATTTGTTTGATAGGCATTACTTAGAAGTTGAAGTAGGCCAGGAACACGTTATTCGCCTTGAGCTGATATACATTCTATGCAGTACACCGAAACGATTGACATACCAACACTGGCGGCATTCTTAAGGGGCCGACACTTCTCGCAGCACTCCCTTGATGTGAATTCATGTCGATAGCACAGAAAAGACCCGTAGAAGTCGACAGCCCTGGCACAGTCCATGCCATTGATTCGCATCCGGATACCAGTCTCCGGACAGTTCTGCTTGATTAGAAGTCAATTAGGGACGACAATTAGTTTGACTTTAGGTTTTACCCACAGAAAGAATATTGCTCATTTGGCATTCTGGCTGTCCTGAAAACAAATGTATTGTGACTTCCCAAATAATTGTTTCAGGTAGAACAAACAAACGTCTTAAAACAGGGACCGAAGAACTAGTTAGTCTTTAAAGAATCCAAGGACCACTTAATATTCCCCCATATCATTAATCATCTTAGAATACCGAGAATAAAACACACTTTAAGGTATACGGTTTGAATGAGAATGTTAATCACAAGGTTGCTTCCGCCTAAAATACGCTTGTTATGAAGGGAAGCAATGGCGTTTACTTCGTATTTACTCCACAATAACTAGATATGAATTTTGTTTTGCTTTACGCCTCAGTTAGCAATATTTCAGCAACATACTGTCGACCTAATAATAACAGAAACTGGGCCAGACAAACCCGTGATTGGTATTATAAGCGACGACCCACGCCGAGGACACGGAATCACCCGAGTCACCGAGCGAGACCAACTGATCCATTTAGTCGCCTCATACGACAAGCATAGTTACAATTCTATCCCAGTGACCCCATGGGGCACACCCCAAATGACTCACCCCATGGTTAGGATTGTATGGATACTGTTGTCCAGATGGATTATATCCGTAAGGAACATATCCCTGGCCAGTGGCTTGCCCTCCAGTGTAAGTCGGCTGACCTCCTGTGTAAGTCGGCTGACCTCCAGTATAAGTCGGCTGACCTCCAGCGTAAGTTGGTTGACCTCCAGTATGAGTTGGTTGACCTCCTCCACCATAGTGCGGCTGCTGCTGTCTAACGGTATATGAGGGTTGCTGTTGTCTGGTGCTGTAGGTGTACTGGTTCGAACTGGAATAGTACGGCTGCTGGCCTCCAACTGTGTAGGTTCTGTAGCCGGGCGTCTGGCGGAACACCTGCTGCCCGGTATTTGGCTGTCGCCTGTCCAGTGGCTGCCCTCCGCCAGTGGAGAGTATAGGACCCAACGGATAACTAGCAGCGACCGTAGGACGTCTTCCCGTAGGCCCGCTGCCACCACTGTAATATGTACCTGTGTTTGTAGACCTCCCGGCTGTCTGTGTCGGGTCGCGTCTTCTTGTTCCGGTGGGGCTATACGTTGCCGTCGCACCACCTGTACCTGGGTTATACACATACCCCGTGTATCGTGGATCAGTCTGTGTGCCCCGGCTTTGGCCAGTTCGAGTAGGATTGCCTTGAGAATCATCAACATTATCTTGGTTGTTGGTCTGAGCAGGGCTGTTGTAGGTCCTTAAACTCGGGGTATCATACCCTTCGTCGAGTCCAGACTGACTAGCTTGGGTCTGGGTACCTGTGGACCGAGTGTGTGTGGGTGTGCGACTACTGCCCGACTGACTGCCCGACTGACTGCTGTAGCTCTGGGAACTAGAGTATTCGTGCGACGCCCTTCCAGATGACCCGCCAAGTTCTGGCGAGTATTGTCGGTACAATGGTGTACGGGTCGTGTGTGCACGTGATGCGTCATAATATTGCTGGTCGCTCTGATCGAGGTTTGGGTTCAGGATGGCTGTGTGACCGTACACGGAGTCGTCACCGCCCACGTCCTGAGAAGCATCTGAAATAGGTTGCGGCTGGTGTTGTGTGTATGGAATGGGCTGCAATGCGAAGATAGTAGAGTATACATACCAACTAATACATTATATAACAATTTTGATTACTTTAATATAAAATGCCTTATATAGTACAATGTCACACAAACCAAACCTTATGCAGTAAAATATAGTAACATGTCGTACACACCAAGCCTTATGCAGTACAATATCACAAACCCACAACACTATGTATAGTACCATGTCATACACACCAAGCCCTATGTAGTACCATGTCATACACACTAAGCCCTATATAGTACCATGTCATACACACCAAGCCCAATGTAGTACCATGTCATACACACTAAGCCCTATATAGAAGCATGTCATACACACCAAGCCCCATGTAGTACCATGTCATACTCACCAAGCCCTATGTAGTACCATGTCACACAGACCAAGCCCTATGCAGTATCATGTCATGCACACCAAGCCCTATGTAGTACCATGTCACACACACCAAACACTATATAGTACCATGTCCTACACACCAAGTCCTATGTAGTACCATGTTATACACACCAAGACCTAGGTAGTGCCATGTCCTACACACCAAGTCCTATGTAGTACCATGTCATACACACCAAGACCTAGGTAGTACCATGTCATACACACCAAGCCCTATATAGTACCATGTCACACACACCAAGCCCTATGCAATACCATGTCATACACACCAAGCCCTATGTAGAACCATGTCATACACACCAAGCCCTATCTAGTACCATGTCATACACACCAAGCCCCATGTAGTACCATGTCATACACACCAAGTCCTATGTAGTACCATGTCCTACACACCAAGTCCTATGTAGTACCATGTCATACACACTAAGCCCTATATAGTACCATGTCATACACACCAAGCCCTATGTAGTACCATGTCTTACTCACCAAGCCCTAGTCAATACCATGTTATACACACAAAGCCCTATGTAGGACCATGTCACACACACCAAACCCTATATAGTACCATGTCCTACACACCAAGTCCTATGTAGTACCATGTCATACACACCAAGTCCTATGTAGTACCATGTCATACACACCAAGTCCTATGTAGTACCATGTCATACACACTGTAACGGGTTGGGGGGGGGGGGGGGGGACGTAGTTGTCAGGATGTTTTCTGTCCAAACCCAACCGTCAGTTTCAAAGAGATATTGTTAAAACGGATGTAAAAGAAAACTATAACAAATAATATAAGTCAATTGAAATCTTTACTTGTTGTTGTTATTATTAATGACAGTTACAATTTTAATATATACATGAACTTACTGCAAGTCGTACTCTATTTTTAACGCTTGTCAGTTTTGACAGTTAGATAATTAATTTCTACAAATTCTATTTAATCTACTTGAAAAAGAATAATTACTATGCACAAAGGCAGAGCCAATAATGCTGCACGGTAATTATTATAAAAAAACCTGTAAAATACGTCTATCGAATCATTATAAAATTTCTAAAAACTCGCTGGGCCAAAAACTACAAATTACGTTGAGTCTGTTATTTCTGCAACAGATTTGGAACGAGCTTATATTCATGGTGACGTCACTTCCGGAAATACATGTAGCAGAAGACGCCAAAGTTAGAGCGAGAAGAATGCGATTAAACACCAAATATACGCTATGACAGTAATTAGGATGGATGTAATCTACTCAATAACATGTCCAGGGAGGTGTTTACGTAAGTATTTTGGAATAAATATGTTTACTTTAGTGGATTTAGAGCGTGAAACAATTTCGGAAGGAAACTACCCAACTTTTGATGACGAATGCGCCAGTAGATCGCGGGACTATTTGAGCCGATCACTTGAGCTAAGTATAACTGTTAAATACTACGATGAAACATTCAATCTAATACGTACAATATACATAGTTTTACACACAAGACGTGTATGTAATAATAAATAATCATATATTTAATAACTATAAAAACTTCAAATGATCTCGGGAACGTTGGCGAAAACCGAAGGTCTTGATCGTTTACGACCGAGCCTGACTATTACTCACACCAAGCTCTCTGAAGTACCATGCCATACACACCAAGCCCTATGTAGTACCATGTCATACACACCAAGCCCTATGTAGTACCATGTCAAACACACCAAGCCATATATGTAGTATCATGTCATACACACCAAGCCCTATGTAGAACCATGTCATACTTACCAAGCCCTATGTAGTACCATGTTATATACACCAAGCCCTATGTAGTACCATGTCACACACACCAAGCCCTATATAGTACCATGTCATACACACCAAGCCCTATGTAGTAGCATGTCATACACACCAAGCCCTATGTAGTATCATTTCATACACACCAAATCCTATATAGTACCGTGTCATATACACCAGGCCCTATGTAATACCATGTCATACACACAAAGCCTTATGTTGTACCATATCATAGACACCAAGCCCTATGTAGTACAATGTCATACACACCAAGCCCTATGTAGTACCATGTCACAAACATCAAACACTATGTATAGTACCACATCATACACACCAAGACCCAGGTAGTGCCATTTCATACACACCAAGCCCTATGTAGTACCATGTCATACACACTAAGCCCTATGTAGTACCATGGCATACACACCAAGCCCTAGGCAGTACCATATCATACACACCAATCATTATGTATATTACCATGTCATACACTCCTCCCCACAAAACTACAAATAGGACCTGCGGATATTTTGACAAATGTTTATCCAAAGATCTTTTTTCTTTCAAGTGAACATTATGCATGTCATACACACATCCTTCATGGGTCAGTTTATGTTTCTTGAATACAATATGCATGATGGGGGGAGTGGTGCAGCTGTGTGGTTAAAGCGCGGTTCGCTCATCACGCCGATGCCGGGATATTTTTTAAATAACTACTTTGTTTCGGAATATATTTGTGTAAACATTCTGTCAATGAGGGGACCGCCAATTTGATATTCACGTCTTTTACGTCCAATTCCTTCAGTACTGTCATACATTTTGTATGGAGAACAGATATATTTTTACCTGAAGCTATGAGCCTAAATACAAAAAAATTATCTTGGCACAATTTCTTTTTTTCAAACCTAAAGGGGTTCCTCACATACAGAACATAGTTTGGTCTTTATGATGGCATAGGGCCAGGCACACGTTGTTTTTTACGTCCACTTCCGGGTTTGTGTCACGAGGGTTGACGGATAAGCTGTGAGCATCTCATAGACATACGGGGGGCACGGGTGGCCCAGTCGTCTAAGGCGCCGCGATTCGCTGTGTAGAGTTGCGTCCCTTGGGCACGCCAGAAACCTATGATTGTGGGTTCGAATCCCGGTTCGCCCCGATTATGTTTCTAGGTTTGTCAGCACCATACCCGTGCTCGTGGGTTTCACCAAAGTGGTAAACGTCTGAGACCTGCATCACTTCGGGCTTTCCTCCAACATTAAGCTGACACGCCGCGATATAACTGGAATACTGTTAAAAGCGGCGTTAAACCAAACTCACTCACTCACTCACTCATAGACATACGTGATCTAAAGACATAACACTGATTATTTTAAAAAGTGATTCCCTTCCAAATTGATACACTTTTGCCAACGATATTGGAGGGATTGTATTCTAGTTTCGTAAAAGTCATTTTCTCGTCTGTCCATAAGGTTCTCCACAGCTGCTGGCGTATTTGTTCAATTCGATATAGGTTCCGGGCAGAGCTTTGATCCTCTTTCTTCTGAGAGAACGTTCAGAACGTTTCAGTCAACCCTCATTCACTATACAGACACCAGCTATCACAGATCAGCTGAAAAACTTACATTACCACCTAAAAGGACGCGTATATCAGATGCTAACATGATCGGTTTATTCACCACCATGACGACGAAAGTATAAACAATGTTATTACTGCCCATCAACTTCTTGCCAAAGGCGAGAATACATAGTGTTAGCACCATGGTTGAAACTGGATTGTGTGTATTGCGTTTAATACAGATATCGTGTCATATAATACATAACCCACTCACGGGTTAAAAATCCTCATTTTGTTTTTACAATGATGATGTAATTTTGACAAACATTCTGAATGTTATACCTTCTCTCTGGTAATGTAAAGATTTCAGCTGTGTTAAAAGATTGAGTTTACTTACCCATGGATCTTCGATTAGCCTTCACAACTGGCACATAATTATGTGTTTCAAAGCGTGCGGCAGACAATTTTTAATTTCAACAGTCGGGAGCATATTTATTTTTTTGAAGCAATTTCTTGGACTATGTATTTGTTTCGATAAAATCCCAGGCCCGCCCCTTCCCGAATATCAAACAGTCAGCCCCAAACGAGAATATAAAATGGTCAAGTCCCAAAGTAATTTCTGAGGACAAAGAGCACAACTTTGGTTGCACGGTAAGCCTTATTGAATGTTTTCAAGGAGGAGGTATCACTTACCCCAATCTGGTCAGCAACATCTCTCTTTTTTAACGTATGAAGCAGGATGGAGTTATCTGCAAAATAGAACATGAAATTCTTCATCATTTTACAACTTAATGTGTATGCCTTATAACTGTACGTTAAGTTTAGTTAGTATCCCTAGCAATAATTTTGTGTTATTATTAATATTATAATTAAGAACCTAGTAGTAAATGTGTTGTATAACATACACCTGGGAGAGGGTCTGGCAATAATGTTGCAGTATCATGCACGTGACATGAATTGCTTAAACCCCATTCCTGGTAATATTGGAGACCCTATCTCTTGCAATACATATAGAGTATAATATACACAATAGAGAGAAGATATTGATTTCATCTCTAGCAATAATTATGTGGTATTTTGGTTAGTAAGATTGTTTCTTCCAGATCCTATCCCTAGCAATATATGTGTAGTATACCCCCACAGAGATAAAATAACGTTTTCAATTTTTTATATTTAGCAATAAGAGTGTTGTTCAATGTGAGGAAACCCTATTTGAGCTACTATATCTAGCCTTATGTCTGTAATATAATGTACGGGAGGATGTTAATTGGTGATCCATATCCTACCCATATCTCAGTATATCTCCCAACATTAACGGCGTGGTATATAATGCAGAATTAAGGCACTATTTGACCCAGGAGCGAGAGAAAGGTCCACGTTTTGAAGCTGTCTGAGAGTAGCTGATTCCCGCTGTGTGAGGATGATAGCCGACAGATACAGACAGCAGTTTGTCAGCAGGGCTCACGCAGTAATTGGCTGTCTGTGTGTACTACTCCCAGCGGCAACACGGCAGATGGGCTTCCGTGCACTGCAAGACAAGGCATCTCGCACTTCCCCGGACCACTGAGTCCCTCCAGTATGAAACCAGCAGTCCACAGGATAGTACACACCTAAATTGTAAATGTCCACGACCTCTTGCACATCAAGCAAACACGTCGTTATAACTTAATTATGTGATATAATCTTTCACATAATCTTTCACAACACATGTGATGTAACTTTGCCAACACGTGGCTGCACGTGGTCCTATGTCATATGCGCACATGTGACAAATCAGGCAATGTTAAACGACGTTGGTTGCGTAGAGTAGGTAGATGGGTGACAGTGCTCGGCAGGTTGACTCCTGAGAGTTACCAGGGCTTCGGTCCTAGCTGCCACACTGAAGACTATTTTCGAAACCTGCTATTGTTCATCCGGAAGTGTACTGGTACCAGGAAAGTGGTTATGCTATTTTCCAGCTGAGAAAGAAAATCGAGTGCACACTGGTCCATGGTATACATGCGCATGGTGTTTAGCTGTATGAAAGAAGGGTTATTATTACTGGTGGCGTTATTGTTATTGCATGTTCTAGGAACCAAATCTGCTTGAGGCAAGAACGAATATATACCGAAATGGTCAGTATCAAGTTCAGAATAGATTGAATATAACGATTAACTCGGATTCACTGTGGACGGTAATGAAGACACATAACAGAACAGTATGTCATGATTAAGCAAGTGTGACTGAACGTGGTGACTATAGGTATAGTTACATCTGGTACCATCTATGTGAAATTTGGGGATAGGACTTCTAGGCAAGAACTAGACATCCTCACTGGCACCGACTGTTTCTACCCTTCTTACTGGTTTGTTTCTTGTTGCATATGAATCCTAATTTCAGCTCGGATTTGCAAAATGAAAACATGCCAAGAAGTTTAACGCATGCTTCTGGTACATCGATGGTCTGATATCGTTCAAAAATGGTAAAAAAAACTCAATTCTCTTCCACTGATTTACCCACCAGAACTAGAAACAAAAGAGACCAGTAAAACCACCTCATCTGTTTCATATTTAGATCTATGCATTAGATTCAGAGCGGTAGAAAACCCTCCACGAGACTGTAGGACAACTTCCTACTTGTCGACTTTCCCTTTACGTCGAACACTATCGCATGAGCTCTAGCTCTTGGTGTCAGCATTTCACAACTTGTTGGGTACAATCAAGAATGCAAGTTTTCTTCGGGTGAACAGTCGACTTGTGCCACCGAAGTGGCAGGGTACCTTTTCCAACTTATTTTCGCGAACACGTGGTATCATCAATATTTGATAGTGATTCATAAACAAATACCCACGATATAGTCGGAATCGTACAATGGACTTTTATGAATGTGGAAATTTACATTTATTGGACTCTTACATCTGTACATAAGTTATTAACATGTAACGTCATTAGATGTTTTATCTGTACACAAGTAAATTCATGTTTCTTTATTAGACTCTTATATCTCTGCATAAGATAGTTGCATGTAACTTCATGATCTGTACATGAACTATTTAGATTATCTTCACGAGAGTGTTATATCTCTACATAAGAGATTTACAAGTCACTTCATCAGATTCGTATTGCTCTACATGCGACATTAACTTATAACTTCATCAGATTCGTACATCTCTGCATGATGTATTGACAGGTAATTTCATTTGATATTCTTATCTGTACATATGATATTTACATGAAACTTCATTCGATTATAAACCCGTATAAAGTATTCTCATATATGTCTGTGTAAGATTGGTTACATTTCTCAACATACAATTTGTACATCTCTCTTTATCAAATGCTTACATTTTTCCTACATAATTCTTACATAATAGTTCCAAAGATTATTGCATCCTTCGATCTCTGTGTTTGCATCGCTTTGCAAACGATTTAACGCTGTACTATGTGCGACTTCTACAATTTCCTATCTTTTGATTCTTACATATCCTTGCACAAGATATTTGAATGTAACTTCCGTAGATTCTTATATCTGTGCAGCCATAATAAACCAAACGGCAATCGTATTCCAAAATATGGTGCACATTTGGGAACCAGAACAACGAGATGACGACATATATCTAGAAGATTGAACGTGTGTGTGCGTGTATGTGTGTGTGCGGCGTGTCTGTGTTAGTGCATGCGTGTTTGTGTGTGTTGTGTTTGCGCGTACATGTGTGTGTGTGCGTGTGTGCGGTATATGTGTACACCAACATACTGGTATATATCACGTTAATGGTCAGGTCATACAACTACATACACCAACATGCTGGTATATATCACGTTAATGGTCAGGTCATACAACTACATGCACCATCATGCTTATATATATCATATGTCTATTTTCAGGTCTTACGGCTACAAACACCAACATACTGGTATATATCATATGTCTATTTTCAGGTCTTACAACTACATACACCAACACGCTGGTATATATCATATGTCTATTTTCAGGTCTTACAACTACATACACCAACATGCTGGTATATATGACATTAATGGTCAGGTCATACAACTTCATACACCAACATGCTGGTATGTATCACACGTCTATTGTCAGGTCGTACAACTACATACACCAACATACTGGTATATATCACACGTCTATGGTCAGGTCATACAACTACATACACCATCATGATGGCATATATCATATGTCTATTTTCAGGTCTTACGACTACATACACCAACATACTGGTATATATCACACGTCTATTGTCAGGTCATTTAACTTTATATACACCAACATACTGGTACATATCACACGTATATTGTCAGGTCATACAACTACATACACCAACATATACTGGTATATATCACACGTGTGTGGCCAGGTCATACAGCTACAAACACCAAATTGCCTGAATATATCACACGATTGTGGTCAGGTCATACAACTACATACACCAACATACTGGTATATATCACACGTCTGTTGTCAGGTCATACAACTACATACACCAACATGCTGGTATATATCACACATATATTGTCAGGTGATACAACTACATACACTAACATACTGGTATATATCACATGTCTATTTTCAGGTCATATAACTACATACACCTAAATGCTGGTATATATCATATGTCTATTTTCAGGTCTTACGACTACATACACCAACACGCTGGTATATATCACGTTGATGGTCAGGTCATACAACTACATACACCGACTTACTGGTATATATCACACGTCTATCTTTAGGTCATACAACTACATACACCAACAACATATACTGGTATATATCACACGTGTGTGGCCAGGTGATACAGCTACAAACACCAAATTGCTGGTATAAATCACACGATTATGGTCAGGTCGTAAAACTTCATACACCAACATGCTGGTATATATCACACGTCTATTGTCAGGTCATACAACTACATACACTAACATACTGGTATATATCATATGTCTATTTTCAGGTCTTACAACTACATACACCAACACGCTGGTATATATCATATGTCTATTTTCAGGTCTTACAACTACATACACCAACATGCTGGTATATATGACATTAATGGTCAGGTCATACAACTTCATACACCAACATGCTGGTATATATCACACGTCTATGGTCAGGTCATACAACTACATACACTAACATACTGGTATATATCACACGTCTATTTTCGGGTCATACAACTACATACACCAACATACTGGTATATATCACACGTGTGTGGTCAGGTCATACAGCTTCATACACCAACATATACTGGTATATATCACACGTGTGTGGACAGGTCATACAGATACAAACACCAAATTGCTGGTATATATCACACGTCTATTGTCAGGTCATACAACTACATACACCAACATACTGGTATATATCACGTTAATGGCCAGGTCATACAACTACATACACCAACATGCTGGTGTATATAACACGTCTATTTCCAGGTCATACAACTTCATACACCAAGATATACTGGTATATATCACACGTGTGTGGCCAGGTCATACAGCTACAAACACCAAATTGCTGGTATATATCACACGTCTATTGTCGGGTCATACAACTTCATACACCAACATACTGGTATATATCACGTTCATGGTCAGGTCATACAACTACATACACCAACATGCTGGTGTATATAACACGTCTATTTCCAGGTCATATAACTACATACACCAACATGCTGGTGTATATAACACGATTACGGTCAGGTCATACAACTACATACACCAACATGCTGGTGTATATAACACGATTACGGTCAGGTCATACAACTACATACACCAACATGCTGGTGTATATAACACGATTACGGTCAGGTCATACAACTACATACACCAACATGCTGGTGCATATAACACGATTATGGTCAGGTCGTACAACTACATACACCAACATGCAGGTATGGATAACCAAGTCACTGGTAGGTCGTGTCTCTATCTATGCCATTTAGAACACGTGTACATTGTTAAATGCCAGTCAGTCAGTCAGACTGCCCTCACCTTTAGTGCCTGGAGTGGAGTGGACGTGAAGGACACAAAACACAGCTATATATCCAAGTACCAACATGGTGGAACAGGTAGTGTCCTGGGCGTCCTTGTATCTGCTAGTTTACACTACCGCATGGCACTGAAGAATCACAGCCACACCGAACCAAGTTCTGTGCCAGAAATTATATCACAAGCTTTCCTCACGCCCCCGAACCGTATAGTATTACCTGTGTCTAACCCCGATAATTGCCGCTATTCCTAGCCCCCTTACCGATGCTGCCGGCCACAAGAGACTCAACGCGGCGGTAATTTGCACGCGCAACTGTCCAGGGATGTAGCCCTTATCAGCTGAGAACTCACCGAAGCAATCAGAGATAGTTGTGATGAAAATACCGGTGATATCTTCAGAAAAAGATCAGATCCTCTTTGCTTTTTTTCTGGAGCAAATCGTTTGAAATGACTAACATAATCTAAATATAACGTCCTTTTCAAGGTTTTTACGAATTCCCTAAATTTCGCGTATGTTTTTCGTGGGCTGTTATTGCGGTTTGTTATAACTTACATCCACGTTTTTGACATATCGGCTGTTTCTGGAAATCAACTTATGATAAAGTTCCTCTTCCCTGCTGGTGTTGAGGAGAGGAATTAGCGTTTCTCTGAAATCCCGTCGAGCCATTCGCCTATAAACCAGCACTAAAGTTGTAAAACTATCAGGAGTAGGTAGCAGGCCACACTAACACTTGTTGAACGTCAGCCTTACCTCGTCTTGATTCCAGACATACGCGTCATGGACGATGTATAAATATATAAATGGAAATACATGTTCCTCCATTACTCAGCTACTACAAACATCCATACATACCATATGAATCTTATTGTTATCCCCGTTGCATTGCATGGCCATTTTACACGTATGTAGGCAGCTTAAATCGCGCTGTTGGAATAACAGTAGGGCTCTGCAGGGCATTCTAACCAAATATATAAGCGTTTACCTCCAACACTTTGCGAAGCCCATGTGTTAGATAGATCTACGGCATGACTAATGTACTCCAAGGTAGTTTCATAGTCATTCACAGACTTAAAGGACCCTTCCACGATATGATGGTGAGGAATATGTTCAGCGCTGTCGGTTTCGATTTGCAGTAGGAAATAGAAAATCGGTGGAATTGGTTGCGCCAATCTTTTGTTATATATTTTATCTCCATTCTGTTACGATATGTACCCTGCACCCAGTCGTTACTATAGTTACCACCTCTATCTCTTCATTCACTAAGTTCGGGCAGATTTTCTCTCGCTCATGAATGTAATTAAATTGGACAGCTGTTTTAGTGACGCCTTATTGAGGATGGGATGTGCCATTCTCCAGTGCCTTTTACTCGTGGGCAGCTTACAGTGGTAGATTTGACCTGTCTATCGTTTATCAAACGTCCGCCTACATCAGAGTGCGTTATCTGTACAAGGGGTGGGAGGGGAGGGGATTAAGTGAATGCTGTTTTACGCCGCAGTCAACACTATTCTACCTTTATCACAGCGATCATTACAGTCGGACACAGGTAACCCAGTGGTTGGTGACATCCGTTAGCCGTGGGATGGTTGAGACTGAGTGTGCCCCGGAATCCCCGGTTTAGTGTTGAAGGGGTTAGCCGTGGGATGGTTGAGACTGAGTGTGCCCCGGAATCCCCGGTTTAGTGTTGAAGGGGTAAGCCGTGGGATGGTTGAGACTGAGTGTGCCCCGGAATCCCCGGTTTAGTGTTGAAGGGGTTAGCTGTGGGATGGTTGAGACTGAGTGTGCCCCGGAATCCCCGGTTTAGTGTTGAAGGGGTTAGCCGTGGGATGGTTGAGACTGAGTGTGCCCCGGAATCCCCGGTTTAGTGTTGAAGGGGTTAGCCGTGGGATGGTTGAGACTCTGTGTGCCCCGGAATCCCCGGTTTAGTGTTGAAGGGGTTAGCCGTGGGATGGTTGAGACTGAGTGTGCCCCGGAATCCCCGGTTTAGTGTTGAAGGGGTAAGCCGTGGGATGCTTGAGACTGAGTGTGCCCCGGAATCCTCGGTTTAGTGTTGAAGGGGTTAGCCTTGGGATGGTTGAGACTGAGTGTGCCCCGGAATCCCCGGTTTAGTGTTGAAGGGGTAAGCCTTGGGATGCTTGAGACTGAGTGTGCCCCGGAATCCCCGGTTTAGTGTTGAAGGGGTTAGCCTTGGGATGGTTGAGACTGAGTGTGCCCCGGAATCCCCGGTTTAGTGTTGAAGGGGTTAGCCGTGGGATGGTTGAGACTGAGTGTGCCCCGGAATCCCCGGTTTAGTGTTGAAGGGGTTAGCCGTGGGATGGTTGAGACTGAGTGTGCCCCGGAATCCCCGGTTTAGTGTTGAAGGGGTTAGCCGTGGGATGGTTGAGATTGAGTGTGCCCCGGAATCCCCGGTTTAGTGTTGAAGGGGTTAGCCGTGGGATGGTTGAGACTGAGTGTGCCCCGGAATCCCCGGTTTAGTGTTGAAGGGGTTAGCCTTGGGATGGTTGAGACTGAGTGTGCCCCGGAATCCCCGGTTTAGTGTTGAAGGGGTTAGCCGTGGGATGGTTGAGACTGAGTGTGCCCCGGAATCCCCGGTTTAGTGTTGAAGGGGTTAGCCGTGGGATGGTTGAGACTGAGTGTGCCCCGGAATCCCCGGTTTAGTGTTGAAGGGGTTAGCCGTGGGATGGTTGAGACTGAGTGTGCCCCGGAATCCCCGGTTTAGTGTTGAAGGGGTTAGCCGTGGGATGGTTGAGACTGAGTGTGCCCCGGAATCCCCGGTTTAGTGTTGAAGGGGTTAGCCGTGGGATGGTTGAGACTGAGTGTGCCCCGGAATCCCCGGTTTAGTGTTGAAGGGGTTAGCCTTGGGATGGTTGAGACTGAGTGTGCCCCGGAATCCCCGGTTTAGTGTTGAAGGGGTAAGCCGTGGGATGCTTGAGAATACTGTACCTAATTACATATGTACTTGTGTACACAAGCCACTTAACCTCTGAACACTGAACATTTGAACGTCGAAATATTGAGAGTGACGTACTGCCTTGGTACAGCGTTAACAAGTGCGGGTGGATCCAACTGACGAGTAGAAGCATTATTGCCATGGATTAAGGTAGACTTGTTGGATCATTAATCGGGTAGAGTCAGCAGATGAGTTGGGCCGTTAGTTAGGTAGAGTCGGTAGGCGGGTTGGACCGTTAGTTTAGTAGAGTCAGTAGACAGGTTGGGCCATTAGTCGGGTAGAGTCAGTAGACAGGTTGGGCCGTTAGTTCGGTAGAGTCAGTAGACAGGTTGGGCCGTTAGTTAGGTAGAGTCAGTAGACAGGTTGGGCCATTAGTTCGGATAGAGTCAGTAGACGGGTTGGGCCGTTGGTCGGGTAGAGTCAGTAGACAGGTTGACCCATGTGTCGAGTAGAGTCAGTAGACAGTTTGACCAATGGGTCGGGTAGAGTCAGTAGACGGGTTGGGCCGTTAGTTGGGTAGAGTCAGTAGACAGGTTGACCCATGAGTCGGGTAGAGTCAGTAGACGGGTTGACCCATGAGTCGGGTAGAGTCAGTAGACAGGTTGGGCCGTTAGTTCGGTAGAGTCAGTAGACAGGTTAGGCCGTTAGTTCGGTAGAGTCAGTAGACAGGTTGGGCCGTTAGTTCGGTAGAGTCAGTAGACAGGTTGGGCCATTAGTCGGGTAGAGTCAGTAGACGAGTTGGTCAGGTAGAGTCGATAGAAGGGTTGGGCCATTAGTCGGGTAGAGTCAGTAGTCAGTCCAGTACTCGTGTACTCACAGAGGTACTGTATCAGTGTCACACACAATGTGTTATTATTATGAACCTTCATGCGTTATGCACATCATGACATGCTTCATGCTGTTTGATCAAATGATCCAACTCTATCACTGCAGTCCAATCCAGGCAAGCCAGTGACTGACAGCATGAGCACCAAGCTACAGCACCGTGTCACGGTGACACGCAATAAGCTGGGTCTGCCCGGGGGATTATCTCCAGGTAGTCGGCTCTCACAAGCAAGAAATCTTGGGGGCCTTTTCTCACTAGGAATCCCCACAGAGGTCATAGCTTAGTGACCGCCTCCGTGGTCTAGTGGTAGAGCGTCCGCCCGGAGAGCGGAACATCCGGGGTTCGATCCCCGGCCGCGTCATACCAAGCTTAGTAACGGGTACACTCAGTGAGTCAGTGAGTGTTTGTTTGTTGTTTAACGCCGCACTCAGCAATATTCAAGCCATATGACGGCGGTCTGTAAATAATCGAGTCTGGACCAGACAATCCAGTGATTGACATCATGAACATCGATCCATGCAGTTGGGATACTATGACATGCATCAACCAAGTCATGGAGCCAGACCACCCGATCCCGTTATAGTCGCTTTTTATCGCAAGCGTGTGTTGCTGACGACCTATTCAACCTCGGATCTTCACGTGTGGGTGAGTGAATGAGTGAGTGAGTATTGCTTAACGCCGCATCTGCAATCCTGCACGTGTTCGCGCCGAAACAAGAGTCTGTCTACGACAATAAGTTAGATTCTACAACATAAACACAGTGTTTCACGGAATTACTGTTCTAAACATATTTTATTCACAGTATTGAAACGGATTGGGTACAAGTTGTCCAACTAGTGAAGCAAACATAGAATATTGATGAATAGACCTGTGTAAGTTCGTACAAAGTATTGAAACGTTTTATTTTAAAGATACACAAATGAACAGTATTCGAAATACATTGATTTTCATCTTACATTTTACATTTGCCATACAAAACTAATTTGATATCTTACGGAAATTTGTCCTCGGCAATTAATATACTTACGATGTGTTTGTTAATTAGGAACATATGTCATTGTCGTACTTTATTATTTATCTAAGCTGAAGCTGTTTAATTGATCTAACTTGTTTAATATCACCACTCCTCTGTGTGTGATCCCGCCTCTCACATGGTGCACACTCAGGCAGAGGGATTTTACAACGCTTTCCTAGCGCTAGCTTTGTATGATGTTGGGTCCGCGAGTAGTACATAATTTAAGGAAAGTGCTTGGTTATTTGATGGTGAAACTATCAACACTAGTACTGTTCGTGATACTGTCATAGTATTGGCGGTCCTGTGGGAGGACTTACTTGACTTACATATATTTATTCTAATTCTGTTTGATTTCGATCAAGACCGCCTCCGTGGTCTAATGGTAGAGAGTCCGCCCGGAGAGTGGAAGGTCCGGGGTTCTAACCCCGACCGTGTCATACCAAAAGACGTTATAAGATGGTACTTGTTGTTACCCTGTCTGGCGCTCGGCATTAAGGGGCTTAAACAAGGACTGGTCGGCTCGGAGTCAGTATACTGTGTCTGAGTGGGGTATTCATGTTAAACTGCGGCATGGTATCTCAGTGAGCTAGCACTATAAATCGACATCAGTCCGGACTAGTACAAGCAGCCACACACACAAATACACGTGCATGCACGTTGCTATATAAGTGCAATAATCTTGGACGCGACGTTAATCCCCATTTCACCTCACCTTGATTTCGATCAAAGATGTCCTGTTTGTTTCTGCACAACAACGCACTATATTCCAACTAGCCTATAAATATTTAAATCTGGACGAGGCAAAGCAGTGATTGATAGTATGAGCAACGTCCCGCGTATTTGGAATACGATGACACGTGACACGTGATCACAGAGCCTGGCCACCCGCCCGGTCCATGTAATTGCCGCCTCTTGCGACTGCTGTCCTCACTATTTGATAGTGATTCCGGAACTCTTGTGATTATGGAAGAGTTGTGTCACTTTCATATATTATTATAACTTTGTAAAATGTAATAGAAAATCCGAAAATCTGTGTTACGAGTGAGAGAATAGGTTAGGTTTAATTAGGAGATAAACATACTGTGTTTTCAATGTAGAGCTAGGTTACCTGTAGATTTAACCCCGCTAAATTGAATTTGGAACCGAATACGCAGCGTGAGGTTTCAAATGTTAAATTTAGCGCGGTTAAATCTACAGGTAGCCTAGCTCTACATTGAAAACACAGTATGTTTATCTCCATTCTACCATGAATAAATAAAACGCGAACTCTTTGGTGTTACTCGATTCTGATTGGTCAATCAGAGGCTAGTAAATCACAATAAACCCCCTCTGATTGAAACAGCTGGTTGACGGCCGCATCACCGCGGAAGCTAATATTCATAGAATAGTACTATTTTCAGTCATTGTCGGTAGGCATATTTACATAATTATATCTACAAATACAGGTTACAAAATGCACAGATACGGTTACTACAATATTCAAAGGATGTGTGGCAATACATTTCGTGCAGAAAAACACGACAGAAATCAACAAAGGGAATGTATATACGTTTTGGAGACAACAGAGAGCTTGGAATTTAGGCGCTTTTCTATATACGACTGTGACGTCATATCTTTTGCGTCACAATGAGCGATATGACGTCATAATGGTGACGCTCGATGTAGAGCGAAGGCCTTGCAAAGCTTGCTTTGTTTTCGTTAGGGATGCCCACCTCAAGTTAGCTTACCAAGTGGCCGTGCTTATATGCTTTCAATGCCTGTCGTATGTTCGAGTGAAGTATTACGGTGTAAACAAACTGCTTGAGTATATACAGCACCATATTTTGTTCGGTGATTCCGTAATTCAGATCGATAACCCACTCAAAACACTGAACTCAACCCGTGCCGCTTCACTCAGTATATTTGCCAACACCAAAGTGAGTGAGTGAGTTTGGTTTAACGCCGCTTTTAACAGTATTCCAGTCATATCACGGCGTGTAACACCAAAGAGTTCACGTTTTATTTAGTCATGGTAGAATGGAGATAAACATACTGTGTTTTCAATGTAGAGCAAAACCGCGCTAAATTTAACATTTGAAACCTCACGCTGCGCGTTCGGTTCCAAATTCAATTTAGCGGGGTTAAATCTACAGGTAACCTAGCTCTACATTGAAAACACAGTATGTTTATCTCCTAATTAACTCCATAAATGACCATCTGTCATTGTTTTGCATGTGGAACTACCGTTAAAAGAAGTCAACAGTTTGTGTACGGGCCGCAAACACTATGATAAAGGGAGACAATTTGAGGGGAAGTAACTCTTGTATGTTTCTTAGAGAATCATGCCATGTTCATGTCCATGTTATCGAAAATAAGGCAGACGCTTTTTGGCATGTACTTTCAAACATGGAGATCTACTGTAGATGTGTCTAGCAAATGCGAATATTATAGATATTTTAAAATTCAAGTGTGCGCAGAAAATTATTTGACTGATGTAAATATATGAAAATGCAGAATATCATTAACACAATTTAGATGCAGCTCACACAGGTTAATGGTTGAAGTTGGCAGGCGCAAAAAAATACCCAAATGTTTAAGATTATGTAGACAATGTTCTTTAAATGTCGTCGAAGATGAATTTCACTTTTTACTTGTATGTTGTAGATATGATAATTTAAGGAAAACTTATATTGAACAAAAATACTATGTACATCCAAATAAATGCAAGTGTATCTCTTTAATATCACATGTGAGCAAAACGGCTATACGAAATCTATCTCTATTTATATATCATGCCATGTTATTAAGAAATGAATCCTTGTAACATTTTTAACCGCTTCCGCATTGTCATGTATTCTGTACTATGGGCCTGTGGCCTTACAGTTATATAGGAATAAACTGAATTGAATTGTATGACAATAGTTCCGTCAAAGAGTTATGTTCACAGCAGTGAAATATCAAATGTTATGTTCACTGCTATGAAAATATCACTTTTCTCAACTTAGGAAAACTCAGTTTTTCACACTGATGTATATATAATAATAACAATTTTACTAATATCCGTGTGTTTACATAATTAATTATCTCAGATATTATCTGTACATCTTTGCTCGTACGCCAGTCTCAAAATATTAGAATATTTACGTCAGCTCTTTACAATAAAGGTAAATAAGTTTATTACTTGCCCGTGAAGAGATCACCCGTTTAATAAACATACAGCTTTATTACACATTGTGTAATACCAAAACGCGTGCTTATGTACTCTCGGAACACGTTTCACGAACAAATATTGAAAGCTCTCACGACATTGTGTGTGGAGATGATAGATCACTGGGAGGAGCTTATGCACGCTCGATGACCCCAGCAACCTTGTTGCTAGGCTGACGTCACATTGCTTTGACTCGCCGATGGATCTTGCAACAAAATTCAACAAATTACGTCATCGGGTATTGTGACGTCATTGTAAACTTTGAGCTGCAAGGCCCCGTTCCACAAGGCGATCGTACTCTAGCGCAACGAGAGTCTTTAGTCTAAGTTAAATTATGTGAGTTGTGATAGCCTTAGCACTACGATAATTTTGTGGGACGAACGCCTGAATTCTAAAGGTGGACCATTATATAATATATGATATAAAATTCATACGTTTCAACTTTTGACGTGTTTGAAGTATTATTCTGTTAAACTCAATTGGATTATGCCATGGATCGTGTAGGTGTCAGCCTATTTACACTCAACAGTATAATTCTAAAAACATTATAAATGACAAGTAATAAATAAAATAATAAACTCGCTCTCGTGTAAAACCAATTTTATGAAACTCGTGAATAGTTGTGGTATCTGACTCGCTTTCGCTCGTCAGATACCAGAACTATTCACTCGTTTCATAAAATTGGTATTACACGGGAGCTCGTTTAGTATTCTATATATACGAGTACAGCTGTAGAAACTAACATTTTTCGTCTACTAGTCCTTATAATGATAACATATAGCAAAACCCTTAAAAAGGGCAAATTTCTACTAGTCCTTATGATACCTTAACTAATGGGCAGTTTGGCAAGGAATATGGGACAAGTGCCAATTTCTAACGCTGCGAGTAGTGACCACACATTGTTAAAATACCAACGTAAAACGTACTGAGATTTGGTTTGGAACATATATTGATAGTTAATACATTACTTTTGATTCACTGATGAGAAATACGTGTTGCGAAAGTACTTAATGTGTCTAATTTCTGTACCGGGCAATATCGAGATAAATGTAATCAATTTTACCACACACGTTAAATATTGATCAATTCTGAAATGATACACAGGTTGCGACGCCAATATTATTCTTTTCTGGCTGACACAGTTGTGCATACTGTGAAGAACGATGCATAGACAATAAGTAGCTGATTCCGTTTACTTGTTTTATCAACTTGCAAACATTGCGTCTTTTCCACAAACGTTTACCTTCAGCGTTGTAGGCGATACGTAATCGACAGGTGATATGTGTGACCATGACCCTATTCTCTCACTCGAAGGTCAGGTCGGGTCACGTATGTTTGGGGGTCACTGTCAAGAGCGCGTCGTGTCCACATCGTTTGCTTTGTTTGCCCTTCCAAACAGCAGTTATGTCAGCGATGGATAAATATGCACTGCACATGAGAAGCGGCAGGGTTATGGCTGCAGTCGGACTTGGGACGTTAGCTCCAAAAGAGGTAATGTAACAAACAGCAAGAAATAGCTGTTCGCTGGCGGAACTGGCCCGATTCCGAGGCCCGTATGGGTTACACCGGCTTGTTGTCAAAAGTCAATATTGTGTTTCAACGAAATGCTGCTGATGAACGGATCGAGTGTTTGTGAACGGCAATGATATATTCTATAACGCATCCTGTGCTGCGTGTGTAATATGCGTGCATGGGCCCTTATTGAAGTTATCTAACAACCGGTAACAGATACTCAACAGCTGACATGATAACGGGGGCCCATTTGGGGTTAGAATAGTTATTGATTCGTCAATTGCTTGAGCTTCACGATTTTCGTTTACACTGTTTGATTTGTAACACAAACGAACTATTTCACCAGAGCATTGCGTATTTTCTCGTGTGTAAATGTTATAGTCAATGTGTAAAATGACAAGAAATTTCATACCTTTGTCAGGTAATCTGAATGTGTTGCCACTAATTATACATGTAATAAATTCAATAACTGAGGACCAAGCGAATGACGACAAATACACTGGTGTAGGGTTATACAGGATGCATGGTCGACAACAAGGGAGACGTAATCGTATTATGCACGCAATCCAAAATCTGAAAATGGTTCACTGCAGGGATACTGGGTTTTTGAAAGGCATTTAGAAGTGATGTACAAATAAGGAAGAGAATATATTGATGTCAACTTCTTTATCATGAGGAACACAACGTTTCGGAGTATATGCTTACTCCTTCATCAGGTGAATGAATGCCATGAGGCAGAGAGCATATACATGTACATGTAAGGACAACAAAATTAATAAAATAACAAAAGGTGGAAAATAAATTACAAAGGGTACAAGCTAACAAAGGAAGCCAACAGATGACTGGCGCTGATAGGTTATTAGCAATAGACAATGGAAGTCAATCAACACTTAATTTATGATAGCTAAGTAATTGGTAAGGGATACTGGGCAAACGGGTGGGGGTGGGGGGGTGTTGGTGGGGGACGGATAATTAGCACTGATAGGTGTAAGAATGGACATAGCAAGGGGCACATTGAAGCCAGCTAGGCAATTAGCCCTGACAAAGATCAAAGCAATAAGTCCCAGGCGCTAGGCGCTGGTGTCTCCTGATGTCAATGGCTTCTTATAGTTTCCTTTGTTGCCAGTTGTTGTTGTTGGTAGACAGGACTTTGGCGGTTTCCCACATGATGTTACGGTTTACGTTCTTCAGGATGTGTTCAGAAATAGCGGATTTCAGGTCTAGTTTGTTAACAGAGGTCCGATGTTCTTGTCTTCTGTTGAGGGGTCTAAGGGTTTCTCCAATGTACTGGTGGCCACAGTTGCAGGGTATCTGGTATATATATCCTCGGGGGTTGGGGCTTGCGCTGCTTGTGCCTCTGCCATTGGCTTGTACATGGGTCTTGATGGACTTGCCGCTAGAGAAGGTGACATCTATGTTGGCTTTGTTCTTGATGAGGCGGGAAATCTGATGAGTGACAGGGCCTTGGTAGGGTATGTTGATTCTGATGGGCGATGGAGCAGGCAATGGGTCGGAGTTCTTGAGGGTCTTGCAGATGTTTTTGGAGACTAGGTGGGCAGATAGCTGTTGAGGGAAGTGAAGGTTTCCTTGAGATGGTCCATTTCACTGCTGTTAGCATCAGGGTGACAAATGGATTTGGCACGTCGGGTGAGGGTGGCGATGATGGCTTGTTTTATCTGGGGATGGTGGCAGGAGTTGTAGAGATATTATTTAAATTTAGATAACCATCAGGGGTACTTCCACATAACGACATCCGATGAGCTTGCACAGTTCTTTTTGTCTGTTTGTTTGGATTGAAGAAATTAATAAACATGCTCCCTTTTTAATATCGTCTGTGTCAGTGTTCAGAAATGTGGTCAGATATTGTCTAGATAATAAAGATTATTTACGCTGTGCTTACAGACGGTAGCCCAGTCCCTCGTCACGCTCAGTTGCGTTAGCAAGCAAATAGACTATAATAAGTATATATTTCGAATGAAGTTGGCTTGTCTGTTACAATAAGGGTTTCCCCATGTCTAATTTTAGTGGAAAGAAATGACATTTCGTCTTGTTTCAAGGTTAAATATATACATGTACTTGTTGTAACTTAGTCTCAAAATATTCAAATGAGAAACTTGTGACTGAACTTTGTGTTAATGATGTGTAGATCAAAGTTACTTCAGAGATGACGTCATTGTATTGAACATGATGTTGAAAGAAATTGAACTAGGGTTTTTTATCTGTTGAAAGTTGGGACTGACAAAAAATTAAGGGGGGACTGGTAATTTTTAGAGTTGGCAGTTTCAAAAGCCAGCGGGAACACTGCGCGTCTAGATCCAGGGAGAAAGCAGGTTGTCCTCCGGCATGTCCTGTAGTCCTCCTGCATGTCCTGTAGTCCTCCGGCATGTCCTGTAGTCCTCCGGCATGTCCTGTAGTCCTCCGGCATGTCCTGTAGTCCTCCTGCATGTCCTGTAGTCCTCCGGCATGTCCTGTAGTCCTCCTGCATGTCCTGTAGTCCTCCGGCATGTCCTGTAGTCCTCCTGCATGTCCTGTAGTCCTCCGGCATGTCCTGTAGTCCTCCTGCATGTCCTGTAGTCCTCCGGCATGTCCTGTAGTCCTCCTGCATGTCCTGTAGTCCTCCGGCATGTCCTGTAGTCCTCCTGCATGTCCTGTAGTCCTCCGGCATGTCCTGTAGTCCTCCGGCATGTCCTGTAGTCCTCCTGCATGTCCTGTAGTCCTCCGGCATGTCCTGTAGTCCTCCTGCATGTCCTGTAGTCCTCCGGCATGTCCTGTAGTCCTCCGGCATGTCCTGTAGTCTGAGGGGTGTTGGATTCGTGGAGATGTCGAACACAGATGTGAGCTGGGACCATCAGTTGTTGAAAGTTTGTGCCAATTTGTTGTGATAGAAGTTGTTACTAGCCAATCATTGGTTTATGTCCATAGTTCTGAATGTATCACAACTGTCAAGTAGCTGGAATATTGCTAACTGCATCGTTAAGCAACAAATAAACTTCATTCATGCTTCAGACTACAGGTACAGATGTAATCTGTGTTATCTACAGTTAGGGGTGGTGGGATAGCCTAGTGGTTAAAGCATTCGCTCGTCATGGGTTCGATTCCCCACATAAGTACAATTGCCGTGATATTGTTGGAATATTGCAAAAAGCGACATAAAACAATACTTTCTCAGCTACTCTTTAAATATTAGTTTTAATATGATTATCTTTTGCAATGTCAGGGGTAGTGGTGGAACAATTGATTGAATGATCAATTTATTCATCAAAATTCATTATTGATAGTGCATTTCCGCACATTAAGTTTGCAGTTCTGCAGTTAAAATCCCACAGAGACAACTGTGTAACCAGCCGGCAAGCATAGCCAGCAGTAGAGAGGAGCTGTCTAGCAATGTAACAGTTGCCATCAATAGTGCATCAATAAGTCTCATTGTTATTCTTTGTCAATTTTCACAAGATACGAATTAATAATATCAAGTTATGAGTTTCATGAAATGTCTTTGTGAGTTTATGAATGAATTCATGGACTTATGTCTTATATTTTCATGTAGAAAAGACAGTTATTGATATGAATGTCCAGGGTGATATTAATAATAATAAAAATTATATTAGTCATTTGTAGTGTGCTTGTGTCCAGTTAGAGCTAAGGAGGGAACTGCTGTGACATGTGGTTCAGTGGTATGCCTGTCTGAAGAAATGAGTCTTTGATTGGCACTTGCTAATGGGCTGTGGGGAAATGGGCATCTGAGTAATTAAATGAGATGCTGTTTTTCCCTGCAGTCTGAGGAAGATGTGATTGCCGCAGTGAAGTCCGCTGTCCGTGCAGGGTACCGCCACATTGACTGTGCTGCCATCTACAGGAACGAGCGTGCAGTCGGACACGCCATCAAGCAGCTGATAGTGGAGGGCATCGTTAGACGTGAAGACCTCTTCATCACCAGCAAGGTACTTGCATTGTGTCAGTGGGATGATGTTTTGTATACCTCTCACAGGGGTATTCTAGACCTACCCAGAGGTTGATATTCATTCCCAAGTCTGCACCAGGGCAGGGGTTTGTCTGGACCTGCTCAGAGGTTGATATTCATTCCCAAGTCTGCTCCAGGGCAGGGGTTTGTCTCGACCTGCTCAGAGGTCGATATTCATTCCCAAGTCTGCACCAGGGTAGGGGTTTGTCTAGACCTGCCCAGAGGTTGATATTCAGTCCCAAGTCTGCACCAGGGCAGGGGTTTGTCTAGACCTGCTCAGAGGTTGATATTCATTCCCAAGTCTGCACCAGGGCAGGGGTTTGTCTCGACCTGCTCAGAGGTCGATATTCAGTCCCAGTGGGCAGGTGGGGGAGTGAGTGAATGAGTGAGAGAGGGATGGATACTGAACTCATTAAGTTATTAACTTTCATAAATCCTTCAGATTTTATTGTGAAACAAAATTGGAATATTTCAATTTAATTTGCAGAAGCTAGAATTGGGTTCTATCCAATTAACTTTCATGAAGAGTAAGACAAAAGTCTGCATCTCACAGATGGAATATTGCTGTGTGGCATTTAATAACAATCAATCATTGCTTCTGTGGAACATTTTTGACAGCTTTTTTCATTTTGTCAGTTATGGAATACATGTCATCGAGCGGACCTGGTGCGACCGAGTCTACGCAAGTCTCTGGAGGATCTTGGATTAAAATACCTGGACCTGTACTTGATGCACTGGCCTGTAGCCTATAGGGTAAGTCTCCATGGCAGATCTCAGGTTGAAATACCAGGACCTGTACTTGATGATACTGGCCTGTAGCCTATAGGGTAAGTGGCCGTGGCAGATCTCGGGTTGAAATACCTGGACCTGTACTTGATGATACTGGCCTGTAGCCTATAGGGTAAGTGGCCGTGGCAGATCTCGGGTTGAAATACCTGGACCTGTACTTGATGATACTGGCCTGTAGCCTATAGGGTAAGTGGCCTGTAGCCTATAGGGTAAGTGGCCTGTAGCCTATAGGGTAAGTCGCCTGTAGCATATAGGGTAAGTCGCCTGTAGCCTATAGGGTAAGTAGCCATGGCAGATCTCGGGTTGAAATACCTGGACCTGTACTTGGTTCACTGGCCTGTAGCCTATAGGGTAAGTCGCCTGTAGCCTATAGGGTAAGTGGCCTGTAGCCTATAGGGTAAGTCGCCATGGCAGATCTCGGGTTGAAATACCTGGACCTGTACTAGATGCACTGGCCTGTAGCCTATAGGGTAAGTGGCCTTGGCAGATCTCGGGTTGAAATACCTGGACCTGTACTTGATGATACTGGCCTGTAGCCTATAGGGTAAGTGGCCTGTAGCCTATAGGGTAAGTGGCCTGTAGCCTATAGGGTAAGTCGCCTGTAGCCTATAGGGTAAGTGGCCATGGCAGATCTCGGGTTGAAATACCTGGACCTGTACTTGATGCACTGGCCTGTAGCCTATAGGGTAAGTGGCCTGTAGCCTCAAGGGTAAGTGGCCACAGCAGATCTCGGGTTGAAATACCTGGACCTGTACTTGATGCACTGGCCTGTAGCCTATAGGGTAAGTCCCCTGTAGCCTTTTGGGTAAGTCCCCTGTAGCCTATAGGGTAAGTGGCCGTGGCAGATCCGTGCCTTGTACACAGCGTGTTCTTCAGGACAGGTGTCTGTATTTTCACTGTTATATATTTGTGACCCGCCAGGAGAAAAGGGACCTATTTATTCTTGATTTTGATCCTCTGCCTGCAGCTATGAGACATCACTTCCCGACAGGGTAAATCGCTGCTCATAAAACAGGGTTAAAAAATGTCGCTCATGTTATAAGTAGACGACACACTTGACAACTGTCTGTTAGAGAAATAAACAGTGTGTTTGCGCAGCAGGTATCGAAACACGTTTTTAAAGGGAGGTAATAATATTAAAGTATTTTCTTGAGTATAACGTGCACCTGCCGCTAGGGGATTCATATATTTTTCAATTACTTTGTATCCCTTCAGTAAATTCAGGTAAACGAATGAGTGATAACAAATTTAGTCAGGACAAATTTAAATTTGAGATTAATCATCACCAGACATGTTGATTTGCCGTTTAAAGTGTATTTCCTGTTTTACATGCAGAGATTAAGATTACGTGTCTATTTTCTCGTAAACTAAGCGGGAAACAGCAATCAGCTGTACACATGTTTTCTTCCAATCTACCTGTAAAATGGTTAAAAATCATCCAATGATATAACTTCAAAGAATTTTGATACTAAAACAGTGACTGTATGACACATGGTTTTGAACTATATACTACTCAAAGTTTGCAAAGGGTCACCACTTTAAAGGTAATGCGTCAGCTTGTGTGCATCTGCTGAAATAGCCAAAGACATATTTGGGTACAGACATGTTTAATAAACAAAACGTTGTTGTCATGTGTCACACAATGCCAACAAACAACATGTGAACCAATCAGTCAGACGCCCATCAAAATGACAAAAAAAAGAGCATCTGACCAAACCTGAAAAATATCATAAAAACAAATTCATTGTCCCAAAAAACAACTCTCAGTTGCGTAAGGGAATCAACGTGATGCACAGCTTGGAACAATCGTTTCATGCTCCCAATGAGTGTCTGCATAGTTGCCAAGGGAAGGATGTTCACTTTTCAGTAAGAGCATTGCTGAGTTTCTGTAGAGTTGCCGGAAGGATGGGGCACCATGAGAGGGTGATCTGCAGATTGTTCCTCATTTGTTCGATGCTTTGACATTTACCATAAGTGGAGGTTTGGTGACCAGACTGGCCTTCCCTGCAGACAATGGTCTCCTGCTTTAAGTAGGCGTCAACGACATTGGCGCGATGCGGTCGTGAGTTATGTTACCGTCCATGAGGATGAAGCCCAGAATGATTGCACCAGCATACAGTCTCACGTACACATCCAGAATGTCATCCCTGTAGCACACCTGTCATCATGCCCCGCAGGAAGACATGGGGATCGGTTCTTCCAGCTCTACTGATCACACCCCAAATCATGACTGAGCCCTCTCCATAGGGGTCATGTTCATCTATGTTGGAATCCTGAAGTCTCCTTATCTTCACCTCCCTCGGATACGACGATCTGTGAAGTCCAGACATGATCTTCAACCCAATCCAAACGTGCCTGCCCGTGTCGGGTTAGTGTATTGAGAGTGCATGCCCTCAGTACCGTGATATTAATCACTGGATTGTCTGGTCCAAACTCGATTATTTACAGACCGCCGTCATATAGCTGTACTATTGCTGAGTGCGGCGGCAAACAACAAACCAAACCAAACCATTGTGCCCATGAGAGCATGCCTCTGTCTGTTTATCATAACACTGAGGTCCTGTGGGAGTGACCAAATCATTGTGTACTGGGATATTTCAATCTTTTTATGTTGGATGTTTTATTTTTATATCATAAAAATTTGATCCCCAGCAAACTTTGAGTATACAATTTTATCAAATGGGGAAAATGAATAATCTGTAGAACACAAAGACTGTCTGTTATTCAGATGATATATAGAAATATGGACAATGTATAACAGATGGGCAATGTATAACAGATGGAAAATATATAACACAGATGGACAATGTATAACACAGATGGACAATGTATAACACAGATGGACAATGTATACCACAGATACACAATGTATAACAGATGGACAATTTAGAACATAGATGGACAGTGTATATATAAATCATTTATAATGGGTTGTACTAAAATATTATCAGTTATTCTGACTATGTACAGAGCAGTATATGGGATGTGAAGCTTTGCCTTGTGTACAGTGGACTACTGTGGAGCTTAATGAGGCCAGCTGATAAGAAATGTAGGTGAGTGGGTCAGGAGGCAGGGAGGGGGAGGGGGACATTATCAGGCCATGTGGCAAGGTGGTCAGTGATATACAGGTCAGCCGGTTGTAGACCTCAAGTTTCCTGCCTGCTTAACTGGTATTCCTGGCACCCACATCTCACCCACATTCTCTCTACATTCTCTCGACATTCTCTCGACATTCTCTCTACATACTCTCATTCCACTTTGAGGCAGATTTAGGAACCCCTTCATATTATATCATGGCCTAATGGTAGAAGTCAAAGCCTGACACTATTGGGTGCTATTCTTTTGAAAATTGGCTAAAGTACCCACTAACACTGAACAAATCAAAAGTGGATAAAATGAAATCTGAATGTGCTATTAACCTAGTAACTTCAACACTACATATTCGCCGGAACAAATTTGTACAAACAACTTATTTACAAAATGTCTCGAAGAACAAAACAAACATCTCAAATGACTTTTTTATTTGTTACTTTTTTACTTTGTTGGCTTTTTACTTTTACTCAGCCATTTTTTTTAAAATGGAAAGAAATTTGGTACATATGCCATTTTTCACTTGTTATCATGCTTGCGTCATGACCTTTTTGTCTGTTGCAAGTTGTCTGTCGTGAACTCTCTCTGTTGTATGTCATGAAGTTCTCTCTGTTGTCTGTCGTGAACTCTCTCTGTTGTATGTCATGAAGTTCTCTCTGTTGTATGTCGTGAACTCTCTCTGTTGTATGTCATGAAGTTCTCTCTGTTGTATGTCGTGAACTCTCTCTGTTGTATGTCATGAAGTTCTCTCTGTTGTATGTCGTGAACTCTCTCTGTTGTATGTCGTGAACTCTCTCTGTTGTATGTCATGAAGTTCTCTCTGTTGTATGTCATGAAGTTCTCTCTGTTGTATGTCGTGAACTCTCTCTGTTGTATGTCGTGAACTCTCTCTGTTGTATGTCATGAAGTTCTCTCTGTTGTCTGTCGTGAACTCTCTCTGTTGTCTGTCGTGAACTCTCTCTGTTGTATGTCATGAAGTTCTCTCTGTTGTCTGTCGTGAACTCTCTCTGTTGTATGTCGTGAACTCTCTCTGTTGTATGTCGTGAACTCTCTCTGTTGTATGTCGTGAACTCTCTCTGTTGTATGTCATGAAGTTCTCTTCCTAAAATGTAGCTGATACTTCACATCCAACGACACACAAATTTATTCAAGACGTTCGAACCTGAATGCCATGGCGGCCATATTGAAAACCCTATTGATGGTCATTACTCAGCCATTTTTGTTCAAAATTCACGGACAATTTGCTGCATGTGTAGTTAGCGTGGTGAGTAGTTGGGCCAACCAGATTCCTTTGTGCTGTGACCATACTGAAGGGGAAACAGCTAGGGCCACACTTCTTTCACCAATTTTTTACTGGAAATTACCTGTCGGTAAACTCACTTACTCACTCACTCACCATCAGCCATATTGGAAAAGCTATATTCTGTTGATGATATATCCAGGTGAGCTACAGTTAGTTACAAGTTTGACTGGGACCAAGCTCTTAGATTCTCTCTAAATTCAATTTTGTGCTCTGAAGACGAGGATGCTGAATGTGGCATGTGTGTTTGACCTATTTGAGTCAGATCATTAGGAGATTAGTGTGGTATACTTATGTGAAGTGTCTTTGTTGACATTTTGACCTGTTGATTCCATATCTAGGTGAGTTATGGGGCCTTGGCATGTTTATTGTAATCAACATGATCAGTTGGTTCTGTTTGTTCTCAGGAGGGCGGAGACTTCCACCCCTGGGACGGGGACACGGGGAAGGTTCTATATTCGGATGTGGATTACCTGGAGACGTGGAAGGTAACGACAGAACCTACACAACCTACACACACAAACTACACACACAACGTACACACATACAGCATAGACACACAACATACACACACATCATACACACACATCATACTCACAGAACATACTCAAACTACACACAAAACATACAGACACTACACACACAACATACAGACACTACACACCCAACATACAGACACTACACACCCAACATACAGACACAGCATACAGACACTACACACACAACATACAGACACTACACACACAACATACACACATTACACACACAACATGCAGATTCTACATACACACAGCATACAGACACAGCATACAGACACTACACACACAACATTCAGACACTACACACCCAACATACAGACACAGCATACAGACACTACACACACAACATACAGACACTACACACACAACATACAGACACTACACTCACAGCATACAGACACAGCATACAGACACTACACACCCAACATACAGACACTACAATCACAGCATACAGACACAACATACAGACACAGCATACAGACACTACACACCCAACATACAGACACTACAATCACAGCATACAGACACAACATACAGGCAAAACATGCACACACAACATTCAGACACTACACACACAACATACAGACACTACACTCACAGCATACAGACACAGTATACAGACACAGCATACAGACACTACACTCACAGCATACAGACACAGTATACAGACACTACACACCCAACATACAGACACAGCATACAGACACTACACACACAGCATACAGACACTACACACACAACATGCAGATCCTACATACACACAGCATACAGACACAACATACAGACACAGCAAACAGACACTACACACCCAACATACAGACACTACACACACAACATACAGACACAACATACAGAAACAGCATACAGACACTACACACCCAACATACAGACACTACACACACAACATACAGACACAACATACAGACACAGCATACAGACACTACACTCACAGCATACAGACACAACATACAGACACTACACACACAACATGCAGATCCTACATACATACAGCATACAGACACTACACACCCAACATACAGACACAGCATACAGACACAACATACAGACACTACACACACAACATGCAGATCCTACATACACACAGCATACAGACACTACACACCCAACATACAGACACAACATACAGACACAGCATACAGACACTACACACCCAACATACAGACACTACACACACAACATACAGACACAACATACAGAAACAGCATACAGACACTACACACACAACATACAGACACTACACTCACAGCATAGTCACAACATACAGACACAGCATACAGACACTACACTCACAGCATACAGACACAACATACAGACGCTACACACCCAACATACAGACACAACATACAGACACAGGATACAGACACTACACACCCAACATACAGACACTACACTCACAGCATACAGACAAAACATACAGACAAAACATGCACACACAACATTGAGACACTACACACACAACATTCAGACACTACACACACAACATATAGACACAACATACAGACACTACACACACAGCATACAGACACAACATTCAGACACTACACACACAACATGCAGATTCTACGTACAGCATACAGACACAACATACAGACACAGCATACAGACACAGCATACAGACACTACACACCCAACATACAGACACTACACACACAACATACAGACACAACATACAGAAACAGCATACAGACACTACACACACAACATACAGACACTACACTCACAGCATAGTCACAACATACAGACACAGCATACAGACACTACACTCACAGCATACAGACACAACATACAGACGCTACACACCCAACATACAGACACAACATACAGACACAGGATACAGACACTACACACCCAACATACAGACACTACACTCACAGCATACAGACAAAACATACAGACAAAACATGCACACACAACATTGAGACACTACACACACAACATTCAGACACTACACACACAACATATAGACACAACATACAGACACTACACACACAGCATACAGACACAACATTCAGACACTACACACACAACATGCAGATTCTACGTACAGCATACAGACACAACATACAGACACAGCATACAGACACAACATACAGACAAAACATGCACACACAACATTCAGACACTACACACACAACATATAGACACAACATACAGACACTACACTCACAGCATACAGACACAACATACAGACAAAACATGCACACACAACATTCAGACACTACACACACAACATATAGACAACATACAGACACTACATACAGACACTACATACAGACACAGCATACAGACACTACACACCCAACATACAGACACTACACACACAACATACAGACACTACACACCCATCATACAGACACTACACACCCAACATACATACACTACACACCCAACATACAGACACTACACACACAACATACAGACACAACATACAGACACTACACACACAACATACAGACACAACATACAGACACAGCATACAGACACTACACACACAACATACAGACACTACACACCCATCATACAGACACTACACACACAACATACAGACACTACACACCCAACATACAGACACTACACACACAACATACAGACACAACATACAGACACTACACACACAACATACAGACACAACATACAGACACAGCATACAGACACTACACACCCAACATACAGACACTACACACACAACATACAGACACAGCATACAGACACTACACACACAACATACAGACACTACACACACAACATACAGACACAACATACAGACACTACACACACAACATACAGACACAACATACAGACAGCATACAGACACTACACACCCAACATACAGACACTACACACACAACATACAGACACAACATATAAACACAGCATACAGACACTACACACCCAACATACAGACACTACACTCACAGCATACAGACACAACATCCAGACACAGCATACAGACACTACACACCCAACATACAGACACTACAATCACAGCATACAGACACAACATACAGACAAAACATGCACACACAACATTCAGACACTACACACACAACATATAGACACAACATACAGACACTACACACACAGCATACAGACACAACATTCAGACACTACACACACAACATGCAGACAAAACATGCACACACAACATTCAGACACTACACACACAACATTCAGACACTACACACACAACATTCAGACACCACACACACAGCATACAGACACAACATTCAGACACTACACACACAACATGCAGATTCTACATACACACAGCATACAGACACAGCATACAGACACAACATACAGACAAAACATGCACACACACTATTCAGACACTACACACACAACATATAGACACAACATACAGACACTACACTCACAGCATACAGACACAACATACAGACAAAACATGCACACACAACATTCAGACACTACACACACAACATATAGACACAACATACAGACACTACACACACAGCATACAGACACAACATACAGACACAGCATACATTAACTACACTCACAGCATACAGACACAACATACAGACAAAACATGCACACACAACATTCAGACACTACACACACAACATATAGACAACATACAGACACTACATACAGACACTACATACAGACACAGCATACAGACACTACACACCCAACATACAGACACTACACACACAACATACAGACACTACACACCCATCATACAGACACTACACACCCATCATACAGACACTACACACCCAACATACAGACACTACACACACAACATACAGACACAACATACAGACACTACACACACAACATACAGACACAACATACAGACACAGCATACAGACACAGCATACAGACACTACACACACAACATACAGACACTACACACACAACATACAGACACTACACACCCATCATACAGACACTACACACCCAACATACAGACACTACACACCCAACATACAGACACTACACACACAACATACAGACACAACATACAGACACTACACACACAACATACAGACACAACATACAGACACAGCATACAGACACTACACACCCAACATACAGACACTACACACACAACATACAGACACAGCATACAGACACTACACACACAACATACAGACACTACACACACAACATACAGACACAACATACAGACACTACACACACAACATACAGACACAACATACAGACACTACACACCCAACATACAGACACTACACACACAACATACATACACAACATATAAACACAGCATACAGACACTACACACCCAACATACAGACACTACACTCACAGCATACAGACACAACATCCAGACACAGCATACAGACACTACACACCCAACATACAGACACTACAATCACAGCATACAGACACAACATACAGACAAAACATGCACACACAACATTCAGACACTACACACACAACATATAGACACAACATACAGACACTACACACACAGCATACAGACACAACATTCAGACACTACACACACAACATGCAGACAAAACATGCACACACAACATTCAGACACTACACACACAACATTCAGACACTACACACACAACATTCAGACACCACACACACAGCATACAGACACAACATTCAGACACTACACACACAGCATACAGACACAACATTCAGACACTACACACACAACATGCAGATTCTACATACACACAGCATACAGACACAACATACAGACAGCATACAGACACAACATACAGACAAAACATGCACACACACTATTCAGACACTACACACACAACATATAGACACAACATACAGACACTACACTCACAGCATACAGACACAACATACAGACAAAACATGCACACACAACATTCAGACGCTACACACACAACATATAGACACAACATACAGACACTACACACACAGCATACAGACACAACATACAGACACAGCATACATTAACTACACTCACAGCATACAGACACAACATACAGACAAAACATGCACACACAACATTCAGACACTACACACACAACATATAGACACAACATACAGACACTACACACACAGCATACAGACACAACATTCAGACACTACACACACAGCATACACACACAACATACACACACAACATACAGACACTACACACAACAGACAGACACAACAGACAGTAACTACACAAAGCATACAGACTAATGGCAATGTGTGTTTGTCTGACAGGCACTAGAGGACTGTGTAGATGAGGGTGTTATTCCAGTTCCTATTGGGTAATGTGTGTTTGTCTGACAGGCACTAGAGGACTGTGTAGACGAGGGTCTGACACACGACATCGGGATGTCTAACTTCAACAGCAAACAGCTACAGAGGATTTTGAGTGAAGCCAGAATAAAGCCCAGCATGAACCAGGTGAGACCAACCTCCGCCTCCAGTGGAGATTCAGAATTCGCCCCAGTAAATATTACCTGTCTTGATATTTGGCTGAAATAGGCATTGAATTGTTAGGCTGCATCAATAACATTAAGTGTTTCTCGGGGCACATTTTAAAAAAAAAGAAGGATTGAGGTAGAACTTTGTTATGTAATTTTTATTGATACATTATAAAGTAGACACAATTTATGGATAACAATGTCTTTATTATATTGTAAAGTGACATTTCGGTATAGATCCTTCTACCAGTGTCAAACAAGACTGTACAGTGAATTGTTACTGTTAATCCTTCACCTACCATACATAATTGTGTACCATGTTCATTGTCAGTTGTCAAGCATGTCAATTTACAGATAACTGAGTATGCTTCATACGACATACACTCAAGAATGTCCAGAATTTGATCACCTTCTTGTCTTGAAACAGCAGGCCTCTCTCCGTTCTTGAATCTAGATTAAATTTGAAATCAAGGAATTTAGATGTTTACAAATAGGTATCCCATCTTCTTGGCAAGTATATCAGAGAAGTCATGTCAAAAAGGTCTAAAATCGTACGCTTGTTGATTGTATGCTACCACTTGTGAGGATATGTCACTTTAGTTCTTTTATGAGTGCTCCATTTATTTTCTCTACTTTCTTTGGTTTGTCCTGGTTAATCATCCGGGTTTAGTCAGTGCATGGTCAAGCACATGGATGTTAACAGAATATGAAATGAACTTGTGTAGGGTGTCAAGGGCCCATAAAATTTGTAAGTGTTAACAAAATATATAAGTAACAACATGTAAATCATAACTAGCAATCCGGAAAATAATGTCGGTAATAACATGTACTTACTACCTTAGTTACAAGTCGTTATATTTCACATTTGTTTTTATTATAGCTTGTACCTGTCAACAATAGGCCTTACAATTACAGGGCCAGTGAAAGAATTGGAAGGAAATATATAATTCATAATATCGGTCACAATGTTTCAACAGAGACCATATCAGTATATGGTCTCTGGTTTCAAGAATCAAGAATGAATGAATCAGTCCATGCTGAAGTTTAAAATGAACCACTCAACACAGTGTACAGAATTGTGTGTTAATGGCCAAAGTGTAACACCTACAGTGATCTTATATGGGGGGTACAGCCAGCTTTGTAGACACTGCTCCATCCAGAAACTTCTCAAATGATCAGACCTGCCATGTTCATGTTAACATCAAGGGGTGGATAACTCTAATTAAACAAGGCTCCATTCACTGCTGTTGACAGGGTTCAAATCCAGCCATGCCAGCACTTGATATTGTTAGAAGTACTTCAATAGTTTGCTGCCGCTGACAATTGCTACAATTTGTTTTCACTAAAGTACTTACACCGGACAATATGACATAGTACTTCTTATTCCAGAAATCCCCCAGCTCCTTCTCATATAAACATCAAAGACGTGCAATAATGGGATTTTGAGTTCAAATGACACATGGTTTGGTACTGATGATGTTTGCCAGATTTTGTTGAAAATTTCTCGATTTACTCAATGTCATCTTGAAAGAAAACTGTTCTTTGTCAAATTTACTCAGAACTAGGGATAAAAATAATCTTTGGCTCGTGCGTTTTGATATCAGACATGTTACCACATGTCCATGAAAGTTTAAAACTGTGAGTTCTGGCCGTGAGAGGTTGAAGGTGAGATTCTATTTATCATCCAAAATCATTCTTCAATCTTTTTCAGTTTTTAGAACAGTAATAACCTGTGTCTTGAGTGTAAAAAGTACATCTTACCAGTTTCAGCGGCAGAGATGTTAGTCATGTGCTTAATCCCAATGTTCTTTGATCCAGACAGATTCAAGGGAATACAACCATTCACTGGGATCCACTATACATCTGATGGGAATAATGTTTTTTTTCAGATTGAAGTGAATTGTCGCAATACCAACAGGAAACTCATAGAATTCTGTCAGTCACAGGGAGTTCCTGTGGTTGGGTTTGCACCTCTCGGAACTCCCAACAACAGCCCGTGAGTACATCAGTGGTGTTAAAATATTCTCAGTACATTGATGGTGTTAAAACATTCCTCAGTACACCGATGGTGTTAAAACATCCACAGTACATCGATGGTGTTAAAACATTCCTCAGTACACCGATGGTGTTAAAACATTCCTCAGTACACCGATGGAGTTAAAACATCCTCAGTACATCGATGGTGTTAAAACATCCCCAGTACATTGATGGTGTTAAAACATCCTCAGTACATTGATGGTGTTAAAACATCCTCAGTACATTGGTGGTGTTAAAACATCCTCAGTACATTGGTGGTGTTAAAACATCCTCAATACATTGATGGTGTTAAAACATCCCCAGTACATTGGTGGTGTTAAAACATCCTCAGTACATTGATGGTGTTAAAACATCCCCAGTACATTGATGGTGTTAAAACATCCTCAGTACATCGATGGTGTTAAAACATTCCCAGTACATTGATGGTGTTAAAACATCCTAATTTCATCGGTGGTGTTAAAACATCCTCAGTTCATCGTTGATGTTAAAACATCCCAAGTGTTGTCATGATAGTGCAGTATGGTAGTGCAATAATAAATATACTATAATCACAACGACAAAAACAACAGAATTTACACCTGCCACATTAAGGGAATATAAAAGACACTCTGTTTTCATTCAATCATTTTAATCATTCTGTTGTGTATTAGAGTGCTGTTAAACACTCCTCTCTCATTCACTCTTGAGGGGGCGCCTCTAGCCCTATCATCTAAGGCAACACATTTTACTTTTAGAGTTATGTCCCTTAGGTGTACTAGCAACCAAGTTCCTCACAGCGATGTCCCATTCAAGGAGCTGTCTATACCATTGCTACCACCAGTGAAAGCTCCACACTGTGATAGGTGGCTACAACCATGCATGGAGTTGAACTCGCAACCAACTGACTGTAAAGTTGACAAACAAGTGATGACTGCCGTGACGCCGGCGAAAGTATTTGTCTTGTTTGTCAATTTGAATTTATGTTTCTTTACAACTATCATGTACTTGGTATATTAAGAATGTAAAGGGAGGTTCATGGGCGGATACAGCTTTTTTGAAAAGGGGGGGTGCACAATTAAGATCTATTTATTGTCTTTGGTGGTAATTTATACAGAAATAAAGATTTTCGAAATAAAAAGGGGGGGTGCGCACCCCCGCACCCCCCCCCTCTGTATCCGACCATGAGGTTGGTTGATTTTCTGTTTGTTTGCAATCTCGAACCAATCTGATCAAACAAACAAAAAGGTAAATTCATCTTGGAAATCTGGGCAGTTGTAAACCTTTTCAATATTCACTATGATGGCATTCCCAAAGACATAAACAAAAGTATAAACGTTACTACATTTGGGGTTAGAAGGCTTATTTCAAGATTCTTGTAATGGCCGCTCCCTCACTGGTGGCAGCCATGTTGGCGAGAGTGTAACGAAGGTGTCTCGCGCTGGGAAAGAGCTTGTACCAGCAACCTATGTTCAATGCCCAGTTTGTAATAGGGAAAGAACATAGATTGGCTTCTATTCAGTCTAAAGAAATTGGTCCAAAGTATTTTATTCTCCTTGCTGAGCAAATATTTTGAATGTTTTAACAAGAGGACATTTTTATGGGAGTAATTATAACTTCTTCAACAAGATGATGAATAATTTTCGCAGTGTTTTGCAAGTACTGTCCAATTACCAAATAGATTCCTGGACATATTTTGTAGCTTTCACCATTGCTTGTGTGTGATACCTAGGTCAGACAAGAAGGTCTCTTTGCTTGATGAACCTGTTGTGAAAGAAATTGCATCAACGAAGAACCGGTCACCTGCTCAGGTAAGTGTGTGGAGAGTTTGTGAAGATAGGGCATATAGCGCATGCTGCGTTGTACAGGTGTAGGTAGGTCATGTCCTTAGTGGAAGGGTTAACTTCAAACACACTGCCTCATTCAAAGTCATCTGGATTAACAAATTTCGAGATTAGTAACGGATGGGTGTGGAGTTATGTCCCTTTATGGGTGAGGAGCTTCCTGATTAGGAGGATGTAGACTGATTGGGTTTTTCACTCCATGTCTTTGTTTGTTTGTTTGTTTGTTTGTTTGTTTAGTGCCACACACAGTACTATTCCAGTTATGTGACAGATTCCTGTGAAAAGTTGTGTCTGGACCAGACAATCCAGTGATTAATGGTGTGAGAAATGACCAATACTGTCAGAGTGTGATGAAAAATGACATGAAATCAACCAGTCACCTAGAAACCCATACACTAACTCGTCTCGACATATTTGATCATAATTCTCACAGGGTGTTTGTGAAACGATCTAAAGGCTACGACTGTTGTCACCCATTGTTTAATAGACATACAATTAACTCATCACTAAGGTTGCATCATGAAAGGGATGCAATTGTTAGCAGTGCAGACAGGACTGACAATTGATGACGAAGACTGTCCGTCAGTGCTGGCATGGTCATTGTTGGAGCCATTGAGTGTTTACTGACAAATTATCACATTGTGTGTTGATATTTTTCTTTTGGGTATGCTGTGGGTATTCACCCCCTATTGGGTTTTTTGTTCCCCGCCGCGCGAAAGCGCGGAGCGGGGGATATAGTATTCACGACCGTCCGTATGTCCGTACGTCCCACCTGTTTGTTGCCGCGATATCTCAAGAACTAAACACTGGATTGTCTTCATATTTGGAACTATGGTGTATATACAAATTCCGCAGACACCAGTCGGTTTTGGTGACCTTGACCCCATTTTCAAGGTCACAGCAGGCAAATCTGCTTTTGGAGTTGGAAAACGATGTTGCCGCGATATCTCAAGAACTTAACACTGGATTGTCTTCATATTTGGAACTATGGTGTATATACAGACACCGCAGACACCAGTCGGTTTTGGTGACCTTGATCCCATTTTCAAGGTCACAGCAGGCAAATCTGCTTTTGGAGTTGGAAAACGGTGTTGCCGCGATATCTCAAGAACTAAACACTGGATTGTCTTCATATTTGGAACTATGGTGTATATACAGACTCCGCAGACACCAGTCGGTTTTGGTGACCTTGATCCCATTTTCAAGGTCACAGCAGGCAAATCTGCTTTTGGAGTTGGAAAACGGTGTTGCCGCGATATCTCAAGAACTAAACACTGGATTGTCTTCATATTTGGAACTATGGTGTATATACAGACACCGCAGACACCAGTCGGTTTTGGTGACCTTGACCCCATTTTCAAGGTCACAGCAGGCAAATCTGCTTTTGGAGTTAGAAAACGGTGTTGCCGCGATATCTCAAGAACTAATCGCTGGATTGTCTTCATATTTGGAACTATGGTGTATATACAGACACCGCATACACCAGTCGGTTTTGGTGACCTTGACCCCATTTTCAAGGTCACAGCAGGCAAATCTGTTTTTGGAGTTGGAAAACGGTGTTGCCGCAATATCTCAAGAACTAATCGCTGGATTGTCTTCATATTTGGTACTATGGTGTATATACAGGCGGGGGACATTTCGTCACTTTGTGACAAATACTTGTTCTCCCTTGGATCAAGTCTATTGGGTATTATTTGACCAATGTGTGGACATTTTTGTGAAAATAAATCTGGTTAAAATGCTGTTTTTAGGAAACTTCTAATTTGTATTTGTCCATCTGCTGCTGTGACTGTCTCCGTAGTCTAGTGGTAGAGCATCTGAGTGTGGAAGGTTCGGTGTTTGATCCACGGCCGGGTCATACCAAAAGACATTAAAAGATGGTACTTGTTATTACCTTGCCTGGCACTTGGCATTAAGGGGCTAAAACAAGTACTGGTCGGCTCTCAGTCAGTATACTGTGTCTGAGTGGGGTATTCATGTTAAACTGCGGCATGGTATCTCAGTGGGCTAGCACTATATATCGCAGTGGCACAAGCAGCCACACACACACACGTGCATGCACGTCGCTATACAAGTGCAATAATCTTGGACGTGACAGTAAACGCCATTTCACCTCACCTCACCTCCATGTCCTGTCCCAAATGTGAAACTTGTTGCATAAACTCACAACAGTGATGAGTCGGTCTAATTTCACAATAAGCGACACATACTGCCATTTTTAATGCTTTATTTTATGTGTGATGTTTGAAACCTGTAAATTAAGATCTGGAGAGGAATACTGTTGAAAAGGATATATTAGGTAATTATGCAGTGTGTTGTCATGCCATTGGGATCATTAATCTATTCATATGTACGGGGGCGGTCGGGTAGCCTAGTGGTTAATGCGTTCGCACGTCACGCCAAAAACCCGGGTTCTATTCCCGACATGGGTATAATGTGTGAAGCCCATTTCTGGTGTCCCCTGCCGTGATATTGCTGGAATATTGCTAAAAGCGGCGTAAACCATACTCACTCACTCACTCACTCACTATTCATATGTAAGCAAGAAACTCAAAATTAAATGCGTAGTGGTGATATTTTTGCATATTTTCACAAAGATTCAGCTGACCTGGGTGTCTACAATCATGACATTGTCCTTGTTCTGGCTGTTACTGTTCCTGTATTACTGACTGGCTCTCCTCTTGTCCAGGACTTGACCCGCCTGTATTACTGACTGGCTCTCCACTTGTCCAGGACTTGACCCGCCTGTATTACTGACTGGCTCTCCTCTTGTCCAGGACTTGACCCGCCTGTATTACTGACTGGCTCTCCTCTTGTCCAGGACTTGACCCGCCTGTATTACTGACTGGCTCTCCACTTGTCCAGGACTTGACCCGCCTGTATTACTGACTGGCTCTCCTCTTGTCCAGGACTTGACCCGCCTGTATTACTGACTGGCTCTCCTCTTGTCCAGGACTTGACCCGCCTGTATTACTGACTGGCTCTCCACTTGTCCAGGACTTGACCCGCCTGTATTACTGACTGGCTCTCCTCTTGTCCAGGACTTGACCCGCCTGTATTACTGACTGGCTCTCCTCTTGTCCAGGACTTGACCCGCCTGTATTACTGACTGGCTCTCCACTTGTCCAGGACTTGACCCGCCTGTATTACTGACTGGCTCTCCTCTTGTCCAGGACTTGACCCGCCTGTATTACTGACTGGCTCTCCTCTTGTCCAGGACTTGACCCGCCTGTATTACTGACTGGCTCTCCTCTTGTCCAGGACTTGACCCGCCTGTATTACTGACTGGCTCTCCTCTTGTCCAGGACTTGACCCGCCTGTATTACTGACTGGCTCTCCTCTTGTCCAGGACTTGACCCGCCTGTATTACTGACTGGCTCTCCACTTGTCCAGGACTTGACCCGCCTGTATTACTGACTGGCTCTCCTCTTGTCCAGGACTTGACCCGCCTGTATTACTGACTGGCTCTCCTCTTGTCCAGGACTTGACCCGCCTGTATTACTTACTGGCTCTCCTCTTGTCCAGGACTTGACCCGCCTGTATTACTGACTGGCTCTCCACTTGTCCAGGACTTGACCCGCCTGTATTACTGACTGGCTCTCCACTTGTCCAGGACTTCACCCGCCTGTATTACTGACTGGCTCTCCTCTTGTCCAGGACTTGACCTGCCTGTATTACTGACTGGCTCTCCTCTTGTCCAGGACTTGACCCGCCTGTATTACTGACTGGCTCTCCTCTTGTCCAGGACTTGACCCGCCTGTATTACTGACTGGCTCTCCACTTGTCCAGGACTTGACCTGCCTGTATTACTGACTGGCTCTCCTCTTGTCCAGGACTTGACCCGCCTGTATTACTGACTGGCTCTCCTCTTGTCCAGGACTTGACCCGCCTGTATTACTGACTGGCTCTCCTCTTGTCCAGGACTTGACCCGCCTGTATTACTGACTGGCTCTCCTCTTGTCCAGGACTTGACCCGCCTGTATTACTGACTGGCTCTCCTCTTGTCCAGGACTTGACCCGCCTGTATTACTGACTGGCTCTCCTCTTGTCCAGGACTTGACCCGCCTGTATTACTGACTGGCTCTCCTCTTGTCCAGGACTTGACCCGCCTGTATTACTGACTGGCTCTCCTCTTGTCCAGGACTTGACCTGCCTGTATTACTGACTGGCTCTCCTCTTGTCCAGGACTTGACCCGCCTGTATTACTGACTGGCTCTCCTCTTGTCCAGGACTTGACCTGTCTGTATTACTGCCTGGCTCGACTGGCTCTCCTCTTGTCCAGGACTTGACCCGCCTGTATTACTGACTGGCTCTCCTCTTGTCCAGGACTTGACCCGCCTGTATTACTGACTAGCTCTCCTCTTGTCCAGGACTTGACCCGCCTGTATTACTGACTGGCTCTCCTCTTGTCCAGGACTTGACCCGCCTGTATTACTGACTAGCTCTCCTCTTGTCCAGGACTTGACCCGCCTGTATTACTGACTAGCTCTCCTCTTGTCTTCAGGTGTGTCTGAGATTTGTCCTACAACTGGGGATCGGAGTTGTGCCGAAAAGTGTTAACGCAGCTAGGATAGCACAAAACATTCAGGTAAAGGAGAAACATTCCATTGGAGTTGACTCTTGTCACAGCTTGTGTGTAATGTGTGTGTTCGTGTGTGTTTAGATTTGTAACTTACTTGAAACTTTAATTATTGATGGAGAAAACAATTACTGTCTTGGTTAATTTTCAGATCTTTGACTTTGACTTATCGGACGAGGAAATGCAGAAACTTTCAGCATTGAATATCAACTACCGAACATATGCAGAAGACATGTAAGTTGTTTAATCATACTTAATGTCAGGAACATGTTCATTAAGGTATTGGCATAGAGACTTGTTTGTTTGTTTATTGTTTAACACCGCACTCAGCAATATTCCAGCTTTATGATGGCGGTCTGTAAATAATCTGGACCAGACAATCCAGTGATTGACATCATGAGCATCGATCCATGCAACTGACATGCATCAACCAAGTCAGCGAGCCTGACCACCCGGTCCTGTTAGTCGCCTCTTACGACAAGCATAGTCGCCTCTTATGGCAAACATCGGTTGTTGAAGACGTATTCTACCCCGGATCACAGGGTGTTGTCATAGAGACAGTAGTATAGGGACAATAGTAGTAGTATGACGGTAGCATACAATCAGAACCACATACACCTGTGTCACTCTCCATGTAAAACTAGGACTGATTACATTCATCACAACTGGGAAAAATTTATATTGTTCAGGAAGTGGGAAGATGGTCGTTGCATATTTTTCTTTTTAAGCAACATTGAGTATGTGTTAAGATGTACTTTTATCTTTATATTTTCTTTCCAGTGCCTTGGAACACAAGTACTACCCTTTCCACGAGGAGTTTTAGTGAAGCAGGGGAGACAACTCTACTAGTCTTGGAGAGAGACATATTTCCTACGTGACTACTTTTGTGCGACCACTACAAGAGAGGATGAATGTTGCGTATCAGCACAGTCAGCAATTTCCAGCTTTCGAGCAATTTCCACAGAGTAGACAAACCGGTGACTTATGCCTGAACAATGAACACTGCTATCAGGGCATGATGGCACCCTATCAGGGCATGGTGACACACTATCGAACCCAATACTGGGGTCTGGCTCTAACCCAATACGGGGTTCGACTCTAACCAAATACTGCATGGGTCCTGCTCTAACCCATAACTGGGTCCTGCTCTAACCCAGTACTGGGGTCTCGCTCTAACCCAATACTGAGGTCCGGCTCTAACCCAATACTGAGGTCTGGCTCTAACCCAATACTGGGGTCCTGCTCCAACCCAGTACTGGGGTCTGGCTCTAACCCAATACTGAGGTCAGGCTCTAACCCAATACGCATGCCTAATTTTGAGAAATATTGATTCATTTAACATTGGCAGACATATATACTTCTTTCTACTTTTATCATCCAAAACTGGCTCCCACAGCCGATATCCATTGTAGTTATCTCTGCAATGAAAATGCATCACAATGCTTTGCAGACCATTGTGACTGTCATTGGATATCATGACGTCACAATCAAATGACATCACTAATGCCTCTGCTACTGAAGCTGTTTGCAGTACTTTTTACACTTGAGACACTGCTTATTACTGTCTACAAACTGAAAAAGTTGGAAGAATGATGTTGGATGATAAATAAAATCTCACCCTCGTGTCCCTTGATATCAAATATATCAACATTCTTTGTTATATTTGATATCAAAAGACACGAGGGTGAGTTTATCTATACATCCCAGCATTCATAATGAAGGCGTGTCCTGGGGTCCTTGTGGTTTTTATATCTAGGTTACTCCTAAGCTATATCATCAGCATTATGACATGGACCCTTGACTTTCATTCATACTTTAGGGGGCACGGGTGGCCCAGTCGTCTAAGGCGCCGCGATTCGCTGTGCAGAGTTGCGTCCCTTGGGCACGCCAGAAACCTATGATTGTGGGTTCGAATCCCGGTTCGCCCCAATTATGTTTCTAGGTTTGTCAGCACCATACCCGTGCCCGTGGGTTTCACCGAAGTGGTAATCGTCTGAGACCTGCATCACTTCGGGCTTTCCTCCCACATTAAGCTGACATGCCGCGATATAACTGGAATACTGTTAAAAGCGGTGTTAAATCCAACTCACTCACTCACTCACTCATTCATACTTTCGAACACTGTATTGACATTGTCTCCATGCCCCTCCCAAAAGGACAGTAAATTCGAAAAAAGATTAAAAACTTGAAGGTTACTCCATACTGAGATTGTCACTTCTTCCTCATAGAAATTGAAAACTGAAAACAATACCTACCTCTATACCTTCCTTTATCATTTTAGTTTGAAAATAAGAACAAATATGTTTTATTTGATCTGGCCACAGTAAGTATTATTGTGACAAAAATATATTAGGATGAAAGTCTGTGCCATCTACTGATCTGTGATTGTCAGCATGTGTATATATTATGTCTTATTTGTGCCATATACCTTTATCATACACATGATGTTTCCATGTGTTTTACCAAAGACCCCTTGATTCCTTGGAGTGATGACGATGTAATTTCTAGTATATTTCATACTTGAGGAATAAAACATTGTTGTGTACGAGTTGCTAGTTGTGAAGAATTCAGCAAGTTTATTTGACCTCATTTGTTGTTGCCAACGTAAGCATTCAACAGTACACAAACTGACATCTACCTGTCTGCAAGGTGTTTGTAGGAGGAAAAGAAAAACAGTTGATTATTGTGTCTTATGTTTGTAAGATGTTTTAGTCGATTCATAGGACATTATGGATGATGTCAAACAGAATTATAGCCTTTGCTGTTCTGACGTCTAGACCTACACATTGTCAGAGTTATGGCCCTTGCTGCTCGGACATCTAGCCTTACACATTGTCAGAGTTATGGCCCTTGCTGTTCTGCCATCTGGACCTACACATTGTCAGAGTAATGGCCCTTGCTGCTCGGACATCTAGGCTTACACATTGTCAGAGTTATGGCCCTTGCTGCTCGGACATCTAGGCTTACACATTGTCAGAGTTATGGCCCTTGCTGCTCGGACATCTAGGCTTACACATTGTCAGAGTTATGGCCCTTGCTGCTCGGACATCTAGGCTTACACATTGTCAGAGTTATGGCCCTTGCTGTTCTGTCATCTGGACTTGCACATTGTCAGAGTTATGGCCCGTGCTGTTCTGTCATCTGGACTTACACATTGTCAGAGTTATGGCCCTTGCTGTTCTGCCATCTGGACTAACACATTGTCAGAGTTATGGCCCTTGCTGCTCGGACATCTAGGCTTACACATTGTCAGAGTTATGGCCCTTGCTGTTCTGTCATCTCGACTTACACATTGTCAGAGTTATGGCCCTTGCTGCTCGGACATCTAGGCTTACACATTGTCAGAGTTATGGCCCTTGCTGTTCTGTCATCTGGACTTACACATTGTCGGAGTTATGGCCCTTGCTGTTCTGTCATCTGGACTTACACATTGTCAGAGTTATGACCCTTGCTGTTCTGTCATCTGGACTTACACATTGTCAGAGTTGAGGCCCTTGCTGTTCTGCCATCTGGACTTACACATTGTCAGAGGTATGGCCCTTGCTGTTGTCATCTGGACTTACACATTGTCAGAGTTATGGCCCTTGCTGCTCGGACATCTAGGCTTACACATTGTCAGAGTTATGGCCCTTGCTGTTCTGTCATCTGGACTTACACATTGTCAGAGTTATGGCCCTTGCTGTTCTGTCATCTGGACTTACACATTGTCAGAGTTATGGCCCTTGCTGCTCGGACATCTAGGCTTACACATTGTCAGAGTTATGGCCCTTGCTGTTCTGTCATCTGGACTTACACATTGTCAGAGTTATGGCCCTTGCTGCTCGGACATCTAGGCTTACACATTGTCAGAGTTATGGCCCTTGCTGTTCTGTCATCTGGACTAACACATTGTCAGAGTTATGGCCCTTGCTGTTCTGTCATCTGGACTTACACATTGTCAGAGTTATGGCCCTTGCTGCTCGGACATCTAGGCTTACAAATTGTCAGAGTTATGGCCCTTGCTGTTCTGTCATCTGGACTTACACATTGTCAGAGTTGAGGCCCTTGTTGTTCTGTCATCTGGACTTACACATTGTCAGAGTTGAGGCCCTTGTTGTTCTGTCATCTGGACTTACACATTGTCAGAGTTATGGCCCTTGCTGCTCGGACATCTAGGCTTACACATTGTCAGAGTTATGGCCCTTGCTGTTCTGTCATCTGGACTTACACATTGTCAGAGTTATGGCCCTTGCTGCTCGGACATCTAGGCTTACAAATTGTCAGAGTTATGGCCCTTGCTGTTCTGTCATCTGGACTTACACATTGTCAGAGTTGAGGCCCTTGTTGTCCTGTCATCTGGACTTACACATTGTCAGAGTTATGGCCCTTGCTGCTCGGACATCTAGGCTTACACATTGTCAGAGTTATGGCCCTTGCTGTTCTGTCATCTGGACTTACACATTGTCGGAGTTATGGCCCTTGCTGTTCTGTCATCTGGACTTACACATTGTCAGAGTTATGGCCCTTGCTGTTCTGTCATCTGGACTTACACATTGTCAGAGTTATGGCCCTTGCTGCTCGGACATCTAGGCTTACACATTGTCAGAGTTATGGCCCTTGCTGTTCTGTCATCTGGACTTACACATTGTCAGAGTTGAGGCCCTTGCTGTTCTGTCATCTCGACTTACACATTGTCAGAGTTATGGCCCTTGCTGTTCTGCCATCTGGACTAACACATTGTCAGAGTTATGGCCCTTGCTGTTCTGTCATCTGGACTTACACATTGTCAGAGTTCTGGCCCTTGCTGTTCTGTCATCTGGACTTACACATTGTCAGAGTTATGGCCCTTGCTGTTCTGTCATCTGGACTAACACATTGTCAGAGTTATGGCCCTTGCTGTTCTGTCATCTGGACTTACACATTGTCAGAGTTCTGGTCCTTGCTGTTCTGCCATCTGGACTTACACATTGTCAGAGTTATGGCCCTTGCTGTTCTGCCATCTGGACTTACACATTGTCAGAATTATGGCCCTTGCTGTTCTGCCATCTGGACTTACACATTGTCAGAGCTCCGGCCCTTGCTAGTCGGACATCTAGACTTACACATTGTCAGAGTTATGGCCCTTGCTACTCGGACATCTAGACTTACACATTGTCAGAGTTCTGGCCCTTGCTGCACGGACATCTAGACTTACACATTGTCAGAGTTATGGCCCTTGCTACTCGGACATCTAGACTTACACATTGTCAGAGTTATGGCCCTTGCTGTTCTGTCATCTGGACTTACACAATGTCAGAGCTCCGGCCCTTGCTAGTCGGACATCTAGACTTACACATTGTCAGAGTTATGGCCCTTGCTACTCGGACATCTAGACTTACACATTGTCAGAGCTCTGGCCCTTGCTCCTCATCCCTGTCACTGGCACACGTTAGAGTTATGGCCCTTTTGTACGGACTTTTGCTCGGACTTTTGGACTTGCATATTATGTTAGTAAGGAGGAATTTAAAACTACATAACTCCAGCTGTTTGACCCTTACTGTGAAGTGAAACCTCACTGGGAATGAATGTTTTCAACACCAAGGTTGAAGGCTATAGCAGCAACATGGACCTTTTGCATCATATGGATTTCCCAGACATCACTTGACTGGCGTTGTCACAAGTGAAACATGAGACAATTATCGCGTGCCCCACCAGAAAGGCAGGTATCTGGTATCAACACCAACAAGCAAATATTTGGGGGCCAATTTTAGACAGAAATAAGAAAATTATTTTAACAAGCTCTTATATGGAATGTCACACTGGTTCTGACAGAACGTACACAGTATCCGTCGTGACGGAAAACATCAAATTGACACAAAGAAAGCTTTCGAGAATATTCAAGAAAGTTACCACCGTCCACAGATCTCTTTTCATACCGGTAAAGATTCCGGGGGTAGAATAGGTTTTCAGCAGCCCATGCTTGCTGTAAAAGGTGACTATGCTTGTCGTAAAAGGCGACTAGCGGTATCGGGTGGCCAGGCTCGCTGACTTGGTTTATTCATGTCATCGTATCCCAATTGCGTGGACCGATGCTTATGATGTCAATCACTGAATTGTCTGGTCCAGACTCGATTATTTACAGACTGCCGTCATATAGCTGCAATATTGCCGAGTGCGGCGTTAAACAACAACAAAGAACAAACATCTATTTTCGAAACGATGTTTTGAGTATATAGTGTACTGTACGAACAACCAAGTTACCCAATGCATCTAAACACTTTCGTAATCTGTTTTCTTCAGAAGGTTGAGTTTCACAACACGTCATCTTGAGTCCGACAGACCAATCAGATCCCTTTGTTACATTGACTCTGATTTGAAAGGTGGCCACAAACAGGTATTCACATCCGTATTACCCCGGAATCATCAGGGCCCGGGTTAGAGCTGGCACTCGGCAACCTATGCTTGTCGAAAGAGTCGACGAAACTGATAGGGTGGTCCGACACGGTGACTTAGTTGATTCTTGTCATCAGATCCGACGGAGTGGAACGATGTTTACGTAACGTCCGTGAAATGTTCTAGTCCCGTGATTGAGATTCGAAC